AAATGTTTAGTTAAGATATGAACGAAGATTTCTGTTAAGTTTCTTGTTTTGTCATGTACGCTTCAGGCTGACAGGGTCTTCAAAAAAGCTTGAAATATTTTTGTAGAGATTGTTTATATATAAAATGACAGAGTAGTTTTGATGTTTAACATTCATTTTCATATAAGCACGCGATTTCACCGTCCTTTGATTACACTTTTATCCCTACGATGGCTCCCGAGAGCTATCATTTAACGGTTTAATTTTTATGGTCACGTTAGAAATATTTATTAAAAAGTTCCCGCTAAAATCATTTGAAATCAATAAACCATTCCTAAATGACCTAATAAACAACAGTCAACATAAAGATTGTAAAAATTTGCTGTCGTTTATTTTCTATGAAGTAGGTATTCGTCAACATGGAGGAAATGTTCCCAAATCCTTTCAAGAATTTAAGCTAGCTCTTCGCAGTGAAATTTGCTAAGTATATCAGTTTGCGTCCGCGGTGAAGGTTCACAACAATGGAACGAATTGTTAATTGCCTGCTCTTGAATGTCTGTCTTCTCTGTAAGTGGAGTCTAAGTGTATTTGCCCAGCCGAGGTAACCATCAGCTGACATAACAACTAATCATAATAAAAATGTCTTTGCTTTCAGTTTCTTGAGAGGCCATCATTAAAGTGATAAATGACAGACAAGTTTGTCCGCCCTAATTTACCATATTGCCTCGGGCATCACGACAATCGACCATGCAGTCAATTAAAATCCTGCTTGAAATATTATAGACAGCACGTCCATGAGTGTTTGGAAGTGTCTTCTTGGCTTAACGATTCTCTTTGATTACAAACGGAGTACTGCGCAAGTTTCCTTTCTTCAGATGGGACCGCTCCCTTGGTTTTCCCTCTTCTAGGGCCTTTGAAACCGGAAAAAAAGAAAAAAGGAATCTTCTTTTTTTCCAAAACGATGTTAGTTCTGAGCGGCCCGAGGACGGATCATATCTTTATAAAGGCTCTTAGACAGGAGATTTTGAAATTGCAGCCCGCAGATAAGAATGAATTTTTAGTTACTTATCAGGTCCTAGAGATCTCTTAGCTGCAGAACTCATTCGTGTCCCGTTGATATGTTGCTGAGAGGCGTGCAAGATAAAAATGCTCTCATAAATACAACTTGGATACTGCCACAGTATTTATATTGCTCAGTCTGCATTCTGACCGTCACTCCGGCATAAAGATTTAGATGAATTTTATAGATAAGGAAATCTTTTAATATTAATGTACTTGGACTGACCTAGAAGCGAACTGTGTCGAAGAACATTTGCATTTATTTTTGAAATTCTTTACCAGATGTCGAATGAAACAACATTGTTGTTTAGGGAGCTTCACAGGGAAACTTGAGTAACCTGAAAGCTTAAGAAGTTACACAAGTTTCCGATACGAATGCCATAGACTACTATTTATATCAAAGATTCAAGTGCTAGGAAATATTGAATAACTTCATTCTAATTTTGGATACCGAAGTTTTTACTCAAATGTATCTTTTATCTATTTAATGCACTTAATAAAGATTTCATTTCAGTTGTTTTCAATGTATTTTGATTTAATGTACAGAAAGAAGCTGCCAGATTATCAATCCCCCCTCTTCCCAAAGAAGTGTATTTCATGTACGCGGGAATGCATGTGCATGTCGTCTTGCACTTGTCAGTTCTCTCTCCTACCTCGCCCATAGTTCGGAAATACTTGTCCACCCACGTTTCCTAATCGGTTAGGACGGAAATAACCTCTCGGGAGTACTCGGATCTCGAGTAAAATTGCAATCATGCGATCGGAGCAGACCTGAGAGTTCAGGATATCTGCCAGAAAAAAAGAGAGCAGTATCGTCAAACTTTAGATGTGAATAAGGGATGATACTGAGTTAGAAAACAGCCGTTTCCTTTTCAACCTTCAGTCGGTAGCAGTTTCAGTTTATTTCGAAACGTTTAGCCTGGTAAATTATGATCTAGTTTTTTCAAATAAGAAAAACAGAGCAGTTCCGGCGATAACACAGGACGAGATATCGACTACAACACGCGGTTTCTCAAGCGTGTGTTATCAGCGCACAGAGTAAGCTCAAATATCTGCCCCTTCCATGTGTGCTTGCTAAGCAACAAGCCGGTTGTTCTGTCTAGCTGGTCAAAGATATTATTTTCTATTTTAATTTTACACCATTACCTGACATGGTTATTGACAGGGAATTTCGTGGTATCTGATACCACCTCAATTAATTACCGAACGCGCGGTATTGAAAATATGATACTACTTTTGAAAGAATGTTGACTACTGGATGAAGTTTATTGCCAGAAAGCCATTTTTAAGCGCACGTCGTCGAAAAATGGGTTTCCCACGACCAATCTTTGACCCACGAAAGCCGGAAACATGAAATTTCCAGAAGTTTTCCCGCGGCTTCTCTTATCTCAAAGCTTACTTCAAGAAAATATGAAAATCCAGAATGACCTGCAACTTCGTGTTTGTTTTATGATTTGCGAGGATACATTGCCATAAATAGCGCCCCGGAACATATGTTAGATTAACCGAAGGACAGTTAAATTAGGGCCGACCTTTCAGATGAACTCAAATCAGGAGACAAACATAGTGTCTTGTTGAAGAAAGAAAAATAAGAGCTGAAGGGGCATCGGCCTGTTGATTAAAGGATTGACCTTTGCTGTATCCTTTGAAGACAAAATTGTCCGTAATCTTTTTTATTTGCCCCCACCATGTGTTGTGTGGCAAGCGAAAGGTTATCAAGTTACACGTGTTGCTTTGAAACAAAGCCAACCTTTTCTAGCATGGTTTTCCACTATTTCCATATTGCATAATCATCCTGTTCACCACCTGTCAAATTTGTTGCTGACTTCAGCGAACTTTTATCGAATGCCACTATCTGCTGTCCTTGCAAGCTGAGTCTTGTAAAAGTTGATTTCTAAGGAAAAAAATGAACTAAATTATCTCAAGCTTCTGTTGTGAAAGATATAAAAAAAATTTTCTGATGATTGCCAACTGAGTGAAATTACTTCGGTTTTGCAATCAGTGAGATTTACCTTTTTTTTCCAAGGTGCCTGTTTTTCAATTTAATACCAAACGCTTGATTGTAATTAATGTATCAGTCAAATCCATACACTGAGAAGAAAGTACTAGACGTTAACTATTCGTTAAAGCTAAAAAAAGGCCCCTTATTGAGTTAAAGCCTCTTACTGAAGATAAAAGAATATAATTCTGTTGGGGTTTAAAACTTTAATGGACTGGGGTCTGGTTTCACGTAAAGATTTGATAAAATGCTGAATCACAGATGCGCCACGTGAAATGAAATGTGCAGATATAGCACTAAAATATTAGAGGATACTGAAAAGAAGTTACCTTGCAAAATATTGTAAGGTGGCACATTTAGATTTTGGTTGCCTTAGGAATCCTTATAATGGCTAAAATTCAGCTTATTGTAACTAAATCAACATTCTTTAGTTAAGATCAGTTTAGTACTTTATTTCAATTTTAAGAGCGGAATTCCAGTGTGGCCAGAATAAGAACTGCCTGTTTCCCTGTTTGAATGAGTGATACACCCAATTCGTAAGCTTGGGCTTGTTTTTGTTTAAGTTTCAATTGTTACAGTGGAATGTAAAGAAAAGCTTTCGAAAAAGACCCTCCCTACAAACCGCTCATTAACCAAATAATTTTCTGCTGTGTAAATTCCGTTTGAATTACCACCCAAGGGAGTTGTACGTCATCAACAGAAACAAATGGTAGCTCTGTGCCATTGTGTTCACCGGATAGTCACGTACTTTCCTACCTAATCCCACTTATTTTCTGATGTAGCCTTTCAGGGCACAAGCATACAAACATGGGATGAAAGTTAACTGTAGTACTAAGTAAGGGGAAAGTTAATCAGTAACTTATCTGAATTTACTCGATTGCGCAAACACTGATTAAAATTTCTGTCGGTAGTGGTTTGAGCAGTTAGGCAGGCGAGGGAAAGAAAATACGTTAGAGCCTACATCTATCCTTATCTGTGTATTTTACGAATTGCTCTGTAAATTATTTTATATACGATTGGATTTGATTTGTATGTGTGAAAGAGTTTTTTTCCAGCAATGAAATTTAGCACTAACATGTGGGAATTCTGTTTTTTACCGAGTCACAGTCAAAACTTCACTTTTCAAGGTACTTGCGATCGAAAAAAAACTGAGCCCTTTTCCGAAGCAGATTTAACCGAGAGAGGTATGTTTCCGATGCAATTATCGATGGCAAGGTGCTTTTGTACCATCCATTTATCGATACAATCAGCTGAAAAATGCGCCTCTCTAAAAGTTTTGAATTTCTGTTCAGCGCAGTTCAAGATAATAACTTCCTTAGTTTTGTTCTACTTCAGACAAAAGAACTGAAACTCGCTAATGTTGTCGCATTAAATCATGTTGTTTTACTGATGTAACAAAGACGCGTAAATCCAGACTTTGCTGTACATTTGCTGTTAAAATATTTCGACCAGACCGTTATAAACGAAGGAGATTTAAGGAAAAAGAAACCCTCGGGATGATAGAGAGCCATTAACACCTTCGCCTGAAATGGTGCTTGGTCTTACAGAAACTTCAATACAACACCTTTCTCTTAATTTTCCTTTCTTACAAAAGATCTGACGTACTGCCATTGTAATGATTTTTTTTCGTCGTTGATGCGATTACTGGAGTATTTATCTGTTAAATTAACCAAGTTTGTTTAAAGCATGCGGAAATTAGCGGGCTGAACGAGCAGTTGATTTTTTTCGCACTCGTTTTCCTCTAATAAGTCTTTAATCTTTTTTGTGTCCCTGTTGGTTGTTTGCTATGTGGAATTCTTTGGCAATCATTGCGCTAAAAAAAAGACTCGGCTTAGGGGATGTAAATATAAATAAATTGGGTGATTTGTGGAATTCACGATATTTGAATTCTGATTGGTTAGCGGTAAAAAAGATCCCGCCTCAGAATACGTAATGTCCAAGTGTAATTGTCCACGCTTGTCAACGGGAACAAGCGTAGTAATTAGCGCGAACTCCGATCACAGGCTCAGCGGGTGAATTTATGTTTTACTGCTTTCCCACTGTTACGATTTAGTCAAACATTTATTGTTGCAGCTTTTAGGTCAACTTGACGGAAAGCGTGGACGAACGTACTGCAAGCGACTTACGAATTACGTGGTGCGGTGAAACCTTTGAAGTGACAAGATTCTGTGTTTAGAGCACAGTTGATTGCGTTCGGAGTTTTATCAACAATGGTCTCTTTCTACGTCTTTCTTGTTGTGCTTGCCACCGTTTCTTCTGGTTTTGGTCAAGATAACGATAACGAACCGTCTTGTGCTACAGTGAAGACTGCCTACAGACAGAAAAGGCTGACAGATAGTGATGTACCGCAATGGGCTGTGAAAGGTATACAGTGCTGCATGAAGTGTGCCATACCAACACTCCGTGAGCTTTGTAAATATGTGGTTGTTTCGGACCATTCTCGGTGATATCTACGTTTTGTTAATATTCTTCTCTCGGCATGGGGTATCACTTAGTAAATTTCGCCTTCAATTCTGATATTATCGCTAACACATTTTGTCTTTACATCAGGGGATGACCTTCGCATCTGCCCGAAAGACAACGGTAAGCAATGCTGCTCACAGCAAATGGAAGATCGCTTCGCTGTCTTTGCGAGCGAAGATTTTGACAAAGCGGTCTCGTCGAAAGTTAGCGAAATGAGGAGACAGTTCCACCTTCAAGAAAAAGCATTTAACGGTGAGTCAGTTACGACAAAATGTACAAAGTGTTAAAAGTGTGTGGATTAAGTTTGAGTGAAAAATGGATCTGCTAATGGCATTTCGAATATACAGAAACCAGCGATTTTTATGCACGCGCTCTTCACGTTAAGCTGGTTTCGAGAAGAAAAACTTGCCTCTACGTTTATTTTACTTCGAGTTAATCGCGGATCGGTGTGACCGCGAGCATTTCGTTTACAAGGTCATTTTCTTCAATATAGGTCGATCCGACTTGGTCCACAGGAAATTGAACAAAATTCAAAAGTAAACATCGATGTGCATGCTTGATGCTACTTTACGCATAAGCCTGAAGCAATAATTATGTCACTCTAAATATTCTGTCGTTCCGGTTTTAGGTAATCCCTGAATATGCCAAACAAGAACACACGCTAAGTTACTTAAAGATTTTTATAGCTTTACGAAAAGTTTATGCGCCGCTTGATTTAATTCATGTGGGCAGAAAAGACGATGGAATCGAAGGATTTACCGTAAATTTTGAAGTTATCAAAGTAAATAATGATAGCTGCCTCTGTAACCTTATCTTTTCTATCTCCTCTGTGGAATGTCCGAGAAAACAGGCTTAAAATTTATCGGGTTGAGTGTTATAAGCTCCCACGAATCGAGCCTATCCAAGGAACTAGTACTTTCTGTGGCAGTTCTAATGGATACACCTCGATTTTTCGCGAGGCCAACCGTACGTCTTGAATAGGATTTTACTCTCAATCGAGTTTGTGAATAGTTCGTGATGTAATTTCGGCAAAGTCTTCCAAACCGTTAGTATTAAATTACTTTCCGCTCTGAGCTGCCTTCGGTTCCACAACGTGTTCATTTGGTAAACTTTACTTAAAGCCGATAGGGCATGCTTATGTCTGTCGAACAATCGAGGTTAACGATGAACCAGCACCGTTTATTTCAGAGCACATGTTGTTGGGTAATTACTGCACTGAAGGTTTATCTTTGTCAGTAGAGGTCGCACAAATGACTCCAGTTTCTTCTTTACTTCAGTGTAATCACAAGCGAATGTTAAATTTAGAATCGACTGTTGTTTTGCGCAGTATGCGATTGCCCGAGGCTATTGAATATTGATATTAATCAGAATGGAATATGTTATTTCTTTTATTGTGAAGTTGATTGTTTTCCCAATTTCGCGGTTTTCTCGGGTCAGCGAACGCGCTACCCAAACTCCATATATATCTTACCACCGAGTGAAGTACTAATGTCGCGGGCTTTGTTCGATCTCATATCCAAAATGTATACTGCATGGGAAAATTGGCAGCGAAAAGATAATGATTTTATAAATCCAACTTAGAAGACCCAAAACGGAAATTAAAGAAGAAATGAAACAATCTCTCTCGTAGTATGATCGTTATTGGAGTGGCAATGTTGTGAATTATTAAGTAAAACTTTCGCCTTTTACGGGAATAAGTAATGAAGTTTTGCAATAGTGAAGTTTTAATATTAATATTTGTTTTGTCTTAGCTTTTTTTATGATCTTAGGGCATTGAATATTGATCCCCCAATTTCCATTTAAACCACATAGTGTCTTGTGGATTGGATTTACAGAATTGTTTGGTCATTCCAAGTCGTGGTTTAGCTGGGTTAAATACAGTTGTCAAAAGCTTACAAACTACTTCATTTCCTTTATTTCTCTGGGGAAGTTTGATAAATTAAAAGGCCAATTTTCGGGAAATGTCTCCTTTTGCATTTGCTAGAAGGAATAGAATGCAGACTCAATGCACATACCAGTCTTTTGCCAAAGCAGTGTTAAACAGGTTTAATTCCAAGTAGAATATTAATAAACTTCCCTTCCGAATATATAGCTCAAATATGGGCTTTGCCAGTGTCAAAGTGCATTGCTTGAAAAGTGGGTTTGTGAATAAATTCTAAGCAGTGTGCATCAATTTATCACCTTATCTTAACCACAAAGCCATTCTTTATACTTTTTATAACATTCTAGAAATCTGTATCCTTGCTTTGAAGAGCATGAAAAGCTTAAGGGCAGACACACAAATAGTTTTATTGGTAAATTCTCTAGCAAAATCCATAGGATTATGCAAATATCTCATAAATCATTGTGACTTGATGGAATTGAAGCTAACATTTACTCTTAAAAAATGTGTGAAATTTAGGTTTAAAAATATAACTGTTGTGATGTAAATTTCGTGAGACCCAAACTTATGAAAGGTCAGACTGTTTAGCCTCAAAATTACCCTCTGTCATGTGAAACTTCCGTGGTTTTGCTTTGATGAGGTTGGATGACTGTTTTTACTAGTTGCTTGAATATAATGTCAAAAGGTCTTGTATCTGCGTTTTGTAAAGGTGTAAAGTTTGAAATTCAAAATACAGGTACTTGTTTGAGTTTGTTTTATTATATTCTTGGTATTCTAATGTTCTTTCAAAATTATGGCTGTTTCCTTTTTTACTGGAAAATATTAAAAGACAGCTCATCATTTTTGTGGCAGTATTGTTATATATTTTTTTTCATATCACAAAAATGTATCTGTGAACCAGGATCAGAATATTACTTCAGGAGCTGTAATATTCTCAATTGGTCCAGGAACCGAGAAGTTTGTAGAATTTGGCTGCTATTATAGAGTTGGGATCCCCCTGATTAGCAAAGTTTTCACAGAAGGTGGTCAAAATGTTCTCCTAATGACTTTTTTCCCATAACAACATACAAGTGAAATCCTTTTTTTTCAATGTTTGTAATTTTTTTTTCTAGAAATGATCAGAAGTGTTGCAATTCTTTTTCTTCATTTTTGGCATAAACAAGATATGAGTAACATTTTTTTTTTGTTTTGTAATTTTTTTTTTAATGTTCAGAAATGTTGCAGTTTTCTTTTTCATTTTTGGCTGAAACATCACATGTATAACATCTTTTTTTAAATTTTTGTAAATTTTTTTAAAAATCTTTTTCTAGAATTGATATGGAATGAAACATATGCCTGAAAGCAAAATAATGATGTTAATTCTCCTAATGACTTTTTCCCCATAACAACATACAAGTGAAATCCTTTTTTTCAATGTTTGTAATTTTTTTTTCGAGAAATGATCAGAAATGTTGCAATTCTTTTTCTTCATTTTTGGCATAAACAAGATATGAGTAACATTTTTTTTTTCCGTTTTGTAATTTTTTTTTTTTAATGTTCAGAAATGTTGCAGTTTTCTTTTTCATTTTTGGCTCAAACATCACATGTATAACATCTTTTTTAAATTTTTGTAATTATCTTTTTCTAGAATTGATATGGAATAAAACATATGCCTGAAAGCAAAATAATGATGTTAATTTTGAAGTATGATTTACATCGTTTACAATAGGCTCATTTGCTTTAAAGAAATATTTCTTCAGCTGGATTTGAATAAAACATTGTTATTATCAAAATTGTCTGGACTTGCAGACATCACAGGTGATTGTCACCTGTCCATTTTCACCTAATTTGAGACTTGTCTTAAATGGCATTGTTAATTTCTTGCAGCAAAAAGGTTTTCAGTGATAATTGATTTCTGAATTTTTTACCCTGAATTTAATAGTAACAATACGATTCTTACCTGGATTATAAACTGGCTTTGCTGAACCTTGGTGTTAGAAGAGTCTACATCCTTACTAAAAGCAAAACTGTAATTCTCTTCTCTGATAGTTAATAATGTTTCAAGTGAAAATGAATAGCAGCAGACATATACAGAGCTGTGAAGTAACCAAGTTAATGCCCACCACTTTTAGTGTCACTGAAGTTGAGAATTGTTTTGGTATAAACCATGCATGAACCAAGAAATTAGTTTAATTCTTTCAGTATATCAAAAATGGTTGGAAATTGAACTCTTGTCATCCAGTTTGATGTCATCAGCTGCTCTCTGAGATAATAGCACTTGTTTTATAATCACTTTTGGGCCAATTGCCAACCTCGTAATTATGAAATAGTATTTGTTTAGCTGCTACAAGATGTTTTTGATAAATTGGTTCATAACTTGGCAGCTGTCCTCTGTTTTGTGTAAATTTTAAATCAAATTTAATAAATTTTGCTGGGAAAAGGTAACATTTTTGTGATTTATTGTGGGTTGAACAATAGACATGGCAGTGATGCTAAAGAAGGATTATCATTTAAAAATGTGATGGATGTATGGTCTGAAATGAGTAGGCAATTAAATTGAATTATGTTTGTGTAACAAGCTTGGCAATGTTACCATGCACTTCCCCCAGAAAAAAATTGAGATTTGAAACTTTGCAAGATGCAATTTTAAGCATTCTGAGACATAATTAAGTAACTTTTTTCGGCCAGATATTGAGGATAGAATAATTTCCTAAATATGTGTTTTCTGTCTTAAATCACAATTCACAAAGAGGGTGGCACAAAATGAACTGGCAGCCAGTGGGTTGTGACTTCCTACTGGCATCAAATGACAACCTTGGTAAAGATCCTAAGACATGACAATGAGCATGTAGCACTGCATTTGGCTGAATGGGTCTTAGATTGTTTTCTTAAATGAGGAGTGTGCTTCAGAAACATCCTAATTTAAATTATATCTGAATGATAACTATTTTTCTTGGGTTAAGATTCCACATAGTCACACAACCTTTCCAGAATTGTCTTTTAATGTGATTAATATTCAACTGTTCATGTTCCTTCTGACTTGTCATTCCCAAGTGCTTAAACAGATCACCAAGAAATGGGAAAAAAGGGGAGTAAGTCTCTGTTAACCCTTAAATTCCAAAGATCCAACAAGAAATTCTCCCTTTAAAGTCCCTTACATTTCCTTATAAATTTAACAAGAGAATTAAGTGTTCTATCTACTTAGTAAAAGGTGTATGTGAATTATAAGGAGACGTTACTTGTTATCCACTTCAGAAAGTTGAAGGGTGAAATCATGGGTATTTGGCCAGGTTGCTGAATTAGGTTGATACTTTATTGGACACTTAAACTCACTTAAACTCAGTCTGTGACATAATCTTGCAATTACCATTTAAAGGAGCTTGTAAAGTGATGTTGTTTTTAAAGCATTCTTCTGTTGTAATGCCTTTTATGTCTCTAATATTTTTTTTTCCTCATTTATCTAGCACACTTCCAATCCTTGATCAAGGAATCCCATGAATCACTGGATGCTTACTTCAAGAAAGTCTACGTTCACTACTACTCCCAGAACAGCAAGATATTCTCAGATTTTTATGCAGAATTGATGAAGTATTATGAGGGAGATTCCAGCTCTGACATGAAAACAATCTTAAACAAACTGTTCAAAATTCTCATGCAAAAAATGTTCCAGATCATGCATGCTCGTTTCCAGTTCAGCAATTCTTATCTGGAATGTATACCGAAGCATATGGATCAGCTAAAACCTTTTGGGAATTATCCAGAAACGTTAACCTCTGAGTTGAGAAGTGTTTTAATTTTTGCAAAGGCCCTTACAAAAGCACTTGATGATGTTCATGATGTTTTCATCATGCTTGAGAACTCAATTTCTTCTAAAGACTGTCAGGATCAACTCATCAAGCTGAAATACTGCTCCTGGTGCAAGGCTTTGACATCATTAAAACCTTGTCATCAGTTTTGTATGGATGTACATAAGGGTTGTTTGGCTGACATAGCAAAGGTGAACAATCAATGGCAACGCTACCTGGCGGCAGTGAACGAACTTTTTGAGAAGCTTTCAGGGGTATACAATATTGAAATTATCCTGTCCAAAGCGCACATCAAGATGTCATTTGCCATCATGAATTTCCAAGAACCAACTGTGGTTAAAGCTGTCGAGGAAAGGGTAAATTAAAATTTCTTTCTTTTCTTCCCCTCATTTTTACTGGAGGTTTCTCCTGAATTGTTGTATCTCACAGCTGGTCCATGTTTGTGGTGGCTTCATGAGCTCCTTTATTTAGTGGGACAGTTTGTGCCTTTGTATCAGGCAATTCGGTCTATGTACCCAGAGGAGATTTCTACCTGATTACTGTTCACACAGAAAATTTGATCTCTGTTGCTAAGGTCAACAACTAGCATCCCATCAGGTTGAAACGGTAAACAAGGCTATGGTTTTTCATTTTGTAGAACACACTTGTATTGAATTATGCATGATGTGACTTCATTACAAGAGAAACTATTACATCAGTGATTACAACATGTCTACTTGATGCTGATAAATGCATGGGAGAGTTGTTAAAACCAAGATTGTGCATTTCAGACTGAAAAGCCTTTGAAATTGAATGAAGATTTATCAATCAGTCTCAGATTTAAGTGACAAGGGAATTTTGAGGGGTATTCTGAAATTTCTCCTTTTTTTTCAGTTTTTTCTTGTGTGTCTTTTTTTGGTCTGTGTGCCTTTTTCTTTGATACAAGTGTTTATGATCTTCTTTAGTGTAATTCTGTTTCTCAATAAATATCCTGTCACCATATGCTGAAAAAGGAAGCCTTGGATTCCCAAACTTAGTTGATTAAACATCATTTTCATGCCCTGGAAATGAGATGCTTTTAAAGAACAGTGTATTTATACATGTCTTTGATGCTGAGTTTTACATACTTGCTATTCTAAACTTTCTCAGGTATTCCAAGTATGTGGTAACCCTGAATTAACTAAGAGATCAACAGATGACTTTTTCCTTGAAGGAAACAATCGACAAAGAAGAGAAAATGATGCTGCTTTACCCAAAAAATCAGCAGATGTCACCTTGGAATCGTAAGTTTAGAAATGTGCCATCTCTATTTTTGGACTAGAAGGGTAATGTTAGTTGAACAGTGAGGAAGCTGTTTTGTCTTCATTTTGAACCACTATTTACAAACTTTATTAAGTTGAATACAGATCTGAAGTAAATTTAATAAATAAGGGTGCAGGATATCCTAAAAAAAGAAGGGCTTGTCAGAGTGGGATATCCTACATTCTTAAATGCTATAAATTTAATCAATTGACTTCGGTAGTAAAGCCCACACACACTTATACACTTGCTCTCATACCAAGGAACATACATAAGCATATACAGACACACACAAAAAAACCTCAAATTATTTAAACTGATGACTATTTAATGAGACTTGGTGGCGATCAAAATTATGAATTCAATTAATTAATACATGTCAATATAGAAGCACTTCAATTTCTTTTTGAACAGATGTAGGCTTCTTGACTTGAAATATTCATCAATAATATTCCAAGTTTTAGGACTTTGGAATTTAATACTGAAAAGGCTTATGAATAAGGGTGCAGCATGAAATGGTACAAAGAGTTCCGTCTTGAATAAACGTTTGTCAGTTCAATTACCTTGGAAGACTTTATGTAATCTTGCCTTGGGAATTTTGATTACACAAGGTGTGATTGCATTTTTGATAGCAGAAATTCCCTCTTCTCTCTCAGATTAAAAACAGACTTCAAAGCCGTAATGAAAATGGCTGATAACTTTTGGACTTCACTACCAGACATGTTATGTAGTGACATAGCAGCTGAAAAGAATAAGCCCTCCGAGTGTTGGAATGGTGCTAGTAAAGGAAGGTAAATATTTCCTCTTGTTCTGTTTCCTTGATCTCATCTCCTTTATATAATTAGCAAGGTGGTAGTGGCAGTAGGGCTACTGAAAAGATGGTTAGACAGGTATGGTCAGATGAAGACCAGAAGCGTAGCAGTTCAATTGTCGTGATTGTCAATCGACAGATTGACTCTACAGTTGAGAATGACTTGAAATCATGTAACATTTCATTAACCCCTTCAACTCCAATGAGTGACCAAGACAGAATTTCTATTTACAATATGAATACAATTCTTAGCAAGCAAGTAATAAGATGAAGACAAATATCAATAGGAGAATCATTGGTTGATCCAATAGGAAATTCTCTGAACTAACATCAGAACAATTGTATGGAGGACAGGAAGGAGAATCAGTAATGAGATCTTAAGAGTGAAATGTTTGCTCCTTACATTATAAGTTCAATATCAAGTAGACAAGTAAAGAGAATAAAGAAACATATCAATTAGGGGATTATTGCTTGATCCAATTCCAAATTCTCCAAACTAAAATCATATAAATTGTATGGCAGAGTAAGGAGAATTAATCATGAAATCTTGGGAGTTAAAGGGTTAACAACTCATGAACAAAATATCTGTTTTCTTTTTCAAAGTTACTCAAGCCCTGATGATGGAGAGAATGCCATCGAAGAAAACCAAGCACCATCTGTGTTAAAAGCTAGTGAAAAATTGAAAAACATTGTGAAAATGATTGAGGAATATTCCAATGCTGCAGTGTATGGGGATGAAATAAATATCGTCACCACAGACAATGAGGATGATGATGAATCAGGAAGTGGGAGTGGTGATGGAAGTGGAAGCAGTGGAGGCAGTGGAACAAATGAAATACCAATTGACGCAGATGCAACACCTACAGACCCCATCAATGGGGTTGATAACCTTGACAATGATGATAATGTTGTTGGGGGAGGGGTGGGTGGAAACACTCAAGGACAATCGAGGAACTCTGCTTCACAAACTGTAGTTGGAGCATGGTTGTTCTATTCAGCAATTTTATTGTTGTGTTCTTCACTTGTACCATAATGGTATTAATGGAAGTGGGATTCCTGTCATTGCCTACAACACAAAACATTTGCATCATACTGTACAGTACGGAATGGATTGTCTGCACTCAGTTTCTTTGAAAAGATTATTTAGTTTAGATACTGGTCATCAAGGCATTGTCCATGTTATTCAGTGCAAAAATTTCAATCCAGCCATCATCTCAAACTGCAAGAAACAAGCTAGATTATGAATGAAAAATATCAAGCTTTTTATTTGTGAATATGGGAATTTATTTTTACAAAACATGACTGGAATTAATGTTAATGAATTGATTTGTAAAGTTTTAAGTTTGCACAACTATTTGAAAAATCAGTAGTTGTTTTTTCACTTCAAATTCCTGCTCAAAATGAACTTCAGTTTGCTACAGTTATCATAAGCTCTTAAAAATAGTCTATGGTATTAAGACTTGACAGAAATTGTATATACAATTGACCCCTCTTTTGTGGCACTTTGGTGCCCAATGTTGATAGGAGTTAGTTGGAAAGGCTTCAAGTGTCATCTCATATAGTATTTGTTTGGATTTTGTAAAAGAGGGAGCTTTGTGCTCAAATTTTTTTAAAACTGCTTTATTGGACATAGTGTGCCATTTGCTTAGACTTTTGGAGCTTTATTAGACACTGGCTGAACTTGAAATGTCATTAAGCTTGTCAAGAGAGGAAGTGCTCCAAATTTAATTATCAACAACCAGAATATAGAAAAGAAGTAGTTTGTAAATCTATGTCACAGGCACTTAGAGATAAGTGCAAGTAACTTTAAGACTGGTAATGCATTGGGTAAAGTGGTTGGTTGTGAAAAATGTGAAAGCCTCACATTTTCTTCACTCCTTCCTTGAATGAACAAGTTATCTTGTCAATGGCAGGCTTTTTAAAAATAACACAAGTGCAATTTGTGAATGAGTTTTAAAAGTAATCATGGATTGCTTTAATTGTAATTGGCATAGCGTTTGGTTAGATCCAGAAAATTGATTGAGTGGTTTCAACAAATGGAACGCAAAACTAACCTAATCATGATTTTTCATTAGTATTCTCCCACAGTTGAAATCGAGAGTTTCTTTTTAATTTGAGCTCTCACAGGCTTTTTTATACTTCCCTATTATTCTTATGGGCTGTTGTGATTGTGTTTTTTTGTGGTTTTGTAATACTCAATTCAAAGGCGCTCTTAGTGAGAGGGATGTAATCCTTCAGTGGTTCAAACTTGTTTGAATAGAATCAGTGACTAATTTCTACCTTTTGAGTTCATTACTATTATTCATGTTTGTCTTAACTCTTTAACCCCATGAATGACCAAGACAGAATCTCTCCTTACATCCAAATTGTATTGCAGAGAGTAAGGAGAATTAGTGAGGAGATCTAGCGAGTTAAAGACTTCGAAGCTAAGGTGAATACCTCTATGTACTGGACTGCTCAGAAGCAGGAGTTAAATTGTTATGACCACTGTTTGAACTGTACTTTTATAGAGAAAGGAAAAAATTTATTTTTTTGATCACTTTGTAACTTGTATGAGTTACTACTGGTACCATTTGTGTTTTTTAACAATGGGCATTTGATAGACTACTAAAAGAGAAGTCTTGGTATGTGATTAAGAGCTCCTCATGGGCTTGGTTTTTTTTTTTTTTTTTTTTAATGATATTTGATATGATCTTCTGTAGAAATTCTTCCTGGTCTTGGATTTGTCACAATTTTTAACTTGCAAAGAAATCATCTGATGACTTATTGAAATTGAAGGAAAATTTTCTGTTTGAAGTATTTTCATTATTGTGGTTAGATAAATTTATATTTTCAAAAGTGGATTCACACACCAAAGTTGCTTTTCCTTCTTTCAGTGTTCCACTAGTATGTTTTTTTTTCTATCAATGTTCAGTACAAAATAATTATCCTGTGACACAGTTGTTAAGTTGGTGTTTCATTATCAATTCCTTGTAAGGGGAAATGACTGTATGCAGAGACAATATAACTTAGTAATATACAACAGATTTCAAATAAAAATGACTTCCAATTTTGGAGTCAACATGTCACTTGCAGTTTGTTAGACTTTTCATGAAAGAATTGTTTTTACACGAGATGGGTTTTTGGTAGTCCAAGGGGATTGTCCACATCTTGATTAAAAATATCTTAAACCATTGTAGGTAATCAACCAAATTTTGAGCTTGTAGGCAGCGTAGACAACAGTAAATGAACACTTTGGTCTGATTCCTGCTAACTGAAGTAATACATCCTCAAGATGTGTTATGAAGCAGGCCTCTCTCATGGGATAAAGCCACATCCTCAATAGGAATCAGCAATGTGTTTGAGAGAGACAATGAAAATGAATGTTCTACCCTCACTGGATTGTTTCTGAACACCTCCATCAAGAAGAAGATGCAACGCAAACTGTGGTTTTGCTAAATGACCTGTATAATACATCTTAGCTGGATAAGCTTGTAGGCATACTTTAATCCTGCTTGTAGCCTTGGACAATTCTAAGTGATGACAATGTATCCATTCATTGAAGCTTCAAACACCCCCACCTCCCCACGCATTTTAACTTTTTAAAGATTGTTAAAATTCTCCCCTGACTGATGTACTGGATGTTCAAGATGATAGCCAGAAGTTGTATTATCTTCATAGCTCACTGCAGACAACGGAACAATTATTTACAAAGCATTGTTTCTGGCATAATTACTTTTATTAACATTCATTCATAACTATAATCAATGATTCTACTTTATCATATGTACACCTTAAGAAGAACTTGGTGCCATGTCAAATGCCTTTTTTTCTTAATCAAAATTACGCTTTGAGCTAGCAAACACGTTGGCTGTAAATTTATCAATGTATGTATCAAAAAGTATAGTTTGTAATACTAATTGTACTTAATCATGAAACTGTGTAAATACTTTGCTAATAATTAGCTGGTGAAGGAACGAATTTGAAGCAATTTAAAGTAAGACTGGGAATTTTTCAGTCAAAAAACTGGTATGGCTAAATGAGAGAAGCTTTCATTCAATAGCCAGAATCCTTACATCACAATTTAACTTAACATTCTAGACTGAAATATATACTAACAAGTACTTTGTAAGCTTGTAACTTGTAGTCTTCACAAAAAATAGAGCCAAGTAAGCTGGGTAATTCATGCTTGAGCAATATGATCAGGCCTTTAACTTTACATATCTACAAGGTTAATTCAACTGCATGATGGTTTCACACTTTCAAAAAGGCAATGAAAACTGCACTCTCTTATCTTACCTACTTAATTGCCACAGACTACATCATCTATCATACATCTCTACTGAAATAGAATGTAAACCTTAACGATAACAAAATTCTCTAAGACTCAGAGAAAACTTTGCTATGAGCTAAGCAACTTGAACTGATCACTATTAATGATAATAATACCTTTTAATAAATTATCATTATTAAAGAATCATTACTACTGTGATTTTATTAATTCTAGCAGCTGTTTCCACTAAGTTTGTTTTTTTCAAATTTTCCATGGAAAGTCTCAATTGGAAAAATAAATAAACTGCCTTATAACTTTGTTACAGTAGTATACAAGTCAATGCTTAACTTTAGTCATATTCTGTGATGGACTTAGGAACTATAGTCTCGCATGATAGCAGGTCTCCATTTCTCTGTCCTTCCCTCAAATAAAGTACCCTCCCCCCTAGTTTCAAGCTATTCTTTTCGCAAACCAAAAGACAATCACTACTTGGCTTAGGTGTCACTAGCTCATTATAGGTCAGCTGACTATAACTTTAAATCAAATAACTTTTCTCCATGTGCAATCTAACAATTATTCTTTCAAAGTCAGTCCTAATAAGTAATCTTGGGATGCACTGACTCTCAAATGTTTGGTTCCACCACCTCCTCAACCCTTTGGCTAATCAGATGCAAATAAACCCAAACTTAATCCAACATTTCAAAACTTCTGGTATTACCAGGATCTTTGTTCTGATCAGCTGTTGCAGTTATGTTGTTTTCAATTGGCTTCTGTGATACTCAAGCAATTACATTTTCTTCTAAAAGCAGCAGCATATTGTAATCTTCCAAGTTACCATGTACAAGCTAATAACAAGTTCAGATTTAAAAGAAAAAAATCAATCTACTAGCTATTACACTAGGGCCTTTATCATCGACCTTTCTTTCCCTTACAATTGTTGTCTGGTGAGACAAGAGCCTCACGGAAAGTAAAAAACATGAACGCAAGGGGCAAGGAAAGAGAAAAACAAGTGTCTGCAGACTTCTAAGCCACACAATTCACCATCTCTCTGATAATGAATGACTTTTGAATGAATACTGCTCATGAACAAATCATCATATTAGTGTGCAATCTAAAAAAATGACCCATAGAAGTCCACAGACAATATTTTCTTTTGATCTCTCCCTCTTTGCCAACAACAGAGGCTCTGGAAAGGTTAGTTACACTTTGTTTTATACAACAATTTGGAAAGACTTTGAACTAAGCCTTACACTTCTATCTATTGTCTTTGAGAGAAAACTCTGGTGGAGGACCAATTTCTTGTTGTTTCAATTCCATTTGAGGTCAGAGTGACTGCTGAGATGTTTCTATCCTCTCGTGAGCCATACCAACAGAAGTAGAGTAAAAAACTGTAGCCATGTGATAGCAAGAGATGACGATGAATTACCCTGAGCTAGCACATCACCAGACTTACGAGTTGATGTAGGGTCAAAACCCCCACCTAGGACTTCATTGCCAGAGCTTTTAATTGATGAAGGTGTCGTAATGAAATCAAAGTCATTTTCTGTAAAAAATAAAAACAACCCAAAGGTTTCAATGTATATTGGGATCACAATAACCGAATGTTGCCTACTTTTAAAATAAAGAACAAAAATTATTCCCTTTCAGTTGTCTAAATTCTTAGGGATGACATCCAACTTAAAGACCAAACAAACTCCTCCAAGAATCTTTTTAAAAGGATCTCTCTCAGGCCTGTGCCTAAAACTGTCTTTGAGACTGGAATGATCAGTTTCATGAACTAAGTATTGACATGTTCTCATGTGTTTGGAGCTTAAACATAACCAAATGAGTGGGCCTTTTGAAATATTGTTACATTGGTAAGAAACCATAAAGGTGAATAGAAATCTTCATACCCCTTTCAAAATCAACGATGTTATTGTTTTCTCCACTTGATGTGCTACCACAGTCCTCATCATCCTCACCACAGCCACTTTCACTGATTTTGTTTCCTAATTATGAAGCATAAATAAACATAAATAAACAAAATTTGTGCTAATTAAAATGACACCAGCATAATTAGAGTACATCCTGACATCCTTTTTGAGTCTTTGATACTGTAAAAGTTTCATTCCTTTGCAACGCAGTACCAACAATTAAACAAGCAACCAGTTAGCTGCCAGATTTCATTCACATCTAATTTTTGAAATTTCAGACAAGCAGCACTGCAAGCTGTAACCATTTCGGTCACCATAGCAACTGAATTTGAAGCATAAGGTGCACATTTGGCAACTTGTATTTGGCAGTCATGTAGAGAGATGAAATGTTTAAAATTTAATTATAAGTTCTTTTTTATCTGAAGTCCTCATCATCATCATCATAGTACTCATGCTACCTTCTTTTCTTCTATAAAATTGTGTTTCTTTCTTGTTCAGATGCCACCTGAATGCTAACCATACTTCTTTCTTCAAAGAAAAGCAATATGCTCTGCACTTTATTAAATTATTCAATATTTTACAATTTTTTTCCATTGGAATCAATTATGATTCCAAGTTGCCCTTTCAACGCTAATAAATATAAAAGCTGATTACTATTTTTGTCACCACTCCCACTGCCACTACCACTTCCATCAAGTTCATCATCATCATCATCTCTTGTGATAGTATACTTTTCCATCATTTTAATCTGGCCATGAATCTTCCTCTCAAGAAACGTCAAGTGGTTTTTACTCTCTAGTGACAAAGATGAATCACCTTGCTTTGGCTCATACCTGTAGAAAATGATATTAACCGAGAATATAATTTGTGAAGGGAAAAAACCTAAATGTATTCAATTAACAACCAATTGTATGTGTTTCTGTTGAGAAAATGGTCTATGAACCTATACAGACCAATCATACTGGCAAAAAAAGCTTTTGAAAATTTTAAATGAGGGCAATTTTGAGGGATGAAATAAATTTAAAGATGTAAAGAGAAGAACAAATTAAAATTGCAGTGAAAATTTAATACAAAATCGAAAAATCTTGATTACAATGAAAAGCTATCTGATCAAAATTCCAAACAAATAAGGTGAGATTTTAACTAGGCTCTTAAAATGTTTAAACTCTTTATGTTGAGTGGTATTACATGCCCAACCCCTGGTGCAGCACAGGAAAACAAAGAGTTACGAATAGTAGGTTCCAAATTGAATTACCAATTACTTGTCTTTACCTTGCTACAAATGTTCCATTCCAACAGTTGTCAATGTTTTCCTTTTGTGAAGCAAGACCATCAACTACACAAAACTCTCGAGCTAAATCGTGGAAGAATGAGCTGAGAGCATTCAGCTGCCTATGAACAGCATCCATTTTAGCAAAGAGTCGCTCTTTGACATGAGGAGTCGGTGAAACAGATTCTTTATAAGGAGAAGTCTTTGCATCAGTGTAGGAAGGTTCGCCACACTCCTTCAAAACCTGTTAACAATATTGATATGAGTAACTGTTTTTAAGAACATGAACTAAAACAATAATTTTATCAAAACCATTTTAACAAGTTTACTGACCATCAGTCTCAGAAAACCATTAATACCTTGAAAATATAGCTGCAATTCTTACTGTGTTATTACCAACCACATAGGAGATCAGTAAATAAAATATTAAGTCTATGCTTGAGATAAGTGGCTTATCCTAGTTTCTATAGCATAAAGCAACAAGGAGTATAAATACTCCCCCCTAGATGGGATGCCAATCAATCACAAGGTTATTCCCCCTCCAATTTCATCAGGCTTCCCTGACAATTTGTGGGTAACCATTTATACTCCTAGGTAGAGAGAGGCACTGTAAATAAAGTAAAATGTTTTGCTTGAGGAAATGAAGGCAACCCACAAAATCACACAAATCAAATTAGTGTTATTTCCTACTGTTAACATTTCTCTCGCCTGGCTAACTTATTTTCCCAAACATGTCTTCCAAAGCAGAACCAACCAGGAGAATTCCTACTATCCCTTGATAAGATGCTAGTCCAATACAAGGTTACCAATCCCCTTCCCCCCCTCCCCCCCAGCAATTAGTCAGGTTTCCCTCTACACTCCTGGGTGGAGAGAGGCTCTGTGAGAGTAAAGTATCTTGCCCAGGAACACAACACAGTGACCCAACTAGGGCTCGTGTCCAGACCCCTTCACCTGGAGTCCAGTACACTAACCATTGGTTGACTACATTTTCTAGGTCCTGGATACTAGATTCTTTAATTATGTAACCTTACCTGCGGCATTAAATTAGCCTTCTGTAGTAACATAAAGGTGGCAGCATGCCATAAGTCTGTATGAACAGAGTTTAAAAAGTTCTCCAAATTTGAGTTTCCAACACTTTTAGCCAGTGAGAGAACAGTGTCTATTAACTGGCCCCACTTTCTTTGAAGTTGAGCTTCAGAGAGCAGACATTTTCTTGTTGTATCCATACAAAATTCATAACATGGCTTCACTTGGGTAAGACCCTGGCATAATGAACAAAATTTCATCTCCAAAAGACCATTTTTGCATCCATCTGTGAAGTTGAACTGTTGTGCCAAGCTTAATACCTCTACCCCAAATTTCAGGCCTTTGAAGAGGCTTCTCACTGGCTCAAAAACCTCCTCAAACTTACCAAGTAACTCTGCTGGGCGAGTACTGAATGGTTTAATTATATCCATGTTATCTTTTAAACAACTTTTATACTTTGCTGAGAGAGTCTTTCCTTCTGGATTGAAATATCTGAACAGCATTGGAAAAGAACTGCGAAAGAATGCATTCACAATGTCTTCTAGTTCTTGTTTATCCTCAGCCAAATAGTTTTCAAGGTCTTTGAATAACTTAGATACTGCAATGACTTCATCTGCAGTAAGATTTGGTTGTCTAACCAGTAAAAAGGTAATACTCTGTCTGTTACTTTCTTCCATGAGACTATGAAAATGCCCTAGAAATAAAACAAAATGTAATTTCAAATAAATGAAGTGGAAAAATAGAATATATTTGTTGAATTTTTTTGTATAATAAAAATATTTGGTAAAACAAAAATTCAAACAACTTTAAATTAAAACAAAATTGAAAAAAAAACAATGATAAACAGTAACATCCTGATGAAAATTGGGTCAAACTTTCACAACAATTTAATGCACTATTCCACTATTTAAAAAAAAATCTCTGGGGTTAGAATTTTATCAATGCATTATCTTACATTCAGAGGGTCAAGGCAAATTTGCACTCTATTGTTTAAATCATACCAATCCGCAAAGGGCAAATTAACATTATGAACTTCTAACTGAAGAGGTTGTTTGCAGAATACTCTATGAATAAAATTAAGGTAGCTAGAGTGATACATCAGTAACTAAAGAAATCTAAAAGTTTCCAAACTTTAAACAGTATGACTTCTGTTTTAATATTGAAGAAAATCAAAATACTGCAACCGGTTGGTTTTTAAGTCAATAGCACTTCAGATGCAAAACAAAAAGCCAGCACCTACTTGTGGTAAACAATCAGTAATATCAGCAGACAATAAGGTTCTTGGCTTTGCATTATTTACATAAAAGAAATTGGTTTAATACGTTCCAGATCTTTTGTCACTTGTACCAAAATTTGCATATTTACTTTTATTAAAAATAGAGAACGAAAAGGAAAGGCGCCGTAAGATTCATTTCAGATCCAAAAAAAAAAAAGAAAAGACAAATGGTTTGGTTCAGATGTGTTTCACTTTATAGCGACTCTGTATGGTGCATCGTGTCTCCCTATTTCAAAAAAGCTCCCGCTGGGTCAGAGAGGGCTTCAAATTTCTGACGATTTATATCCGTTCATTAATTTAGAACGTCAAACATATGAGATCGGAATTGTCTTGCCCGCAGGCGGCTCTGATGCGACTACGAAGATAAAGACAACCTTCTAAGCGCAGGAGAATTTTTAAAATGCTTTAGAAACACGCGATCACGAACACAGATGAACAAAGTTTAGGTCATGCTAGTTTTGTTATTGTTTTCGCGCCTTCTCAGGCTCTACTGTCATAATTTGCATAACCCAACTTCTATGCTAGATTTCATCGCTAGATTAAGTAACAAGAGCATGATTTATTCTTCGATAGCTGAATTGTTCATGATAAATGTGTGCGCTGGGAGGTCTTCTGGAAAATGACAATTTTTCTACCATTCTCGTGGAATATATCGTAATTAAGATTTCAACACAAATATCAACAACAAAGGAATTATTGCATTGATATTTTATATTAAAGGCCAGAAACACGCTTTAGCCTGACAAAATCCAATTCCTTCGCAATCGAAATATCCAGACTATAAGTCAGTTTTCTGTGTTTAAATCACATTCAGAGTGCAGCGCTAAGGTTCCTAACTATTCAAAATCCATCATGCGTTATGCGTTTGTTGAATTGTTTTAAGAAACATCGAGGAATAGAAAATTAAATCATGAGGTGTCAGAAAATTGTACTCAATATTAAATATTAAATTAAGGAAGAGTATACTGATAAAAAAAGTTCTAAGTTTACGATTTTAAGCATATTAACGCACTTGAGACAGGAAAAAGAAAAAGAAACAATTCCGAGCATGTTTGAGCCATAAGCTAAAATGCTCAAGTACCTCATTATTACAATACCCCTATAGGAAATCGGCGTGAAGAGCAATTGATTAGGCATAGCATTGTTTAGAATACCTCGAGAGAGCCCGAGTTTTTTGTTAGAGTATGATCTGCTCTTTCTTTCTACTTTTGGCTACAATAACTAACCGAACCGCAAATCCCAAGGCAGTTGCGATCACTCAAGTAGCCTGAAGAATTTGTTTATACAAAGCAAATGATAGAGTGCTTTTCATCAACTTACAAAATAGTTCAACGAACTGTGGATCGATGGCTTACCTTTCAAATCGTCAAAAAGCGATAACATGGCTTTCTTTGCAGCCATATATTTAGTTTGCAATTGAGTCTTGATATTCTTCGCAGCTTTAATGCGAAGAGATGCTTCCGTTTGTCTTGTACAGCACGTTTTTTTCGTGTGACTAACACAAACTTGCGGCTCCTTCCCTGTCAAAGATAAATTGTGTCAGAGTAAGTTCGATAAACACTCGACCACTCGTGAAATATTGGAGTCTTCCACTTCTAACCTTCGTCAGGAACTTGCGGATTCCATTGGGCGTTCGCTCCAAGCTGTTCTACTGAACAAGACAATTGCTGAGTGTCGCATTCGGCATGCCAAGCTTTCAAAATAAAACTCAATAAACAAACCACGTGAATCTTGTGAAAAGAGCCCATTTTGCGCCGCTTGTTAGGATATTGAATTGTTTCAAAAAGCCTAACTTTCACGTATGTCAGCTACGTGGGGAACTAAGATACACAAAATAATAGCGACTTCACTTTAAAATGCGTTTTCATGTCTTAAAAGGTCATTCGTCTGCGCAACAGAGAAGATATGGTTTACAAGATATTGAGTGTAATGGGTGTATCCGCAGAACCCTTTCCATATTCGTTCAACGGTAATTAATCGAAACAATGCAAACAGTCAATCATGACTAAGCGATGAGCGAAACAGCTGCGCGGCGCCTTTGACTAATAACAGAGAAAAGAGAAGAAATATTTTATTGGGCAAACGGGGGTGGAATGTGGTGCGGCACAGGGAGGGAGTGATCGTAAATTCCGGTTTAAGGTTTCCCGACTTAGCATTCAGTAGTCTTAACAACTTACTCTTTTCAGCTCTTTTAGCTAGAGAGGTTTACTCTAAATCCTTGCTTAATAACTTCTTTGTGAGTTTAATTTAGTTATGACGAGTTTTTAAGATGAACAACAACAACTGAAACTTGAATTATCCATAATGTACTATCCATGTTTGTATTGGCTGAAAAATTATTTATCTTCCCTTACAGACATTTAGGAACCCGAAGCAAACTGTGGAATATGACACTTTTCGTTGTTCTTCCCAAATAGATGAAGGACATAGGAGTTCATGCTTAAAAGCGAGAGGCACGACCTCTCCATTAATCATATTCCCAATCTCAAAGAAAACGTAAATCATCCAGTTGTGATAACATCAAATCTTTTCCCTTGGAAGATAAATAGTGAGGTCTGTTTCGGATAAACCTTATCATTAGTTGTTCGACATACAGGCTGGCACGTGCCGACAGGAGAACGAGCTAGAATTTCCATTTCTGCCTTTCTAAAAATACGATGAGAAAGTTTCTCAGCTCACGAAATCATTTACTTCAATATTTGGCTCAAATCAAAACCAGACATCGCCATTTACGAAAACAGATTTGTTGTCATCTACAAGCGGAAAGCAGTAGTATATAATTAAACTCCGATTCATAAAGATTTGAAATTTGCTGAGTTTGTGGAAACAGTCTAACTACAAAGTCAGTTAGGGAATTTTATAAGTCAATTAATGGTTGCGTAACCATAGCTGAAATGTAGAAAAGATTTACTTCCGGTCACTGAAGCAGATTTTCTCAGATGTGTTGTTTCAGTGTTCTCTCTCGTTTGATTATTTGTGGAGGGTTGAATTAAAATCGCACTTAATATAAACATAAGAGTCAGCTGATAAGTGAGGCACTTATTACATTTTGAGTGGAGGAGGGGCTTATAATATCGCGACTGATTTCAAGGAATTCGTTACGTCGAAATCTTTTCGGGAAACCAAGACACATTCCTTTTTGAAGAAGGTATCACTAAAACGGAAACAAAGTTGTAAATACACACATATCAAGCTGAAAAACAAGATCTGCTTCTTACAAATATCATATAATAAGATCTGAATTTTCTCAATCCACTTTGACGTAGAATCTTAGATTTACTGAATTTTAATTAAAACGCTTTGATTGCAATCTTATTGAGGTTAAACGGATTTAAAATCACTCAAAAGAGTAAAATTTTCTATAGTGTCGTAATTCCTGACGCCCACTTTTCCTGTCAGCCCGTAGAAAACTCGTTCAAACAACGGCGCAAACAATCAAATGGCAGAAAAGGAGCAGTCCAGTGAAATTCCAGTACAAAACCCAAACAACATTACCGCCGTCTCGTCTGATGTTTCAAGAAGACTTCCTTTTCTTGGGAGGACTTTTCTCTTCCTTTATTTCGTTACTTGACTCTTTCGACTTTCGTTTGGAGTTTTCAGCCCTGTTTTCCTTCGTCTCCGCGAGTTTTTCTTCCATGTTGCAATCAGTTTCCTCTTTAGTTCCTGGCGGAGTGTTCGCATCGTCTTTGCTTTCAGTTTCTAGAAACTTCTCTTTTTCTGTCTTTTCCGATTCCCCTGTGGTCTTCTTGATCGTTTCAGTCTTCGTATCTTTGCAATGTTTTCCTCCGCAGTTTGATTCTTCCGTCTCTTGGAACTTCTCCACCTCTTTCTCCGGCTGCACGGGAGTTGTGGATGACGTGTCAACTTCTGTTGATGGCATCTTTCACTATAACAGTAGGGGTATTTCTTGTCCCAGTGTTGAAACGGAAAACACGGGAAATGAGGAATAGAGTGTCAAAATTTTTAGAATATACAGCAAACGAATAACAAAATGTTGAAGCTCTTTCAGCTTTAGGAAGGAATGGCGCACGCCACTTTTCCCGCCACTAGGACCATTTCCATTTTCCCGCCAGTTGACGCTTGCGCGTTTCTCAATTTAGAATAGAAACAGCCACAAAAAAAGAAAGGAAAATAAAATGAACCACGCAGATTGTAAATTTCTAGGCTCAATAATCTCCTATAAATTAAATTATATTGGAAAAAAATTCTTAAGAATAGTGAATAAATGAAGGGCCACAATCTTCTCTTCACTACGCCGTCATGAGAGGAGAATTTGGACTTGGATCTGTGCTGATCTAAGCCAATGGTTCGTTTTCGCGCCAAAATAAATTTCGAAAATATTAGCATACATTTAATTGAAATCCAAGATGGCGGCCGGCGAAGAGAACGACGGAGCTGCCTTGAACAAAGTCGTTATCCCTAAGAAGCAAGAAAAACGAAAATCATATGAAGAAAATGTCATCTCCAATTCTTCCTCAGACTTCACGTGCCCCATATGTTTGCAAATACTTATCGAACCTGTAGTAATGCCTTGCGAACACGAGCTGTGTTGGCCGTGCTTCAAGCAAAATGTAGAGGAGGCGAATTTCCTTTGCCCTCTCTGTCGAATGAGGATTTCAAGTTGGGCGAGAAGAAATTCGCGAAATGGGACACTGGTTAATGTAGCACGATGGCAACAAATTCAGCAGCTCTTCCCAGAGAAATGTCGCAAAAGATTACGTGGTGAAGATGATGACGATATCTTTGGTTAGAAAACCTTGTTGTTTGAGTTTTATTACGCTAATGCTTTCGTCGACAACATTAACAAAACTTTGAAATTCAACACTATCGAGGTCCCAGTATAACAGTTAAGGCACAAAAAAAAAAGATATAATTTACGTATAAAGGTTTATTTTGTCCACTAATTAGCTCGCGCAACATTAGTAGAATGCAGCACAAAGATTATTATGATGGGAGAGATTATTCGTTGAACCCATTAATAAATCTTGAGACTATGCTTTTTTCTCTAAATCTGTTCAATACTCACTGGTATTAAGTGATTCAGGTATTCTATAATCCGTTTTCCGGAGAGAAAGAAAAATGGAGGTGGGGGGGTTTGGGAAAGATTGCAATCTGTTCACAAGGGGTACAACTTGATTCTGCAATGGTGTTGACCACTCATAGCCTGCATTTTTTTTTCTGTCATAAATTGTATTTTTTTTTTCAATTTCACTGGTACAGATATGCCACCAGTGAAACGCACCTTATCCAAGGATGGGGAACTACGTAAAGAGTATGAGGAGGAAATGAGGAAGGCAAGTTACAACAGTTAACTCATTGCATGTACCTAAGCCAGCATGCATTGGTGTTCCTCTATGAATATTGGTTGGGAAATGTAGGGATCACTATTATTCAAAACAAAAATGGCTTTCGACTTAAGTCACACTTGTAGAAACAGACTACTTGCCCTGTAAAGATGACCTTGAGACAATAATGCAAAAATTTTTTTTCCTTGAAAGAATATTTCTTTTAGACTAAAGAGGGTTAGTTTCTAAAGAACCTGTAGTGCTGCATCAGTATGGGGGGAGTATAACATGATAGTTTGGTTTTATCAATTAAGTTGATAATGTGAATTGTGGTTACTGCAGAGAGATTCTAATGCTAACATAGGGAGCACTGTCAAGCACTCTGTGGGAGCTAATCGGATTTGCTCTGATGAAGGGCTAATCCTTGACACAGCTTTAAAATCTCTCTAATGTACCAATCCACAAATTATTTTATCCCTGACTAAGCCTAAAGTTAGGTTAAAGGATGGAACAATGTGTTCTGGCATTGTTAATATCTTTTAAATTCTTAACACAAGTCAGTGCTACTAGAAAAAAAATTTCTTCTTGTAACAAATCTGAATCTCTATTTTATTAACCAGTTGGTGAACAAATTTACATAGACATAATGTCTAACCCCAGTTGAAATTTAATTGAAGGGGTGCCAATTTAAGGCAGATGTTGCCTAATGACTGACAGTTGTCTGGAGTTCTAATGTAATGACCTTTTTATCACAAACAGTCATTTATGCCTCAGACAAAGTGAATGTCCAATCCCTATCTGATGTCATTTTCAAATATCTGTCTTAGTTGAAAGTAGCAAGAGAGGAGGAAATGAAGGCAAGTGAAGAGGTTATCTACAAATTACAACAAGAGGAACAGAGATTAATGAGGTCTCTAGAATACCAGAGACTACAAGATGAAGAACTTGCAAGAAAAATGATAAAGGAGGAACAAGGACAGGTGAGTAGTATACAGTAGCTTGAGCATAGTGGATCATTGAGAAGTTTCTTTTCTGTTGAAGTTTAGCTTGAAGCTAATAACTGGAATCTTTGTGTTATTGCTCTTTGGATTTCTACAGAACTCAACGGGACAGCTGCCTAAAAATAAAAGCTTATCAACAACCCCATACAAGAATAAAATTGTGAAAGGAAAAAAGATAAAAGGACAGAGTACTCAAGCTGGTCACAGTAACAGTACACTAGACAGGTGGTTCCTTCCTACAAGGCATACCTCTCCTGGTGATATTCAAGGTATTCCATTCAAATATTATTTACATTCTTGGAAAGTTGGTTCTATTTAAGACAATACAACACATTGAAAGCAGGTTTTCTTCTCAGGCAAATTGAAAGTCATGATTTCCTTACTTGCATAAATACCATAGATCCAGGTATTTATCTCTTTCAGTTTTAAAATTAGTAATCACAACATGCTGCTGGCAATCAAAGTTTGAGGACAGGTTATGTAGTTGGAATTGAACATTATTCACTTCAAGAGCTTAAAGTTTTACTCCAAGCCAAGAAATAAAAGTGTGGTAATTCTACAGACAAGAATTCCTCTATATATAATCTTAATTATTATATTTACTTTGTCAACAGGATTATCAAAGAATAAAAGCAGTCATGGTAAATCCAATTTCAGAAAAAATTCCTCTGAAGACAAAGAGGATTCCATCTTTTCATCAAGTTCTACATTTAGCGATATTTTTAACATGAACAATCTACAATTCCTTGAAGAAAGAAGAAAACAAGAAGAACAAGACCTTCAGTTTGCAATAAAGTTACAAAAAGAATTTGATCTGGCAAGTACAAAGGCTTCAGAGGTGGACAGAAAGAAAGGAACTGTTGATGCATATTTACTACGGACTGTCAGTGAAAACGAAGAAGTGGAAAGTGGCACTGATAATATAACTTCATAAAATAAACGGTAACATTCCTGTTTTTTATTTGTTTTGACATATTTTATAAAACTTAAAGTTAAACTGTGAAAATTTCTTGGCTCAATATTGTTTTGACTATGCCTTCTAATGTGCCTACTTGTAACTGTGTTTGTTTTGGTGAACGTCTGTGATTAAAGTGTCCTAAAGGGCATAAGAAGGAAAAAAAATTATTTCAAAATTACTAATAATAAAAAAAAAAATTACCGGTAAACTAAATTAAAGTAGATATCAAGTGGTGTTATAGGATGAAGGAGAGATATAAATAAAATAATTTGTGGTTTATTTGATGCACTTGGTTGTAGTAATAATAACAATAATGATGATAATAATAATAATAATAATAATGTCAAAAATATTACGAGCTATTATTCTTATGATCTACAACTGGGTGAGCTGGAAATCCTTTCTTTTGGGAAGTGAAGGAGGAAGCTGTTACATTTCCGGCAAAAGTTTACTTTTTTGAGTTCCCTTTATACAAATTAATGACTAAATGTCATCAAGGTTTTAATTTAGCTCCATTACACAGCTTGAGCATGTATTCTGTTGGTGTAGTAAACTGAAGTCAGCTTCCTTTACTAAATTTCATTGGAGTTTCTAATGTATTCTGCTGTTTCTGCACATGTGATTCTTGTGTAGAGGTACAGTTAGCCTAACTGGGTCTTCTAGGGAGGCACATGGATGCAACACTCATGAAAATTCTTGCTCATCAGAGTCTGGGTACGAGTCTACAAATGCAGCTAACATCTGGGCAGTTTCATCATTTTCATTCTCCTGAAAATTGATTAATTCAGAAAAAACTCATTTGAAATGAACAGATGAATGGTTTAGTAAATGCAAAAAAAGTGGCATGGTGCAAAGGTAAGAACACTCCCCTCCCACTGCTGTGGCTTGAGTTTGATTCCCACACCTGAGGTCACATGTGGATTGAGTTTGTTGTTGGTTCCTCTCCTTGTTATGTGGGTTTTTCCCCAGGTCCTTGGGGTTTCCTCCCTCTGCAAAAACCTACATCCCAACTTCCAATTTGCCTCGGAAACAGTGGACAGGAAGAGCCACCTTGTGGAATGCAGCCTGCTTAATTATTATTATTATTATTGTTATTATTATTATTAATATTATTATTATTATTATTATTATTGTTATTACTATTGTGTTGATTACTAGCTTACCTCATTTAAGGAGGTATTATCACTATTTGCAACACTTTCTGTGAGTTGATCTTTATTTGCTGTGAGCAATGTACTGTTGTTGTTAATTAAAATTTTCTCCTTTGAACTGCAATTATCAGTATCAGTTTTCCTTCTCTTGGGCTCAAATATTCTAGCATACTGTGGAGAAGGTCCAAAGTCTTCATCAGGCAATGTTTCTGATAAGACAGTTTGACTTGACTCATTGTTCTGAGGTTGGGTTGAGATCTGGCTGGCCGTGTTTCCTGCATCAGCAAGTGATTTATCTATTCCACTGTAACCTTGGCTTTCCCTATCACTCGTACTAGTAAAAGACTTATCAGATTGATTAAAAGATGTTTCATTCTGTACAGACTCTTGTACTGTTTGATTCCCGACATCTATAACAAAACTGTTGTCCATACTTCCTCCTTCTCTAGCTCCAAATTCCCCTTGCTCCATAGGGATTTGGTTTGTCTGTAAATAATCAGCATGATTTCCATTATTGCTTTCAGATTCCCCGCTCAGACTTTGCCAGTTTGTATTCATAACATGCTCAAATGTAACTGAAGAGGCCATTTCCGTTGTATTTGCATGCTCCTCAGAGGTGTTAAGCTGTAAAGGCCCTGGTGCAGAACACACTTGTGGGAATATGCGTGGGTGAATGATGGTATTAACTACAGCTAAGGCCTCTTGGCAGAAACTTGATACCTAGGAAAGAGTGTTACTGCTAATTATTTTATGAAATATTGGAAGATATAGCCTGTTTTTTTCTGTGATGTCATTGTCCAGAGTGAAATCAATCTAAGAGCCACTGGTGAATAACCAATATGAACACAAGTGCTTGTCTTGTATGTGCTGACAGGCTACTCAAAACAGCTGAGCACTTATAAAGGGGGTAAGTTTCTAAAGAAACTGTGGTGCTACATTGGTGGGAGAGTATAACAAGGTAATATAGTATTATCAACTGAGTTTATAACATAAATTGGCCTCTGTTAAGAGTTTCAAAGCTACCATTTTGAGTGTTAGCCCTTTACTAAGGGGAGAATCAACAATTAGATCTCTAAGATTTAATTACTATTGCTTTCAACCTGTGAGAGATAATTCACAAGCCTCAAATTCCTATTTCCAGCTGTATTAAAATAAATGTTTACTGAATCAAAACTGACCAACCTTAAAATCACTATCCTGCAGTCCTAAACTAAACAATCTTGCAGCATGATGCACAGGTGGTGGAACACAAGGAGAGTTAGTGAGCAGACAATTAAGTAGAGCATGATACAATGCCTGTCGACAATATGCACTTGTGTAAGGTATGGGGAAACCATTGAATGAAGACTGCTGACATTGAATGATCAGTTTGACAATGACAACTTGCACTTCCTAAAGAAAAATTGAAATGAGGATAAGAACATTGAATCATTTGTTCATCTCTAGAAGCAAAAAGCAACATATTTACTGTTACTGACCCTTAATGCACCGTGAGGAATGTCACTTCCAACTGCAATCAATACTGCACATAAGGCTGAAGATGATAAAATCAATGTTAAACTTCAGGGCCATAAATTAGAGTAGTTTATTGATGATTGGTTCCCCACAGTGTGTTGATGTAAAACACAGTTTAGTCAAACCACAGTTAACCTTTTAACAACCAGAAGTGATTAAAATGTAACTTCTCACTAAAATATCCATACTTTATCCAGCATAAAGGTAATGAGAATATTCCAACTTATTGGGTAGACAATGTAATCTTGATGTAACACTAAATTCTCGTAACTAATTTAATAGGAAATGTGTAGCAGATAGCTGAGAGAATTAACAATAAAACCTTGGGAGTTGAAGAGTTAAAAATTTTGTTATTGAGATAAGATGAACTAATTAAATTTTATTTCACCTTTGAGTGCTCTGCATGTAACACTCTCATTTGCATTTTCATCAATCTTTTGTTGACCTGTGAACCCATGAATGAAAGCAGTTAACATTTTGCAATAGTAAACATGTTGAAATAAAGCAGAAAATGTTTTTTAATGCTGCTTAATTATGGAAAAGAGATTCAACCTGTTCTTCTTATTTGAAGAAACTGAAAGACTTAAATTATCATGCATAAATTCCTCAGACAGCTTTAAAATGAATAAAAAATTTCTATCAGCAATTGTTGCATGAGTTCCTGTTGAACCCTTTTCGTATCAGAATTGCTTTTGCTTGTTTTTTTTTTTAGTATAAAGTACAACAGCTAAATGGGAGAATACCATCTTTTAGCTTAATTATACACCATAGAACCATAGAAAAATAGAGAGTTTTTCGCTGCTGCAGGAAAAAAAGTAATCAAAATTAGTAATCCCAAAAGGTACAAGAAGAGGAAGTCATGAAGTTGTTATTTAGTTTGACTCTGTTTTCTGTAAAAATATTTTCAGGCCTCGCTGGAAATGGTGACACTTAATTTTTAATAACATTCCCACAGTCAGCAATTAGAACATGAAGGAAAACCACACACAAAAAATCTAATTGTCAGTAGCACTTTATAACAAAGACCTGTAAGTAACTGCTCAACATCCTCTTGCATTTTCCTCTTCTTCCCCTACCAAAAAAAAAATGCACACCAGTACAAAAAAGATTATCATGAAGAACTTTTAAATTTTCATTTCCTATTCTGTCTTTGTACTAGTAACAGTACCTTTCTTGACTGCTGTTTATTTCCACAGCTAGGATTTGGTATCAACTACAGATCAAAAGAGGAAAAGAATTGAAGGAACGTGTAAGGCACAATCTCACTCAGGAAGAACAATAAATACTGGTAATAGGACTGAGTGGAGTCTAATTCTGTCTGCAATCATACCAGTGATAAAAATCTGACAAAAGTGATGCAAGAATATGGTTACAAACAGAATTGGTTGAAACAAAGTCCTCTTACCAGTTAATCAAAAACAATGACAACATTTGAGAAAGAACTAGATATAGGTTATACATTTTCATTAAGAAAAACAACAGTTAACTTTGCAAAATATGCTACAACAGCACATACACTTGATGCATGCTGTCAACTTACACAGGCATGTCATGTCAACTTTCCTATTACACTTTCCAATTACAAGCATGACGCATACATCGTCCTATCAGTGCTCAAATAGGGCTGGTGGTAACCAATCATTTTTGAGAATCTTGTTAAAGTTTTCATTAATGTTCTAATTCCTTAATTTTCGAGTGACTCATTTTTTAGTTTGGATGTTTTCTTTCAACCCAGGGCTGTCCATTAGGGCTGTAACCTGTAACACCAGTTACATCTAAGCTCACTTGCTATTATGGGTGAAGAGGTGAATCATGGTGAGTCATGTATCACTTGGCCACATATTTACACCCTTAAAGGTGATATCCCAAATGTAATGACTGCTGTAAAACTGAATAACAGCCCAGGGAATCTACTGTTTTATATACGGGTAGATTGCAAGTACTATTAGTCAGTTGATTATGAATCCATATGACAGGCCATGTCACCCAAAAATGATTGACTTGAGAATCAACTGCTGATAAATATTTTAAGAAGACAGGCTGACTTCTCTCAAACCCAACCATGAATTTTTCAAGTTGTAAATGGTTATTGTATCTTAACAGCACAATTGCTCCATACTTGTGTAAGTTTATTGCAATGCCATTTGTAAGCCTTGTCAAGTGTTTCATAATTTTACCTTTGTTTGAGAAGTTAATGGCCTAATGTCATCAAGTATGAGTGACATCAATTTGGTCACCACACCACCCTCCTCAGGTAGGCTACTTGTCAGTTGAACCCAGTGCTCCATGCAGTGATACACAGAACACCTCAATTTCCTGAAAAAAGAGGTAACTATCTTGTAGGAGAAGTAGTTTTTGGTTATCCTGATGAAGGATTTTGTCTCAGCCAAGAGATCCTTCAGAGATCATTCAGAATACATTGGCAAACTCCTTAAGCTCTACTCTCTAAGTCCCATTCATATTGCAAGATATTCACATTCCTTCTACTGCTGGAGGATACTTATTTTAAGTAGCTGATGACAAATGACATGAAAAAACCTTCACAAAATAATACTAAAATAGGAAATTAAAGGCAATTTTTCCAAGTTCAGGATGAAGATTTCACAATTATTTTTCTAACCTGTATGGTTTGTTGAAGCCATAAGCAGGGTCTTGAGTTTTAGTCCATGTAAGCTCTTGCACCAGAAGCTTTATCAACAAGTCACAATATGGAAGCATCACATTTCTACACCTGTTGTGCCATTGGAAAGAAAATATTGTTGAACAGGATTCTAGTATGCAGCTCAGGCCATGTATAACCCTTTCATTTCCAAGCTCTCAAAATAAATTCTCCTTTTTATCTGCAGCTATATATTTAAATTTTTAAGCAGTTTGGTGTGAAATCAAACAATTATCCCATTCCAATTTTTTTTCCTTTCTTCTTATTTCCTTTTCCCAGACAATGTATACATATTAGAAATTACTTCCTGATTAGTTCCAAGAGTGAAAAGGTTTGGTCAAAGTCTGGCCCTATTACTTTAAACACCATCTCAAAGTTTCCTTCTTCTTCTTCTTCTTCTTTTTTTTTAATCAAAGTTGCCTCAAAGGCATAACTTGAAAATGTTTTAAGTAAGTTGCTCATGTCTGAGATACTATCAAGGTACCTTGCCTTTTAAGACTAAAATACTTTACCTAGTAGCCCAGTAACTGAGATTCATAAAAATAGTATAACAGCTGAAGAACCAAGACCAAGTACGCTTAGTATTGTCACAAACATATGAAACATAATATTTAACATATTGGTTAAAAAGAAAACATTAAATAATTTACCTTGTGATAAGTGTGGTTAACAAATCTACAGCATTTGTATGAATTAATGGTAAACTTGCTCTCAACAACACTGATTCCACAACAACAGCACTTTTCTGCAAAATAAACATTTAAATCAAGCTTAAAAATATGCATGTCCAATGTTAATACAAAAAAAAGTTCCTTGAACACTGATTGGTCCAAAAGTTATTTTCTAGAAAAATATATCTTTCATTAGGTAAATAACCATTCTCCTATGATATCACTGTTTCGTGCAGTTTAATCAATACATAATTTTCACTCTTACCAGTGAGTTGCAGGTCACATTCATTATTCTCACTAAAAGGTTCATTGTAGAATCAATAGGAACTGCCACAACTTTTAGATGTTCTTCCCTTAAAATGATAGAGGAAATATTTTCATCACTTTATGAAAATTATATATTTAACATTCCTTGAAAAAATTGACAAAAGCAACAGATATGATTAAAATTAAAAGGGAAAAGAAACCATCAGTAAAATCCTTGTGAAGTTCTGTCCATACATGTGTCCCTAGGAAACAAGTTACCTTATCATTCCTGAGAGGAGATGAAGCAATGAATTCAACCTTGTGATGAGAGTGTGCGTTCGGTCTGGTTCTGTGGCTGGAACATCACCAAGTGGAAGGGATTCATTTTCTGAGTCTTGGGAGGGTTTGTTGGCAACTGGAGTAAATGATGTGAAATTAGTAAATGAACTTCACAATTTACCGTTCCAATAAATAAAAATGAAGAAAAGAATTATCCTGAACAACATACCTGGCTCAACATTTTCATAGGCGCTATCAAGGAGTTTATGAATTGTACAAAGCACTTTGTTCCATTGTATATTCCAAGGACACAGCTGTTGCTTGTCACCTGACCCACTACGACTACATCTTGGTAACAAGGCATAACAACTGCATGCAGCCTGTGACAAAAAAAGATACACAGTAATGTTTTTGATTCTCTTAACTTGCCCTCAAACAAAAAAGAAGTCTTCTTTACAACTGTTGCTTACTGTTCATCTAGGTGTTATTATTGACTCTAAAAATCTTTAATATTTTGGAATTACAACATATGTTGATGTCAGGAAGAACAATTCCTGTTGCTGCCAGTTCTCCACTTGGATGTTCATCTCAGGCTTCTGTGTGGTAGACATAAAGTCTACCGATAAGTCTTAAGATCTTTTCTTGTTGGTAATTTTGTCCATTTTTTTACTTCATTACAGCATAAATTAAGACCAAGTTTGTTAAGTATGCAGCGCAAGTTGCCTGAATGAAATCAACCAAAATCCTGCCTGCTGTTCAAAATGTTCAATTGACCACAACAACATACCTTCATTGTTTCATTGCAGAATGAATTTAAAGGTGGTAAAAGAAATTTTTCAATTTGATTCTGAAAATAAAGAGATAAAATTATAATAAAGGTGTAGCTGACATAAAGATGTGAGTGACCTTGAGCTAAACCTAGAGTTACAACCCTTGACAATACTTTCAGCAGACTTGGCCGAAAAAAAAAAACTATAAAAACTATGTTGTGATAATAAGACTTACTATATATAGAAGTGAATTAGTTACGCACGATATAATCTAACTATTGTATTGCGTGTGAACTGGCTATGGAAGGCATTACAGTATTGTAAGGATGAGTGCATGAGTTTTCTGGCACTGGTCATTGTCAAAAGTGGGCCCCTTACTGAGTCATAACTTGTCTTTAACTGCTTTGTCAATCATGCTACAGCACTTATGAGAGCCTGATTAAAATTACTTACCCTGGAGGGTCCTGAAGGTCCTGGGAAATAGCGAATACATGAAGATAGCATCAACAACACTGAGCTCTCGTCCTACAAATAATTACAGACATGATCATGGATGAAAACAAAGCAATGTTTGCTCCTGTACATATTGTTCTTTCCATAAGTTCATTACTTTTAATGTTGCACTTACTGAACATTTGTTGGCCAACAAGGTTGAAATGATGGATGGAAGGACTGAGTTAGACAACTCTCTTGATAATTCTGAAAACTGAACAATAAAACTTTTGTTATAATAAGTGGTGAGTATACTTGAAGCAAATTGCAATCTTTTTTAATAAGTGTACAATGTGATAGTCTTTGGTAGTCTTGCTAAAAAAAATACTGTTTAAAAGCATCCTCTTACCTCTGCTGCATGTTTTAAAATGTTATCAAGGATCTTGCTGCAATACTGAAGGACACTTGATTTTTTTGAAGTCTATAAGCATTGAAAAACTATATCAAAAATTCTGGATAATATTTTGAAAAAATTTATGAATGGAGAACCCAAGCCAACAGAACAACCATAGGAAAAAAAAAGCCGAAAAAAAAAAAAAAAAAAAAAAAAAAAAAAAAAAACATAAACAAAATACAAAAACAAAAGACAGGACAAAGAAAACAACCTGAAAAGCTACCTGAATTATCTGGAGAAGACCTCTTAGCCATGATGAACAATTTGTCCTGAAGGCTTCTGTATCACATTGTTCAACTGTTATTCCAAGTAGACAAACACCTAACCAACTGTAAAATTAATCAATACCAGATCATTCATTCTTTTTGCACACTGAGGTTGAAAACTTTTTGGGTTAATTGTAAGAGTGTATGTCCGGTTCTTAAGACTTACATGCATGAAGCAACATTTATGGCATGGTTCTGTGGAAAAGGAAAGGCACTAAGACTTTTCCATAAATCCTTGGTAAGGTCTATATTTAGAGAAATGTTCCAGTCATTTGTCATTTTAACCCCCCTGATATCTGGCCCACTATTTATGAAATTTGATGATGGGAAGGCTAGTACTTGCGTAAATTACCTTTTACATAACGAATGGGGAAGGATCATTAAATTTGCTTGTTTTATCATGTCTCATGTCTGTCTTTGTCTTTATTTTCATCCAGCAAGGACGGGGGAGCTGTTAGTCGTTCTCATTTTCAAAGGGGTGAGGAGGTGGGGGGGGGGGGGGGGGGGGGGGGAATGAGTAAAAACCACCTAAGTTAAAGCAGATATCCCCTTAACAGCCTACATCGCTCTGTTTACAGCATATCACCTTGCAATAAAAATATCTACATTTACCAGTCAGTCTTTGAATTAAGAAGACTATTGACTTTTCCTATCCAGCCATCCGGAATTTTCTGAAGTAAAGGATAGAAAAAATTATATTTTACCCGGGTGAGGATTGCACGTGGTGTACCCACCTAATGAAAACAAACATACCAAGAAGTATTTGAACTGAGGATTTTAAATAAAGCTGTTATTTATACTTACCTCTAAATTAAGGTACTGTTTTGATTCTACGCATTCAAGAAAAAAGGCTGTATAACTCTCAGGTTTCGTCTCTAGAAACGAACTTGCTAAAGTGGACAGTTCGGCCGCCATTTTGTTTTTACTCGGGAAACAGCTGACTTGTAATAAATGCAGTCTCGTTATAAAAACCTTAATGCATTTCGGACGAAGTGCCAACATGGCGGCTCAAGTTCAAGCTGGGTATTCGTCGTATTCCAATGAGATAAAGGAGAAGCTAAGTCTATGGGATGTGAAGGATTCTCCTCTTGCACCATTGTCAGAAAAGCAAAGAAATAGTGTACTCGAACTTACTACAGTAGCAGGAAATCGTCCTCTTTTAGACGAGGTGAGCTCAAAAAATTGTATATTTGGATCAGCTGTTTTGAAGCAAAACAGTTAGATTCATCAGCTGAGGACATAAATTCTTATAGAATATCAGAGGCAGACAATGAGTGCTGCGTACCTGATGAAATGCATATTTCGTAATTATTTCACAGAAATATTTCCTCGCGTTGCTTCCTCGTTTTGCTTAGTTTTTGTAATATGGTTTTGCATACCCAATTGTTTATCTACTAAAGTGGATTTGATTGCTAAACAGAATGCTTGTGATGTGAGATCATGGAACAGGAGATCAATGCATTTTTCTTCATCTTAATGACAGGGCACATAGTCCCACTCACTTTAAAGTAAAGCATATTTCTTTATTATTCTCTGTTAATCAATCAAAGTTACCTGATGACGACTGCACTAGTTTACCTGCAAAGAGGACCTTGAGTGAAACCAGTAAAGAAGCTGCTGTGGACATGGCAACAGTTGATTTGGGATCAGAAAAAATAGAAAATGCTCAGCAGGTTGGGTTTTCATCTCTGTTGTTAATCCTTTAGCTTCAACTCCTGTGAGTGACCAAGACAGAATTTCTCCTTACAATATCAATAGAATATCAAACAGATAAGTGGTGAGCATAAGGAAAGATGTCAATTAGGGGATTAGAGAAATCCAACCCACTCTCTTCAAATCAGTTAGGAACATTCATGACATTAACATCAAAAATAAACCAAACAGAAGGACCTAACTTTACCAACAGTCCTTCTCAGGACTATGCTTACCAACAATCAGGCTACAATAAGCTGTTTTCAAAATCTGGGTCAGTCCAGTGTGGTGTGTGAGATGTCAATCATTCTAATTTATTTCAAACAAGTTTGAATGTTGTTTAAGGTATAAAGATGACCATCAGAATTAAATCACTCTTTTGACTTATCTTGAAAGTAGTGTTGATTTCTGTGCTGTTTACAAAGCCTAGTTGTGCTATGATGTTATTGGGTAAGTTTTAAACTAAATTTTTTTCATCAACAGTTTTTTGCTTGGTTTGCAAATGTTGAAGCACAAATGGAGGAGGAGCAGGAATCATCTTACAGGTAACGGAAAATTAGTGGGTATTGTTCTGTGACCCAAAAAAAATGTTGAATTGACTATGTAAAGGATAGGTTAACATGGGTTTTATTCCCAAATGTAACAGATAGTTTTATCATAATGACTGTATAATTTTAAATTGTTATTCGTAACTTTTTATATACGTAGATATATGCATTTAATAACATTTCTGATATTTTTTTATATAATAGAATAGTTTGTAAATACAGTTAGTATTAATTGTAAGATTTTATGTGTTAAACAGGGCATCCCTTGAAAACAGTTATGTCAAATGACTGAAGGATTTACCCTGCTTTATAATAAATAAAGGTTTACTACTACCACTAGTAATTTTGCTTTATAATATTGATTTCATGCGAAGGATACAGGTGATTAGAACCAGACAATACTGCATGACTAAGCAACAAATCCTCTGAAGTGACTTTTAAAGAAATGTATGGCAGACAGTCATGAGAATTAATTCTTAGATCTTGGAAGTAAAAGATCTTTGTAACACCTGGTATATGGATAATTTATTCCTCAGATCCTATGCAGCACAGTTGCGTTCTTATCGTGATCATTGTGACAGTATTCTGAGTGAAGTGGAGTCAGCTTTGAATCATCTGCAGGATCTACAGCAGAAGCACTTATTGGTATCCACAAAAACTGGGGCTCTTCATGAAGCTTGTGAACAGCTTCTTCAGGATCAGGTCAGAGAGATAGATTTAAACATTTGAGTTGCATTTAAACTCTCTTCATTGGAGACCTTACCTTCCTTTAACCCTTTAACTCCCAGATCAAATTTGTAATTCTCCTTACTGTCAACCATACAATTATTATAATTGTTTGTTCAGAGACTTTAGTATTGAATCAACTTATTATCTCAAAATTGATATTTTTCTTTGTTCTCACCACTTATCTGGTTGATATTGTATTAATACTGTAAGGAGAAATTCTGTCTTGGTCACTTATGGGAGTTAATGGGTTAAACATTATTGATTTCAAAATAATGCAGAAATTAGTGGTGTTGAGGTAACAGATATAGCAGAACCAAAACATTGTGACTGCAGTTGGGCGTTGAAAATTTGTTCCTTGTAGCAGTTGATCAAGGTCAACAAGGTTACAAGATAACAAAATGATTAAACCATGGGAGTGTTTTAATGGTCGCTTACATCTATTGAATTATCTGCAGCAGCTTTGAAGTTTCAAATGTTAACCCTGTAACTCCCATAAGTGACTAATATACAGGGAAGTGAGTTACAGCTAGAGGGGAGAATTAATAATCAGATCTTGGCGGTGAAGGGGTTAAGAACCTTTTTTTCCACATTAATAGTTCATCTATTTATTTTCACATGGCAACCTTTCAGACAAAGTTGATGAACATGGCCGAAAGCATCAGCAACAAGTTGTCTTACTTCAATGCTTTAGATCATCTTAGACACGTGAGTAACCAGACCATTGTTATGTTAGAAAAAAAAAATTTGTCAGAGCCTTCGCTAATAAATTGTACATTTGTCATTTTGGTGTACAATCAAACCTGTGTTATGACGCGTCATATGAAGCAGTCACCCCATTTTGAGCAGTCAGATGTCATTGAAGTCCTGAATTTGTTTTCCCTTAATCACTGTAATTTTCTCCTCTTAGGCCACTCTTTGTAAGTCCCAGTGGCCTGTTTTCATTTTTCCTCCAAATGTATCAATCAGTTTCTGGAAGCAAGACCACTCAAATAAATCTAAGAATAATCTTTTGAGTAATTTTTATTCCATGTTTCTCTCCCAAAACCAAATTATCTAATATTATTGAGCAAGATTCTGTGCACTGAGTGGTCAATTGTGACATAAAGTAGCATTGTTTATCATTTTTTATAATACCCCTAATCTGAGGAACCTGTATTAAGCAGTGGACCTGTGATTCCCTGATGGTGACGGCTTAATACAGGTTCAACTGTACTTTAATGTAGAATCATTACGGACTAGAATTATTGGTAATTCAACTTGGTTTGTTTTCAGAAACTCAACTCATCCACGCTCTCTGTGACAAGCGAGTCCTTTGTTCCAATGTTGGCAAGACTTGATGAGTGTATTTCATTTATATCAAGCAATGTAAGTTTTCTGTCCTTAACCCTTCAACTCCCATGAGTGAATGAGACAGAATTTCTCTTTATGATGTTAATACGATATGTAGTGGAAAAGTGATGAGAATAAAGAACAATATCAATAAGGGGATTTTTAATTGATCATCCAGCAAATTCTCTTAACTAAAATTATAATAATTGGATGGCAGAAAGTAAGGAGAATTACCAATGAGATCTTTGGAGTGGAAGGTTTAAATCTTTTGTTTATAAATTCATTTTAAAAAGTTATTTTTAATGATCTTCAAACTTGGCTGAGCAAGGTTGTTGTTGGGGGAGGGAATACTAAGGTGTTTGTTCCTCCTTTTTTTCAATAAATATAATCATTATGAGAAAGCTTGGTATGCTGCTGAATGCCAGTAGTTGAAGGATATAAGTTCAGATCCATCCCCACCCCCCATAACTGTATACTACAAAGCTTGAGGCTCCATTAAGTGTATAAAGTCCACATTTCATAGGGTATTGGACAAAGAATACATGTATATCCGAGGTCCTGGAGGAACACCTGTCAAATGCTCTGCAAATTAGTGTCAGAGGTCTTATGGGGCTATATACCAGCCATGTTCTTATGCACCATGCCTCTTGCACGCTGCTGAATTCAGTTGCAATGCGGTAGCTGCAAAACTAGAGGATTACATATGAATATATTTTTTTGTCCTTGTAGCCTCAGTTCAAAGAATCCCAAGTGTATCTTGTCAGATTCAAACAGTGCTTGAACCAGGCCCTCAATCAAGTGAAAATGCATGTTGTGAATTTGCTGAAAAATGCCACAGCACAGGTGTTGGCAAATAAGGTAGGTTGATGGAAAATGGTTAAAAAAAGTGTCCTTTTTTAGACAAAAGTGTCCAATTTTGGATACTTATGTGGGATTTTGGACACGAGTTTCCATTTCAAAAACAACTGGTAGTGTTCTATTTCAGATGCTAGCATCTAATTTTAGACACTGGTGTCTGATTTTGGACACTAGTGCCCAATTTTAGATTATAGTGTCTGATTTTAGAGACAAAAGTCTGCTTTTGGAAAGAATGTTAGACACATCCAATTTAGACAACATCATTTGATTTTAGGAAGAAGTATTAGTTTTAGATAGAAATGTGCCATTTTGGACACTAGTGTTCAAAGACCATTATGGGAACAAATTTAGTTTTTGTTCTTAATTATGCTTATCTGTCAAGTTGATTATTCATTGTAGTTAATGTTGGTTGAAGATATGTCAGGTCCAAAGGAAGATTTGGTTTGACACATGTCCTGTTTAGGAAGAAAACTTATTTCCAGTGCTGCAGTTGAATATTTTTGAGGGTATGATGATTTTGAAAGGAAACTTGTTTTCTTATTTTGTCATTGGCTATTTCAGGAAGGTGGAAATTCTTCTGAAAGTTCCTTCGCTTTATTTTATGGGAAATTCAGGACTTGTGCTCCAAGAGTGAAGGTCAGTCACTGTATTTAACTTTATTTTTATTGTTGGAAGGGAGATACAGTTAACCTTTTCATTCCCAATATCTCTTTGGTAATTCTTCTTACTGTCTGCCATAAATTGATTATAATTTTGGTTCTAAGAATTTGGTATTGGATCAAATGATAATCGCCTAATTGATATTTTTCTCAATTTTCATTATTAGTCTGCTTGAAATTGTATTAATACTGCAAAACAAAAGTATGTCTTGGTCTCTGCTGGGAGTGATTTTTTTGTTGTTGTTGTTTGAAAGGGTTAACTGCTTGTCAGTGAAGGCCAGTTAATTTTTGATTCACTCCATTTACTAATAATTCATTTTATTCTTTTCTTTAACAGAGTTTAATGGAACAGATTGAACAGAGAAGTCACTTAAGTTCTGAGTAAGTATTACTTACCGACAATTACTGTAGTAACAGTGAAAAGCAGTTTTTTAAGGCTTTTTTTTATATGTGAGAGGTACAATTTTTTGTTTCTTGATGTTTCAGGTACAGTTCACTTTTAAGTGACTGCCAGCAGTGCTATCTCTCTCAGCGTTCTCAACTCCTGACCCCATGTGTTAGTGATGCTATTGATAAACTGGCCAAGCAGTATGAAAGAAATCCTTGTTCTCTAGTAAGTTTATGCACAGAAATGCAAAATAAGGTTTCTAAACTGCTTTGTGGTGTTGATTGTGTCATTTGACACTGAAAGCATAGCTAGAAAAGTTTTCATCTGAATGGTTGAAACAGAAGAATTTACCCACTTAAAAGTGAGAAACACCCTGTAACAGTACTACACCCTAGCATTAGTATGCAAGTTCTCCTTACTCTTATATTAACTGTGGTACATACAGGGAGAATTTGTCTAACAATCAAGAGCTTCTGGAGGTTGTGATCAGTTTCTTTATTCTCATGACCTTAATGTTTATTCAGGGATGATAGTTAGGAGAAATTTAGATGCAAGTCACTATTAGAGATCAAATGTTTAATTGTTTAACTCCCAGAAGTGATCAACATGAAACTTCTCCCCATGATATTCTTATATCACCCAGCAAACAGGTAATGAGAATATTCAAACTTATCATTTAGAACTTGTTATCTTGATCTCATGCCAAATTCTCATGACTAAATTACAAGGAAATGTTCAGCAGGTAGAGGGGAGAATTAACAATCAGATCCTGGGAGTTAAAGGGTTAAGTCAGGCCAATCATAACCAACCTTAGAATCACATTTGTTTAACCTTGGCATAGTAGAATTTTTAGGGAAATAAAAAAAAGTTAAACATAAATCTCTTTCTGTAGGTTCGTGCTGGTTGTTCAGTGTTGATTCGCGTCTGTCAGGATGAATACCAGTTATACTATCACTTCTTCTCTAAGCCAAGTTCAGGTCTTGAGTAAGTGAAATATTTTATCACTTTTAATCTTTTTACCTTTGTGAAAGTTTGTTTACTCTGGCTTGTGAGAATGTGGCCTTTCGTAAAAGTCAAGTTGTGAGAGTCAAGTTCTTGATGTCAGGATGAATACCAGTTATACTATGTATACAATGGAGAATGAAGTTTAAAAATGTTAGCAACAAACACAAAGGGCTTGCAAAGCTGACAGAATAGATTTAGAGGGAATGATTCTGAGTGGTTTCTTGTTAATGTTTCAAAATGAAATTTCTCTTTGCTCTGTAGCTCCTTGTTAGAAATTTTGTGCAGTACCTTATATGATTCGCTGAGACCTGTAATAATCCACATGACTCACATGGAGACACTCACTGAACTCTGCACAATATTAAAGGTAAATTTATTTTGTCATAATTATGATCACTGTTGTCATTATTGTAGATTGTATGTGGACTTAGTAAATTAATTAAAAGCTTTCTATCCATTTCCAAGCAGTGCTCTCCTTTTAAGCAGTAGTTGGTAAAATTTGCCATTTGTCTTACATCTTAAAATTGCTTGGAATTCTAGAAAATCAATAGTTTCAAGGATTGCTCTATTGGTTTAAAAATTTCATATACCTCTTGTGTGTAAGATAAGGGAGAACACTGTCGAGTGATAGAAAATGACTTATATTGGAAGTGGGTAAGGCCACCAAATTTTATTAATTTCTATACCTAAAATATTATATGAAAAAATGTGATCCTAAAGATTGCACCTTATGCTCTGATAAGTATAGGTAATAACATGATTTCGAGTGCAATTTGGTGTCAATAAGCACAAGTAAATTTTTTTAAGACAACATAATTGCATGAGCCCATGGGGCAAATGCCATTTGTAGTCTTTGGAAAAAATGCTTATTATGGCAAAGTGCATTCAACACCATGTTAGCGTTCAACAGGAGCGTTTTCGTATAAACTTTTGGCGATGTCAACGTATCAAACTCTCAAAAATGGCTTACCTCTTCCCGAGTTGAAAAAGAGAAGGAAAAAAAAGGGTGAGCGAAAAAAAAGACATTTGTTAAAAAAAGAGCTGTACCAACCGTCCGACTGTGAGTCCAATGCCTAACCGACTGTGCTACGAGAACATTCGATTACACGTCATAAATTTTATCCTTAAATAAACCGGTGGCACTCCTTCGCGTAAGCGTTCGACAGAAGCGTTTTCGTATAAACTTTTGGCTATGTCAACGTATCTTTGGTTTTGTCTTCAATTCTGCCGTAGCATGAGTTTGTTCAAGGATATTTTACGTTTGCTAAACGGTGTTTTAAACTCAAAACAAAAAACATGCTCTTTCTTTAAGCTGATTATGAATATGCAAGTTCTCGGGGGCTGTATTGTTTTGATGAAACAAAAGGCTTCTTTTGTTTCGGCTTCATTCAATGAAAGCCACTACGAAATTCAAGGTTTTTTGCATACGTTATTTCTCGAAAACGAAGCGCAAACCAGTGAAAAAAAAACCAAAACAGTGTATATCGAGTAAAACTAAGTCCACATGCCAAAATTCAACTACTTCTGAACACTTTAAAAAATGGCCGAAAAATCAAGGGGTCGTTCTTGCTCTGAGCCTTTCATTTGTTAATAATGTAAATGAAAAAACATCATAGAGAGTCAAGACAGACAAAATTTTGAAAGCATCTGCGCCCTATTTGTAATTTGCACTGGTGTTACAACTTTGCACCTTGTTACATGAGAATGCACTAATTTTCAGCCAATCAGAAGTGCATAACTTTTCCATGTACATTATTAGGGGTATTATAATAATTGTTCTTTTTTGGTCCTCTTTAGGTGGAAATGATTGAGGATTATGTGCAGCAAAAAGGTATAATTGTTAAATTTTACTAGTTAGCAAAACATTTTGAATTTGTTATTTTAATGTATAGATGACGCAGAGCCAAGAATTTTTTCCTTCCTTTTATGTTAAACAATTTGAGAGAATGTAGGGGTTGGTTGAAATCTAAAATTACTCTTCTTTTTCAGGTGAAGAACTAGCCGCTTTTGAAGTTGTTGTTCTACAGATGTTAGAGGATGTACAAGAACGGCTGGTTTACCGGGCACAGGTAACAGCTACTGATACGAACAACTAATTTGGATATCACTGGAGCTTATCTTAGGAAGACAAGTGTCATTTCACTATGTGACAAACATTTTCCTATTTGACCCCAATTTTCTCTTTTTTGGCAGGCGTACATTGAGAGTGACATCCAGAAATATTCCCCAGCACCTGGTGATCTAGCTTATCCAGAAAAACTTATTATTGGGGTTGGTAAACACTACTGTAAGATTGAAACTGTAGGGTACCAAACCCTTTAACTCCTAAGATCTCATTAGTAATTCTCCTTACTATCTGTCATATAGTTCTTAAAATGTTAGTTTAAAGAATTGGGTATTGGATCAACTAATAATCCCTCAATTAATGTTTTCCTTTATTCCCATCACTTGTCTGCTTGATATTTTATTGATATTGTAAGGAGAAATTCTGTCTTGGTCACTCATGGGAGTTAAAGGGTTAACCTTTTGACTCCTACATATGCACAAGACAGAATTTTGCCTTTTAATATCAATAAAATATCAAGCAGACAATTAGGGAATTACTAGTTGATTCAATGCTAAATTCCTTGAGCTAACATCATAAGAATTGTTTGGCTGACAGTAAGGAGAATTAATAATGAGATCTTGGGAGTGAAAGGGATGAAAAACTATCAGAGACACCTAATGAACTTGTGAGAGGTTGACCAGGGTAGACTGGCTTCCCATATAACAGGAGTTAAACTTCTTTCAGCCAACTTTGTGTTATCTGAAGACTTTCATTCTACATTCAACTTTCAGGCAGGGGATAATGACAAAGAGGAAAAACAATCTGGAGAAGAAGAGAAGAAGTCTGTTGGTTAGTTATGATCAAAAGCATTACCATACTCAAACTCATCTGTCTGACATTTTTTCACCTGTTATGTATCTTTTTTCTTTCTAGAGTTACCAGGAGCGTTAGCGGACCTTCAGGGTATGTGGTACCCCACAGTCCGACGCACACTGGTGTGTCTCTCAAAACTCTATCGGTGCATCTCGGTGAGGATTATTACCTTCTCTGGGTTGTATTTGATTTTCTGTTCTGTGATTTCATCTAGTTCATATCTTATTGATTTGAAAGTTTATGTTTGATTTCACCTTTTACATTTTAGAAAGAAACATTTGAAGGCCTTTCTCAGGAGGCTTTGTCCCTCTGCATCCAGTCCCTTAAAACAGCAAGCTCTCTTATTGCTCAGAGAAAGGTACAGATACAAACTGACAGATTTAGGTGACTGCCAAGTGTTGACTCAGTTATGTATGAGATCCCTTTGGAGACTGAAGGAGAAGTAGATGCTGCTTCAAAAATCATGTAGCTCTTTCTTCCATGCATCCTTTTAATTTGCTGCCCTCCCTGTCTTTGATGCCTAACCATTTTCTCCCTGTGAGTGATAAGCATCTAAATTTTCCCAACTGTATCACCCTTAAATCAAACATTAAGGTCATGAGAATGAAGGGAATGATTGCGACCTCAATAAGCTCTTGATTGTTAGACAAATTCTCCTTGCAAGTTCCATCATTAGGAAATGTATGGAAAACAGTATGAGAACTTGTATACTGCATGTAAGGTTGTAAAGGGCTATTATATAGCATTTGGTTTTTATACTCAACATTTGTATAAGTCTGGTGTTTTCTTCCAGGATTCTATAAATGGTCATCTGTTCCTCATAAAACATCTGCTGATCCTCAGAGAGCAGATTGCCCCTTTTGATGTTGATTTTGCTGTCAAGGAAATGTCACTGGACTTCAGTAAAATGCGGACTGCAGCATATGGTTTGTGGAGTCACAGCAACAGGCTGTTTGCTCTCAGTGGCAACAATGCATTGCTGGAATTTTTGTTAGATGTAAGTTTGTTAGATATTAAGGAGAGAGATGCACTCATTTCTTGACAGTATGCCCTTGTCCTGATGTGTTTATAATAGGAATCTTTAAAAGCAGTGCTCAATACTCACTGTACCTTATGGTAATTCTGTTTCAGGGAGCGCCTCAGTTAACAGAAAACTATCTGGATTCAAAGAAGGTAAGGAAAGCTAAATATTTGGACAAACTTAGCTTTGATCTAAATCTAAATTGTCCATATGTACAGAGTCATCCTAGGGAGCTTTTGAGTTCTCTTTGCTTCTTTTACTGTTTTTCTCTTACTCAATCTTAAAGCAACACACATCAAAAATTGCTGATACTAGTATTTTGCAGGATGTGTGTTAAGGTCTATTATGACCTGGCGTACAAATGAGTTCTCTACAGCTCAGCTGGTTGGGAATCTGAATATTAAATTGAAACTAGCTGCAGTTCAATTCCTTGTAGGAAATTAATTACTTTTTTGGCCCCACTAATACAACAAGTGTAGAGGATCTCTCTTTATAGAGTTGTGATAATATTACACTCTAGCTTTGTGGCTATTTCCATTTCATAACTCAGCACTTTTGTTTTGTTATCAACTGAAGGATGTTGATGTTGAACTCAGGATTGTGTGTGAGCAGTTTATTCAAAATGTATCAGAGTCTCTCATCTCTCCTCTGTCAGCGTTCTTGACCAAGGTAAGTTGAATCTTGATGCCAATTAATTTTTTGATGGATTGAGTGATCTGTCTGTCTTAGTTTTTGGTTGTGGATGGTTTGGTACTCAAACTAAACAGGTGGCAAATAACTTCATTATTAACCCTGTCACTTCAATGAGTGACCAAGACAGAACTTCTCCTTATGATACCAATATAATATCAAACAAACCAGTGATGAGAATAAAGAAAAATATCAACTAGGGGATTATTAGTTGATCAGATACCAAATTCTCTAAGATAACATCATGAGAATTGTATGATAAACAGTAGGGGGAATTACTAAATAAAAGAGGTCTTGGGGGTGAAAAGGGTTAAAAAAAGATAGTTTTTTCGTGTAACTAGTACACTCTTAGTTACTCAAAGATGTCAAGCGCACATGAGAAAAACAAAGGAATATGAATTTTCTCAAATTTTTCTTGCAGGTAACAGTGATTAAGAATCTTGCCCAAGAGGAAGGAAAAGATACTAAAGCATTCCTCAAGCAACAACCTTTTGCAAAACCAGGTGATAAAAAATATTTCTTACTTTAATAGTTTGGGTAGTTACATGAAAAGCTTTATAACCTCTAGCACTTTTTTAAGTCATGAATAGAGTTATGCGTTGTACTTTAAATTTTCTTAATTTTGTTTTTCAGAGAATGTTCGCAAAGTTGTTAGTGAGACTTACATGTTACTGAAGTCCAAGCTCACAAGCACTCTACAAAGCATGGCTTTGTTTTTGGCAAACAAAGACACAGAGTACATTCTCTTTAAACCTGTCAAGGTAATGATCAACAGTAATTTCTTTTCCTGATATAAATACAAAACCTAACATTCCAATGGCAAAAACACGTGTATAGCAAATAATTACTGAGGGTATCCATTTATAACAAGGACCTGGGACCAAACTGTGGCATAAAAGATGGAACTTTTGCTTTTAATACTGAGTATTAAAAGACCATTTGGGGCAGTGTCACAGTTTAAATATCACTAACTTTGGGATGTTATATTTTCATGAGTTTGCTCTTGGAATTGTAAATATAGTTCTAACTAAAACATGCTCTTCAAAAATGAAAAAAAACTGTTGATATCGCAGTACTTGGTAAGAGCCTGCCACTGAAAGTAACAAGGCTGGATTTACAAAAAAGAATTCACTCTTTTACATTGAGATTAGAATACTCAATGGAATTCTATAACATTACAGGCTAAGGTTCAAGAATATTACAAACAAATGAATGACTTGGTGATGGAAACCTACTCTGAAGAAGATCAACAGATCATTGGATGTCCATCAATTCAGCAGGTTTGTTAAGTTTACATGCACAGTAACAATAATGGCATTGTTGACCAAGGTGCATTTGCTGTTGCTCTGGAAGGTAATGGGTGATAGTGCTTGTGATTTTTTTTATTAAAAGTTGTAATCTGTTTGTGTCACAAGCATGGGACAAAGGAAAAATCTGAGTCACCCATTTGTTATAGTTTGTTTTCTGTTGTGAAACTGTCAGGGCTAACTTCTGGATACAGTCAAAACTGTCACCAATGGCAACTTCCTCACAACAGCCACTTTTTCCTTTTTGGGAGAGTCATTCAGTCTTTTTATTTAATCTATCTACAACAACAACCTCTTCACAAGGATCATGGCCAACAGGCTATTCCCATCTTTGAACCTGAGACGTTACAGGTCTCATATAACACTTCCACATTCCCCTGTTGGTCACTTCTGTTTGACCACTGTGGCAAGGTTGGACTTCACTTATTGTTATTCAGTGGTAAAATGGGATGAGGGTTCTGGTGTTAGTAAAAACTTTGTTCTTACTTCTCAGGTTTCTCTTCTACTAGCAGTATCATGAAAAATGCTGAGTGGATAAAGCACCCACAGATCAAAAATAACTGTTTGAAAACTCCAGCTGGTTCATTAAATATGAAAATTTGATGAGGAATACTGCCTTAGCAAGTTGTTAAACCAGATTGAAAAATTAGATATTTATTTATTTATTACCAAGATTTCCTATGCAAGGGCAAACTCTATTGCAAAGATGGTGGTATTTGTTTGTTGTGTTTTTTTTCTATATAGTTACTTGCCTTTGAGCTTTCCACATATCAGATAAAGATAGATAAAGCAATGACAGACAGAGGCAAGGGAAGTTACTTATTAGGTAATACTGTGAGACCCTTTCCTAAGATCAACAAATTCATTTTCTGTACTGTCTACATTTCTTTTAACTTCAGCTGCGAGAATTTGTTGTTGAATTTGGTGCTTACTCAATAAGGGCACTAATTAACAATTAATTTGAGGGGGGGCACTTATCAGAGGGAGGGCAGTTATTGGAACAAGGGTGCTTGATAAAATCATCACAGTATATGTAAATATCTATTATAACATAGCTAGTAAATTTGTCTAATCAAATTCAATTGCGTCAACGTGCTTCATATTCCTATTGTACACACTCATGACGTCAGCAAACAAATCCCTTGATAAAAAAAAATTTTCCATTGGGTTGAAAATGTTATAAAACAATTGGTTCATGCGTCAGCTGTGTGTTCGTTGAGATATTTGGGTAGCACTCAAGAAGCTTTTGCTCTCATTGCCTACACAACTCTTGATCGTCAGTACAAAACTTCCCATCCCTTGATAAAAAAAACCAATTTTTCCATGTATTCTGCATCAACATTTTATTTCTCTACCTTTTGTTAAAATTTATTTACAATCCCATTTACAATTATACCACAATTAAGTTAGCATTATATCGTAAGCTGAATCATACATGCATCTTGACTGGTTCTTCTTTGTAGATAAGTGGGCAGATGCATAGGTGACAGCACTATAAACAATATTTTGCCTTTTAATCATATAAAACAAGTAAATTCTGTGTTACCTCCTTGTTTCTATGGTTGTGTACAGAACTTGATCACTAGAAGTTGTCAAATGTGGTAAGACCATTAATGACACACTCAGCTCTACCTTGTCTGTCACATATTTGTTCTAACACATTTTAACATCTGTGATTTATTACTAAAAGGATGTGCAGCAAAGTGGAATCTCTTCGGGAAGTTAAAACTCCATACTAATGGACCCTTGGAAAAGGAATATCACTTAATCATCCTTTGGGTCTTTTTCAATAAAAGATGATTAATAATTATATTCAATGACAACTCTTTTTAAAATTTAGGCTTGCCCCATTTCAATCAGTCCAATTAAATGGCCTATCCTTCCAGTACACACTGTAAAATGTTCTATAATTCCATCAACAAAAATAATTGTTTTGAAAAAAGTAGAAAACAAGAGGATATTTCAGTATAAAAAGAAAAGTGTGTTATTATAAACAGAAACCAGCTTTACTTAATTGTTCTGTAACAACAAACAATTATTTTAAACCTACAATTCAGTTTATGGAAAAGAAACAAACAAAAGGAAGTAATTCTAACCCATGGAAACAATATTCAACCATTTCACTGCAGCTCCTCAATTTTCATTCTCTTTTAAACCTGTAAGTATTTCATTGAACCCTATTAGTTCCCTTGGGAGGTTATTAAGGGTGGCAGAAAATAACAACTTATGCCCACTTCTCAAAGGTATCTAATATTAGTAGATATGATATGTGATTGGATCAATACCAGGAGCCCAAACATGATCAGTATCACAGTAGCAGACACATATGAGCCATGAATTGGCATCAACATCAGTTTGGCCTAGTGAAGGAAACAATGATATATATGATTAAAGATTTTAAAAAACCTGGATTCTCATGAACAATCTTTATAAAGTTGCTTCTATCTGATGTTTCCTTGTGAGTTGATAAATCACTAAATGCAAACTGCAGTTTTACACAATCAGTGGGCCTCAGGCTTTCTTCATAAGAGGGTTGATTTAATTAAATAGATGTCCTGCCACTGTTAGCTTTTGGCCCTTTTGACACTGTTTGAAAAATAAATAGACCCGGCGGAATTGATGGAGGATTGTTTTGGAGGCAGTTTTGTTAAAAAACGAATCAACTTTGTTTAAATAATCAGACCAAAAAAACCTAACCCTGGAAATAAATTCCAGAAAGTGCTATGTGGAAAATTTGATTAATACCTGCATGACATAAAGGGCCATAAGAAATTTTCAACATGGGAACATTGAAACCTATTAGATAACCATAAAGTGTTCCGCCCTAGTCTAGTCAAAAAGTTTTTGTTCACATCTGGATCTCCATCACTTTATGAGTGTATAAGTATGTTCAGCTTGTCATATATCGGGCAAAGGAGAGGATTGCTGAAAAAATACAAAGATTAACTATCTGATGCAGAAATCCCTCTCTTAGGTGGACAGTATTTGTACACAATTTTAAAATTTGCCAAGCTGCTTAATTTTTTATAAAAATCTACAATCCATGAGATTTTTAAGGCTGAATTCACTAATTTACAAACCACAAACCTATCAAGTCCTGCTTGTGATTCACCCTCCCCCTCCCCCTTCCCCCAAGAAACAAATTTTTTGTAGGACCAAACTAACCTTCATTTCTACACCTTGGGTGAACAAAATGAAAGAGTCCTGGTCCAGCTGTGTGGCTGAAGGATATCCAAACACTCTGACATTCAGGCTTTGCTGTTTAAACTTCTTTGCCACTGCACTAAAGCGAGCAGCCTGCAAATAAAGAAGTTATAAAAAAATCAAAACCAACTCACACTCTTCATGGGCCCCAAATGAAGAATTTTAAATCAGCTATATAAAAAAAAGAAAAACAACAAAAAAAAAAGGTGTGAGAGATGTGATGGTCTGATGGTTAAGGTATTTGACTCCTTATTGAGAGGTCTGGGTTGGAGTCTTGCCTGGGTCAATGTGTTGTGTTCTTGGGCAAAACATTTCCTCTAACAGTGCCTCTCTACTTCCAGGAGTATGAGTGGTGACCGGCAATTTGTAAAGGAAGCCTGATGAAATTCTGGGGTGGGGGGGGGACCTTGCAATGGACTAACATCCCATCCAGGGGGGAGTAGTGATACTCTTAGCTACTTTATGCAAAGGAAAGCAGGATAAGCCTTAGCTGGTTGAGTCACTTGGTTCGAGTACAGACTTCACCCTTTTTTTCATATAAAAAGAAGATGCCCAATGTATTTTACAATGTTTTTCTTTCTTCTCTTTTTTCCCCATAATGGTGTCACCAGGCTTGTTTTTTGACCAAGTGATGATATATCTCACAAGATATCTTCAGCCTCAATATAAGACCATATTTTTGAAATGTGCAGTTGGAAGTGTGATGTATTTCTAGGGATTGATTAATGATTAGTTCACTAGTCAGCATGGGTTCAACAGTCAGCTGAGACAGGATGAAATGAATCTTTGTTTACATACCAAATGCTTTAAAAGTACTCACCACTATAAAGGGAATCATTATAAAAGAGAAGGACAAGAGTGGAGCTAACAATCTGTAAAGCAACGTAATGGCACTGTGTATGTCATTCTTAATGTAGGTCATCATGTTGATCACCTCTGCAAGAGTAAAATAGCACAGAAATTTGTTAGAGCAATCATGTTAATGTTGGTGATATAATATGTGTTATTTGATTGGAATATCTCTTTACACATTTTATTTAGTACTCTGTTAGTGCATCAGCAAACAAAGCCTTTGAGGAACAACTTATATTTAATTTGAACTTAATCACACACCAGGCAAGGATTTGTGCTTCATATTTGAGCATTAGTTTGATACAGAGATCATTTGACCCTTTTACTCCCAAGATCTGATTGTTAATTCTCCCCTCTAGCTGCTGCACATTTCCTTGTAAATAATTGATTACAAGAATTTGGTGCTAGATCAAGATAACAAAATCTACCTAGAAAGTTTGAGTATTCTCCTAACCTGTTTGCTGAATAATGTATGGATATTAAAGGGAGAAGTTACATCTTAATCATTTCTGGAAGTTAAAGGGTTAGAGCTGTGATAGTACAGGTCATCTTGCTAACAGTATATATCTTTACACATGAAAATCTGAGACTATGCCACCTGGAAATTTCATCTTCTTTGGCAGCGCCTCTATCGGTTCCCCTAAGTTTGCCTTGCCCTATTGCAAATAGCTTCAACAATTCCTTCCTCCTCCACAGGTAGCCCAGGCTTACAAAATGAGGTTCCATAAATATGCAAATATGTTTATGCTATGCAATGGACAAGACATGAGGATTTGTTAGGGAGTATGTTTATGGCAACTGTTTAAGCCCATGCAAATCCTTCCATTTTGCCCATTGTGCAATATATTTGCATATTTACAGAGGCTCATTTGGAAGCTTGGGCATCCTGTTCTTCCTCTAGAATGCCTTCACACAAGAACCTTATTATTGAATTCAAAGCTTGAATCAAACTTCATAATGATAAGCAGAAATAAACACCCTACAGTTATCAATGATTACCTGCCACAGTAATTTTAAGGTAGCAGAGCACAATTAGACTTGCAATTATGGATATTTTTCCATTCATATTGTTGAGGTTTTTCTTTACATCCATTACGTCCTAAAACAAAAACATGCAAGCTGAGGATGTTATAATGCTCAATTGAATTTGAGATATCTTTTACATTTTCTTTCAAGGAAAACAAGAGGAATAGATCTGTAATAAAATTAAGGAAAATTAAGGGTAGGGATATGATTGCAAGCCATACTCTATTCGTCCCTGACTGCTTCATAATTCTGAGTGATTTGATTAAAAAGAAGGGCCTTCAAGGTTTTGCAAGTACAGATGATTTTTAACTAAGAATTGTATGGCAGACAGTAAGGAGAATTACTAAATTATGAATGAGATAATTGGGAGTGAAAGGGTTAACTCAAAATTGACAGGGGTTGGTGGGAGAGGTGGGGTGATTTCAGAGGCTGAAATAAAACTTTGAAAAAGTATTGAAGCCTAATCTCATTATAATTTTTTTGGGGTGGGATTCATTGTTTAAAAAGTCATGTCTCAAGAATATCCACAAAGCTGTGATTACTTTCATTAAAGCAGAGAGATCTTTGGTTTTTTCCTCCATTCTCTGACAAATCTCGTGGAGATAAAAGGTCAACAATTCACACTGAGCACAGTAACTCATGAGTGTCACTATGGAAACAAAGGCCTCCACGAAAAAGCCAAGTACAATGAATGAAACTGCTATCCACTGGCCACTATCAGGAAAAAAATAAAGACATCTTTCATCGCTTATTGCGATACTAACAAAATTTCAACTAAGAATACTTAGTTCTTGCTAATTTTGGCCTGTATTGCAGCAAAATCAATCTCTTTATTTCATCCATTTTTTTTTGCGTTTAAATTCTTATTTAATAAGTCAAAACTTATGGTAAAGCCTGAGGCAGGAGTTGGACATTTTTCACTGTTTTGGTCAGCTCAATGTGGACTTAAACAAGTCTTTTACTATTGTGATTAATTACCACTGAGTTTGACTATTGCAAACCACTGATACTCTTTGATACCCTTACGTCTAAAAGTGATGTAATGAGCAATTTCCCAATTTTTTTTTAAGGGGGCAAATCACTTAGCCAGGAGGCCACATGACTTGGGGTGACATGACAAAGGGGCATATTAACCTAAGATTACAAGTTTCCCTTTTAAAGTGGCATGCAGCATCAAGTGAATATTGTGCAAGTAAATTGCCATAAATTACAGTTATTTAATTTTAAGCCAGACTAACTTTGAATTGAGACTGAATCCTGTCACTGAGGCTATCTTAAAGACATGAAGAAACAACATTTCAACGGCACTATCAGCAATTGCCAACATCACCAAGCTCAAGAAAAAAATTCTGCAAAAATGAAATAAAAGTCTTAATTTACTCATAATTTTTCAAATAAAAAATATAACATCATGCATTTGCAAAATCTATTGCACAAATTACCTTAACCTTGAAACAATCTTCCTAGGAATGGAACTAAGCAAAAAAACCTTGGGAAAGGAAACAAAATAATTAATAAAAACATCCTTAACAATACTTATAAGGTTATTTGTTAGACTACTGGGGGCCGGGGCCTGATGTGTTTATCACAAGACTCACTCTTGCAGTTCCTTCTGCATAGAGCCTGCAGTTCATCAAGAAGGGAGGTTCTGCTTCGTAGCTGGAAAATTCATAAATCTCTGATCCATAATGAACATCCTAAATTAAACTTTTCCCTCCCAGTATAGAGACAAATGAGTAATTTCTACATATCAAAGTTCAGAAGGGGGGAAGGATAAGGGGAGGGGGAGGGGAGGGGGGAAGGGAAAGGGGGAAGGGGAAGGGGAGGGGGAAGGGGGGGAAGGGGAAGGGGAAGGGGGGGGAAGGGGAAGGGGAAGGGGAAGGGGACTTGGGAAAGGGGAGCCAATTTACTTGAGCCAATTTATTGTCTATTCTTTGGCCAACTATACACCACATTTTAGTCATATCTGGTAATACAGTAGCAACTTTTACCAGGAAATCTTCCCATTTTCAAATCCCTTTATACCAGAATTTTCTTATCCCAAAATCGTGCCACCCCATTCTAGTAACTATATAAATGCAACCCCATCATAGTCAATCCAGTTGTGAAAATATGACCCCATCCATGCAGTGGCACATCTACATTAGCCCATTACTAAGTATTCCCTCTCCCCCTCCCCCAACTGGAGCCCTGCTCCCCCTGCTCCATCACATTCCTCACTTTTGCCTGAATTGTGGACCTGTTTAAGTTGAGCCTATAAAATGTTGGGAATGTTAAATATTTTTATGCTACCTTATACCTTTTCTACCAAAGCACTGAGGTCCTCGTTGTCTTGAATTCTAAACAAGTAAAACCCAGTCAAAACTGCCATGAAGTGGAGGAGATGTGGCATCACATACTCTGTTAGTAAATGATTACATTTTTTGAAAGCAGCTGGTTTCCAATCACCTGACTCTGAAGTTGCCTGAGTAAAAAAATTGGTAACTGAAGGAAAAACTGAAGAGCTAATGTTCTTCCCCATAGTTTGGGAAGTAACACCACTTTGAACCATAAGATTCTTATTTATTCTGTTTAGGTCCAGAGAGAAAGCGTGTGTTGCTTTTGTTCCACCAAAGGAATTTCCGTCAGGTTTTATCAAGCTTCTCTGGTCATGCTGTGATTGCTTGGTGCCTTGAGATGTTTCTAGAGCCTTGGAGGTCTACATTACACACATTGAGAAAAGACAAAAAAATCTTATTCAATATATTGATGACTTTAGTTTGGTGACATGTGCAAGCTTGTTTGATCTTATCATGCATTAGACTTACTATGAAAACTCTGATTGGTCAAGAGCATACAGTTAATAAACAATAGCATGTGAAGTTGATATGATAACCCAATATCTGTTGCAGATATTGGGTTATCATGTTGAGTTGAAAGTCTGCCTAGTTTTCAAGCCCCTTGTCTGTGTAGTGCTCTTCAACTTTTGCAAACTCAGAGGAAAGTGTCTTCTTTTGCAGATTGTTTAAAAAGGTATAACAAAACAATTATTATTGATTTTTGGTTTTCACATGATATCATGAATTATCAAATCTTGTGTCTGTGTTATTTGCCTCAGCCTAATCAGATATTACTCAGACCTCAGCATTGATAATTCATGATATTATGCTCAACCTCATCCAGTAATTGCATAATATCAAGGTCCTTTAATGCCCACAAAGGAAACTCATGGGTCAATTCTTGATTGACAGATAGCTTTGGTATTTGCACCAAAGGGAAAGCACAGAACATACTTCTTTGGTTGAAAACTAACAATATTCACAATTATGGTATTTTAAAAAGCTTCATAAACATTAGCTAGTATCTTGTAAACTCTAACCCAACAATACTATGGATAGAATTTTTCTTTGAAGGAGGGAGATTTTTAGAGAGTTAAAGCTATAGACAGAGTGCATATTACAGAGAGAGAGGGGGGGGGGACTGACAGAGCATGTAAGGTAAACATTTTTTTTACTTCAAATACACAGAATTAATGCACCTTATTAATACTGACATCTAGCCCAAGGTTGCAGGATATAAGATGTGAGGCATAGGTAAAGATGATCAAGCAAAAAAACAAAAATGTGTAGAAAATGTTAACCACTTTCCAGAAGGAACATCTTTGACGATAAACCATTGAGCGAGAGCCAAATGGTCGCCAAGCAACCTGAGAAATATAATTGATTCGTTTTTTAGAAATCAAAGTAAATTTTCAATTATTAACTTACATGTAGAACATGTTGGATAATTTGCATTGTATGCTGGAAGCAATGCAACATTACAATCATAACAAAAAATGTTGCAGCACAATACAGAAAGGTTTTTAAATAACTGTCTAAAATATACTCTGAGTGATCAAGACAGAGTTTCTCCTTACAATACCAATAAAATATCAAACAGATAAGTGATGAGAATAAAGAAAAATATCAGTTTGGGAATAATTAGTTGATCCAATACTAAATTCTCTGAATTAACATTATAAGAATTGTATGGTTGACAGTAAGGAGAATAAAAAAATTGATCTGGGAGTTAAAGGGTTAAAATATGTTTACTGTGTTATGACCAACCATAAGGGAGATCTGGATGTCTGTAAGAAAACCAGATACTGATTAACAATATGTTTATAGTGAAAATTTCTCAAGCAATGTTTTATTTTCCCCTAGTAAATCACATCTCGAGGGCCTTTGCAGTTTCCATGGTTTTCTGAGTTCCACAAGAAATGCTGACAATATTTTGTACAACTGTTTTCCAAACTTACCAAGCATAGAATATAGAGATAAGGGTAGATAACCTGACGTTTACATTTAAGCAAAAGGCTGGCTGTTGAGCTGCTGTTGTCTTCTTGAAGAGCACTTTGGTCCCTGATCTGCAGTAAAGACATTTTATAAACATCACAAACAAAGAAAACCTGAGCACTTTTTTACATTTGGTACTAACATTACTTCTTCAATGCATCACATTAAATCTAGTCAATTTTAGTTACCCACAAGCTAATGACCAAGCTTGCTCCTCAAGTTCTCAGAAATTATTGTGGTAGGAGAGGAATACCAGTACTCTGGTTGGAGTCACATGACAACACCTAAGTGGCAACCCAACTCACTCAGGAGGCAATAATTGAATTGGGGTGACTGTGCATTAGGATAATGTGACCTGTATTCATAGCATTAGTCTAATTTTCTATTGCACCAAGGGGATATGATGGGGTAACCTGATGAAAATTCCTTAGATTCAAAGCATTAATCAGGGTTGGTTACCAAGGGACTGGGTAAAGGAATAGGGTGTGGTCAGTAGCTTAGGGCTGCACTCGCCCCATAAGAATTTGAACCTCATTTTATGAGACAAGACTCAAAAAGTTCAATTTCCTTTACTTAATAGAATCTCTGATGAAGGCCTAGTGTTAGTTTCTTCTGGATTTTTTAACTTTTTTATTTCATCTCATCAAGGACCACTGAACAGGAGAATCACTGTTTATATAATATTTTCACCCTTTAACTCCCAGAAGTGATAAACACGTAACTTCTCCCTAAATTATCCATACATTATCCAGCAAACAGGTGATGAGAAGATTCAAACTTATTGGGTAGAGTTTGTTATCTCGATCTGATTTGTAAGGAAATGTGTAGCAGCTAGAGGGGAGAATTAGCAATCAGATCTTGGGAGTTAAACGGTTTACAGAAAATTCCGTTTTTTCCCCCGAAATATTCAGCGTCTTACTGACTTAACTGATTTTAATACTCTTCTTAAATTTTTATTAAAGAGAGCGAACTTCCTTTTCGTGATTTCCGCGAAACTACGAAACAAAGTGACGTCAGTTTATAGATTTATCACAAAAATTTCATTAAAAAACATGACGTTACGATATTGTTCTTCCTTTTTTGACGTGCATAGCTGCACAAGCCCTCAAAACTCAGTTCTGTTAAGCAAAAGAACCTCCTTAAAAGTCATGGGGGCACAATCAAACCGCTATTCTCACCTCAATGTTTGTACTGTCCCAGATGTCTGTGAATGATGATCCACCATAGCGGCTAGAAACAGTAACCGTACCAGCATCTTCCAGCTCGTTTAATCTGTCGTCGCGATTTCTGTGCATTGTTTGTCGTAAAAAAAAAAAGCAATGAAGAAAACGAATCAAACCAGAGCAATTCTTTGCTCTGCAGCGACTAGGTAAACGTCAATTGAAAATACTTTTCACTAGCCCATTACATTACATCATCTGGATGTGGACAAACTGTTGACTTACTGACCTGTATCCAGTTCACATGACACCTGATGAGAGAGTCATGTGAGTGACGATGCTGTCTTAGAAAAGTAACACTCGTTTCTCGGAAAAAAGATGGCGCACACCAATTCCTACAGTATAGTTTTTTCAATTCTTTACATAAATGTATCATGAGTTCAACCTCAGCCAGGAAACCTGACAAAACTATCCCTTGGATACAAATCAGGAATATAGCCCATAAAGGAAAGATATAACGCCATATATGCAATAAGTCTTCAATTCTTATTTCAAGATGCACAATCAAGACAAAATAGAAAAAGAAAACGTAACTCTTGGGACTGTTTTCCTCATTGTCAACCTACTACAACTGGAAGTGGTTACGCACGATTGCGTGACATCAAGCAACACCCGGAAATCAACATTTCTTTCTCACTCGGAGGCAAATATGAGGGGAAAAAGCCGCCTGTAACAGAGTTCTTTTCAACGTTTGACATGGTATAGTTAGCATTGTTGGAGAGAGTTATGTAAAATTAGATAAATTTTCTAGTCTAAGGGCAATTTGTTAAAAACTAAGGGAGATACGACTCGGCGAACGACTCAACTGAGTCAGTACTTCCGAAATCGGACGAAACTGTCCGGAATAGGACGAAGGCGTCCGAAACAAAACGGCAGCGGACTGGGGATGGAGGGGCGGACGTAAGACTATGTTAATTTCATATAAAAAGGTCAGCTTTTGAGCGACAAGACCCATCCTGTCGTGGTTCATTCTGAAGTAACATGATACAAGCTTGTCTCGGCCAAGAACGCAACGAAAAGGAGCAGAGACGTTTTGGAGAAGCGCACGGCAATCGAAACAGGAATGGAATAAATTTTAGCGCGCTTTGATGTCCATGGAAGGTCCTTGTTTTAGCACACCGACAAGATGGACATCTGTCGCCCTATAATGTGTAGTTGCTCTGCATTTCAAATCAGACTTTACATAAAACATTTCAACACCTATCGAGTACATTGTCATCTAGAAATATTCTTATATTTCACGTTGCTTTACGAGTTCGGAAAATTTGTTAATTATTACAATGGTAATAATTATAACAATCTTCAAATTTTGTACAGTTTAGAATAATTATTACAGATATTACAATTATTACAGTTTCAATAATTATTACATATTACAGATACCGGTAATCTTTGTAAACAATATTTAAAGAGAATTTCTTTGTGAACGATAAATCTTACATCACTAGTAAGCACGTCTTGTTCACAATGGATTCTTCTTCACAAATAGATAATCAAGTTATCATACTTTGTTCAATATACTACTGTCAAAGTAATCTTCATGAGAAAGAGGGACACTTATAATGCAGATATATAAAAACATATCTGCAACATTTGTCATTGACAATATTCAAATTATATGCTGAAGACTAGCAAATGGATTTTTACATCAGTCATTTCTTCAATTGCTCTTATTATTCATTATATGATAAGCTAAAATATTCACTCATTTTTTGATCGGTTCTTACTCATGATCTGTTGAAGAGGACAAAAGCATCAGTGACACACTCGGCTGTGCCTCATGTGCTACTTTGTTGTTTTAACTACATTTTGATGTTATCTGTGATCTATTACTGAAAAGACCTGCAGCAACATGGAGTATATTTGCAAATAACTTGCTGGATACCAAATGCAACAAATGAAACTTCTTTTTTCCAGAAAATTGTTACTTGCATATCTACTTCAATATTTGACATTGGTCTATGCAGTAATTTATCAGAAAACCTGTTTTTTTTCTTTTTTCATTGAGAAAAAATTCAAAGGAAATTTTCATGCAAAAAGCAAAATTAAAGTGAACCAGGAACACAGCTCTTTTAACATAAAAAAAGTTTCTCTCACAAGAGAATGCTCAACAAAAGGTAGATATGGTAGAAATTTGAATACTTCATTCAAAGATATTATTTTTCAGATATCTTACCCTTACAGGTTTTTGCTTGAAAATCAATTAATATAATTGATAAATTAATTAAGACAGAAAAGATGAATGAAGCACAAAGGATGTCATAAATGCTGATCACCCACTGTTATCCAAGCCATTTGCTTAGGTTTACTTCTTTAGATAAACTGTAGGTAGTCTTTTTGATCCTCTCTGCCAGGGGCACAAATAAGTGTCACATCAAGGTCCTGCTCACATCAAGGTCCTGTTCACATCAGGGTCTTGTTCATATCAGGGTCCTCTTCACATAAGGGTCCTCTTCACAATGGGGTCCTCCTCTCAAAGGTATTTATTCTTGCCAGCAATAATGCCCAACTGTAACATGAGTAGGAGTACAAACACCACTACTGCCACAACACCAGACAGAAAAGAGAATTGAACTGGCATAAACAGCAGCTTGGCCTGGGAGATGAAGAGACAATTATCCTTTGCCAATACCTTGAATGCGGTTATTAAGTTAACTAAAGTTGAAATCTTCCCTCCTGTTAAAACAGTTTGTAGTGCAAACATGTCACAACATGCTTTATGGACGTATGATCCATAAGTATGGCAATGGACCCATGGGCCAAAGAAACTTTCAATGAAATGTGGGGGGGGGGGGAAGGGAAAGGGAGCTGAACCCTATCTTCCCCAAGAGTCCCCCCCCCCCCTACTCCACCATCCTTGTGAAACAAGCTGTCCTTAATCAAGATACTTAAGTTACCTTCATTTCAGCACTGTGTGTAAACAATACAAATGAATCCAAATCCAGTTGAGAAGCAGAAGGATATCCAAACACTCTGATCTGCAAACTATTCTGTTTAAGTTTACGAGCAGCTGAAGTCAAACGAGCAGCCTTGAAAGACAAAGAATAACCAGTAAATAACATAATCATATACACTTTGAGAATATGGAACATTTAGTGTGAAGGCAGATTTTAAAGTTAGCTTAGCAAGGACAGCAACAACAACAACAATGACATTTCTACTTGTGTAAAACGTTCTTTATATCAACCCTTTACACCTCAACATCAATATGCATATTCTCCAACTGTTCTCTATACGTCTTCTAAGGTGTTGAAGGGACAGTTTGTTCAACAAACAAGGGCTTCTTTAGTTGGTGATCATTTCCTTTATACATGTGGCCTAAATGTGTAATTCAGGGATGATATTGTAAGGAGAAATTGGAAGCTACTTATGCATAGGGGTCAAAGAGATTATCAGAAAAATGAAAAAAAAAAATAGAAAGGTGAAAAAAAAAAGGAAAGAAGAGAGACCACATCCATATAGAAACAGTGAATGTACATCAAACTAAGAAATAAAAATGGTTTAAGCTACTTACGATAGTTATAGGGCAAATGATGATGGCAAAACTTATCAGCGGTTTAAAGATTCTGTACATCAGTTTGCTCTTTTTTACTTTTAATTTTTTAATCTGAAGTGATAAGTTACAAAACCCTAAAAAGAAATCCAAATTACCAAGATTTAGCTTTAATATTTACTGCAAGTCCTAAGGCTTTGAGACAACCTTACAGACAAGAATAAAAATTATGATGTACTAACATAAAATCCAAAAATTTTTCAAACTTTAAAACTTTAGGTAAAAATTTGTGTTAATCTTTAATTACCTATCACAGAAAGTTCAAAGTAACTAAATATTATAAGAGTTGCAATCACTGATATAAGTCCATTCACTCTGGAGAGATTTTTCTTTACTTCAAGAATGTCCTAATGCAAAAATAAAAAGAAAGACAAGTACAATAGGGTTAGTGAGAGAGAGATCAGATAGATCCTGCAAATGGATGATCACCTTCCATATTTTCATTGACGATTTTGAAACTTCAATCAAATTTGGGAAAAGTTGACATAACAGAAAATCATCTTATAATAATATACTCTGCTGAGACTGACACTTATACTATCAGATATATCTAGTACTCCTCCCCTGTTATAACCCTGTATCAAATTATCACCATCCCACCCCCCACCGTAAATCATGTTCTTGGTTCCAGTCTTCCTACTCTTCCATCCAAAAATAAAAGGAAAAAAGCCCTAAAGTCAATTAACCCTTTACCTTCCAGATCAAATTTGTACTTCTCCTTACTGTCCACCACACAATTTTTATAATGTTAGTTCAGAGAATTTAGTATTGGATCAACTAACTATCCCCAAATTGATATTTTTCTTTATTCTCACCACTTATCTGGTTGATATTATATTGATATTGTAAGGAGAAATTCTGTCTTGGTCACTCATGGGAGTTAAAGGGTTAAGGGTGTGAGGGGAGGGGGGTAAAGGCCAGAATATTTAACTACACCATTACCTTCATTATGCTGTCAAGATCTTTGGTTTTCTCTTCCATGCGCAATGTAATTTCACGAATATAGAAAATCAACAATTCACACTGTGCACAGTAATTTACAATAGTAACAACGCTGACACATAACTCTACAAGTCGGCCCAGTCCCATTACAACTACTGCAATCCACTGAGCTCTAAAGATAGAAAAAATAAGCTTCAGTTACAAATTGTAACCTATGAAGGACATAAACTAGGAAAGGATTTTTCCCCAACAAGATAAAATGGGTCAAGCAAAGAGGGATGTCTGGCAAATAACTTAATTTCATGTTTAAATCCCTGAACTGCTAATTGATACAAATGAATATCAAAATCAGTAACACAATTTTTGGTATAATGGGCCTGTTTAGCATCATAGCCCTATACTATCTGAACACAAATGCTCTAATAAGACCAAATACTAATAAGACCCTCTCTCTAAGCCCCTCTCTCTAAGGAGCCCCCTCCCTAATAAGTTCTCCTCTCTAGTATGTCCCCCTTCCATTTAGTCCCCTCTCTTATGAACCCCTTTCTGTCAAGCTTCCCTCTCTAATAAGGTAATTTAAAAATCTTTTAAAATTTAATTGCAGTGTGTGACTTGGCTGCCTTACCTTCGGTTGTTTATGAATCCTGTGACTGACTCCAAACGGTAGGCAAAACAAAACAAAATAAAATTACAGATGCCCAGGAACACTATGAAAAAACCACCAAAAAGGAAAAACCTGTCAAAGGAACAAAACTGACCATTAAATGCTTTCTGCCTGAAAACTAAGCTGGGTTAGTCAGCTCTCAAAAATTTTCATAAAAGCAAAGTTATAGGTTGCCAAAAGGCAAAATTTAGATGTCTTAGGCTTTGTGAGAAAAAAAATATTTTAAATAAGGTCTGGGGACTTTTAATCAAGGAGAGGTAATTTTGCATTAGGAGTTAGAAATGACTTTGTGGAATATTTAACAATTTGTTTCAAAGCATAATGTTGCGCTCTAATATTTTTCCTGATTTAAAACCCTTAAAACCAGATTTTGCTTCTCTTTGGCTATTAATCATTGAGGACTGATAAAATAAAAATCCAAATTGTTTCACAGAATTAAAGCAGGGAGAATTCTAAACACAACTGCATAATTCACTAAATATACAAATCAAAACTTATGTGTGTAGGAGAAACAGCACATACCGCAGCCTTGAGGTGATTCTTCTGGGAACTGAACTAAGCAAAAAAACCTGAGAAAAATTAAATGATCAAGTTGAGGGGAAGGTTTCACTACAACGAAACCAGAGGGGCTAAAGATTAATAATTTTGTTGGTAAGTTGACTACTAAAATGAATCTCAAGAAAAATGCCCTCGTCATAAAACTTTGCCACTCAAGAAGGTGACCACTGATAATATAAAATCTATCATGACACTTAAAACTGTAACATTTTAAAGCATACCTTTTCTATCAGTGCATGGAGGCCCTCACTCTCTTGAATCCTAAACATGTAGAATCCGATCAAAAATGCTAGAAAGTGAAGAATATCTGGTACCACGTATGTGCTAAATATATGAGTACACTCCATGACTGCTGGGTTCCAAGTGGCTGGTGCTGCCAAGGTATAGAATGGTATACCTGGTTTGCTTGTGTGTGAAGTTGATGTTTTATTTGTGTGGTTTGTTGTTGGCATTGTTGGTGCTGTGTTGATGTTGCCATGGTGAGAATTTGGTTGAGATTTTGGAAGTTTTGTTGCTGGTGTCTGGAATGATATAAACAGAGAGAAATGTCACAATCAAATGTGATTGAGTGACCAAGACAGAATTTCTCCTTACAGTATCAATACAAATCAAGCAGATAAGTAATGAGATTAAAGAAAAACATCAGCTAGGGGAATATTAGACGATCCAATACCATGTTCTCTACACTTAAATCATAATAATTGAATAAAAGACAGTAAGGACAATTACTAAAAGAGATCTTAGGAGTGAAACACTACACAATGGATTGTATGCATCCACTGAATCCATTTTTACTTAAGAATGTGTTCACAAAACAACAATCTGCAACTAACAAACACACAGACAATTTGAACAGATGATTTGAAGTTATTACATACTAATATATGATGACTGTGGAATCTATTGGCAAACTGCTCCTAAGGGTAATCTAATCAGCTTTACTTTTTCAATGTGTATAAACGTCACAAATTTACCCCACAAGTATTATCTCTCTGACCCCTTAGAGTGACTAGCATCTAATTTCTCCTTACAATATCACCCCCAAATCAAACAGTAGGGTCACAAGTATAGAGGACATAATCACCGACTAGAGAGGCTTTTGATTATTTACAAAATTCTCCTTGTCAGCAACAAAGGAAATTTAAAGAGAACAGTATGAAGAATATGCATACTGATGTTAACTCTTTAACTCCCATGAGTGACCAGGCAGAATTTCTCCTTACAATATCAATACAATATCATGCAGACAAGTGATGAGAATAAAGAAAAATATCAATCAGGGGATTATTGGTTGATCCAAGACCAAATTCTCCAAAGTAACATTACAAGAATTGTATGAAAGACAATAAGGAGAATTACTATTGAAACCTCGGGGGTAAATGGGGTTGATAAGAGTTAATAAGTCTACAAGCTGCATACCAAAGGTATATCCAGCCTGGCTTGACAAGCTATTATGCTTGACACATAACTGAAGATAATCAGGACAAAAATAATCAGTGTGTATATAATGTTCAAGAATTTCCGCATTGAACATCCTTGGTAACGAAAGGATTGAATATTAAATGGTCGCCAGGCAACCTGAAAAATAAAGAAAATTACAGTCACTAGTATCAACTCTGAATCAAGGGGAAAGGAATTAACTGTTTGACCCCTAAGACTGATTAACATCTAATTTCTCCTTAAAATATCATTCCTGAATCACACATTAAGGTCAGGATACTAAAAGAAATGATCACTGACTAAAGAAGATGTTGATTGTTTGATAAAATCTAATAATTATACTGACATCAGGGTGCAGTGGCTTAAACCAAAAGTTATAAACTACAAGAAACAAGTTGAAGATAGATGATTTTCATCTTTTCACAAGCGTGGGACAAAGAAAAAATTCGGAGTCCCCATGAGGAATAACCCCCAAACATTTGGATTCTGAGCTCCCATGCTCTTCCACTGAACAACAGTGACTCTTAGATGAGCAAGGCCATTACAAGGTTCTTAAGTCAAAGCTGTTACCAAAATGCTTTATGCTGCCCTAGTGCAGATGATTAAATGACAAGGACTTTTGCTCTGCGTATAAGTGGGTAATTTAGTATAATCAACTGAGTTGACAACATAAATTGGCCAACATAAAGAGATTCAAAGCTGACATTTTGAGTGTTAGCCCTTTGTTAGAGCAGAACAAGAAAGGGCTAATGCTCAAAACGTCAACTTCTAAATTGTTTATGAAGGCCAATTTACATTTATTTATCACCTCAGCTGATAATACTAAATTACCTTGTTAAACTCTACCACTGATGTAGCACAACAGTTTCTTAAGAAACTCACCCCTGTTATTCGTCTGTATATGACTAATGAGTTACTCTTGGAATCTAAACTTACCAAGGAGAGGATGTAGAAATAAGGATAAATAACCTGGCTTTTACAAGTTAGCAACAAGCTTGTTGTAGCATTGAAGTCTCCTTTGTCTTGATCTCTGATCTGTAACAAAGTCAGTTAACAAATATTACTAACAATAATATAACATTGGAGATATCACTCATAATCTTTAATCAAATACCACATTTACTCAACTAGTATCTCTTGCCCAACTAGAATAAGAGAGACACAGGTTCAAATCTCATTGAAGCCTAAATTTGTTTCAGGCTTCTTTTCTCCTATTGCTTGAGCCTTTTAACTCCCAAGATCTGGATGTTAATTCTCCCTGTAACTGCTTCACATTTCCTTGTAAATTGGTTATGAGAATTTGATGTTTGATTAAAAGAATAACTTCAACTTGATAAGTTTGAGTATTCTCGTCACCAGTTTGCTGGATAGCGTGTGAATATCACAGGGAGAAATTACATGTTAATCACTTCTGGGAGCTAAAGGGTTAAATTGGAACTCACCTGCAAGGATCACTGCTATACTTGGGGACATAGGTGTTGTTTTAACCTTTTAACTCCCAAGATCTCACCAGTAATTCTCCTTACTGTCTACCATACAGTTCTTGTGATGTTAGTTTGGAGAATTTGGAATTGGATCAACTTATAATCCCCTGATTGATTTTTTTTCTTTATTCTCATCACTTTTCTACTTGATATTGTATTGATATTGTAAGGAGAAATTCTGTCTTAATCACTCATGAGAGTTTAAGGCTAACATGTATGATCCAGCTCTAGGACATGTGTAATGTGGTGCTTCAACTAAGAGTACCTTGCTTGCAGGAGGTCATATTGAGACCTTTTCTTATTTAGAAGGGGTGTCCCCCCATCAAGGACATAACAAAAGGGAGGAGGGGTTGAGGAAGTATCTGACCCCCCCCCCCTCCTTCATCAACAATGAAAGTATTTGTGAGCAAAAACTGTTTCCAAAATGGAGTGGATATCAACCCCTCCTTTGTGTTAAGATATTTTTGTTGGCATTAAAATAATCGTTTCTCTGCTGAGACTATTTTATCCCAATAAACCCGAAAAAATAAGCCAATCGCATCGTAACCATCAAAAAACCATCATTATGATTAAAAATAACAATAATAAAGTGGTCAAATTTATGAAAGATAACACGTTATGTGGTAATTACTTGGCTGAAAATTTAAGACACTTGTGAACTGTTAACCAAGCTAGAAAAGCTTTGTTCAAACTCGTAAATAAGCAGTGTTCGGATCAGGAACGCGTCACGACTTGGAAAAAATTACAAATGAGGAAGACAGAAGCACCTTTCCTCATTTGATAACATATAAAATTAAAGTTTAATTTCGCGAGAGAGATTGTGTAATATTAAACTAAAAACAACTCACGCATGTTTTCGAAAGATATAGAAAACCCTTAATTTACTTTCAACACAGAAGTTATAGGCAAATTATGTAACAATTCCGAAGTAATGCAATTTGACAGCGACGTGCACGCGATGCAAACGAAACTGACCTTTCATCCGAACAAATGATGATTCTTTGGGCCAGAATGCGTATATTCATATTAAGTTCAATCAAAGCAGTTACATTCTAACCTCGACGCTTGTGTTGTCCCAGATATCAGCAAAAGATGATCCACTTCCCACAGTATCCTCCAATTCATTCAATCCTTCAAGTTTTCCTTCGGTTGAGCTATTCATGCTTCCGTTTCGCCCTGCAAGCATTGTACGGGGTAAAAGTCTTCGTAGCGCTGACCTCTGCCGCACAACAGAAAATATTATCTCATGAGCAAGAATTTTGCTGCCCTTGACAGTAATAAAAGCTCCAAATTACCAGAGTTGTGCTGCTGTAAACTGCGTCCCAACTGTCACCCTGAGCTCTCCTATGCTCAGCTGACATCTCCTGAGACGACAAGTACACTTGTTTGTCTAGCATATTTGTTATGCTAATTAAGGGCTCGTCCCTCTCTGGGTCTCTAATTCACAGTAAAATAAGGTACCATGGGTCTACTCCCTCCACCCCTGCTCCGCGCGCTATGGGATCAAAGCTCATTGGAGAATCGTGAGGTTGAAAGTTCAGTGAACAATATTTCAACCGAGCCAAAATAATTTCGAAACAAACAAAATATCCCATAGCAAGTAGACAAAGCAAAAAGAAGGACATGCTTGGGCGCAGGTCAAGTGTACGTGATCGTTAAGGGAGTGTTGTTAATCAGGAGCGGTGCAACAAACGAGTCATACAGCCCGTAATCATATAAAACGTTCTTAATTCCCTATGTATCGCATAGATTTTGTTGGTAAAAGAAAAAATTGTTTATTTCGTATTGCAAGAGCATATTTCGAGTTAGAATAACATTTTACGAAAGGATTAACATTGTCACAATTCCATCATGGTGGGTCCCAGAAAGGTCCCGAAAGGAATAGAGTGGGCTACCAATTACACCGAACCCCCTCCCCCAGTCAATCAGTCTCCTGTAAAAACACGTTTGCTTCTGAAAAGGCTTATGGTGTGAATAAGAGGATTGTAGGAAAATAACAAAGAACATGAAACAGAGAACACTCGATCACACAGAGAACACACGTAGGGTATCATTCTAACGTTGTAAAGAGCTCTTACATTTTGTAATAAAGTGATAACAGGATTACTAACCATTTCGCTTTATTAAAAAACATGGTAAATCTGTATTTGCACTTTATTCTAGCTCCGACAGCAATCTCTGGAATCTAAGAAAAATATCTAAAATAATAAAATTTAACAATTACTTTGGGCATTATTTTCTACCGTCACTCAATGTTAGTGCCTTATCATTCAGGAACCTCACCGATTTGGAGGCTACAATTTCACACATATCAGTATTGAAGTTACGAGGAAGCTTTTCATGACCTTTGGATCTTTTTTTACTTTACGTTTTACAGCGTTCTTTTTAACAGATGAGCGACACGAGATATAGCTCGTTTGCATATTAGGAGCAGGACCGTTCAGTCAGTCGATAAAAACCGTATTAAGACGAGCAAAATAAATTTCGGTAGTACACTGATAAAAAAAAAAGCTTAGTATCTAAATCAAGAAAATCACAAAATGGTCGCATGTCATACTGTAACGATTTCAGCTTTTCGTTCAACTCATGTTGCAATAATTAGGTCAAGTTAAAAGCGTTCTGTACAAATTTTTTTTCCACGAACAAGGTCCCGCCTCTAAAGTTAATAAATAAATCACACTATTCGTGCTCAATGTTCGGAAACCGAAGTTTCCGAAAATCATACGATTGTACAACTGACCGATAATAAACTAACGCAGGCTCTGTTCACTAAATAAAACGAGTTTCGTGGGTCAGAGTTCGATTGGCCCTCTAAAACTCTAAAAGACGTATTCAAAAAGATTTTTTAAAAAACCTACAACACTGTTTAAAATAAATGGCTTACTCTCAGAAAGCATGCCGTTAAGATCGAAAAATTTCTTGAATAAAGGCTAAGCGCTAAAACTCTCTTAGACTTCAAACTTACTCATTAACATTCACATTTGACAACATGATTTAAAGATACCGAATTCAATGTAAAAAGATTAACGCAATTTAATTAACGAAAACTGTATTTACATGGATAAAAAAAGACTTTATACAGAGCTTCTCGAGAGAAGTTATTCTGTGCTTTCAAAGTTGCAATTATACTTTTCCACGTTAAATTTCGGTTCTGCTTTGTTTTGTTTTGGCTTTCACTTTTGTTTACAAATAATTAAATCTTACCCCTTAAAAATGTGTTACTACAACGTAACCAATAAGTTATACTGTTAATCTTTGCAAAAAAATCGAGAGCTGAATCTTTTCACTGCTAAAGCACACTTCTCAGGTCAGTGTGATAGGGAAAAAAACTAGATGAAGATTTTCTAAGTTTTAAACCCCAAAGAAGAAAACCTATTCCGAGGAACACGTGAAATCTCTGCAGGTTCCCTCAGGTAGATTACGAACAAACGTAGCCACCACTGTAGCCCTGTGAGCTCTCTCTTTCATGAGGCGTCATTTCATTTCCGTCCCAAAGAGCAGTTTGTGTAAATATCAGTAACCAAAGTTTTTAAATGTCTTGCTTAGCGTCATGAAGTAAATCTGGCCACTTGAACTCGACCGAGAAGCGAAGAAAACCTGCAATGAAAAATAAGAACAATGACGGTAAAGTGACTGTGATATAGCGTGACAAATCGTCAAACGAAAAGCGTGACCATGTTACGTGACAAGTAGCACAAATAAGAGACTGACCTTTTCGTTTCTCTCACAGAGAAATCTAAACGTCTGAGCTCTTTTGTGCATAAATACACCATCCAAAAGTCCCGTCTCCACAGATCTGACCTCAATGGCCTTTTCTCCCCATCCCATAATTTGTCCTGAGCCTATATGAGCTGCAATAATAATTGAAACTGAGTAAGATTTTTTTTCGCCTTTTCACGAACGTGGAACAAAGTCCCCATGAGGAATCGAAATTCAGACCTTCAGATTCCGCGCTCCGGTGCTGTACCACTGAGCCACAGATACCCCACGGTGAGCGAGATCTATCACGAAGTTTATATATGACACGCGTCCTACATACTGTTAGGATCAGCAATGTCGATAGCGTAATGTTTTGTAAATAAGGGAAGAAAGATACTAATTTTTGAGCTCGGTGAAGAAATGGAGAAAGATATTTTTTTTTTATTTGTCCCCGCTCGTGACAAGACGAAAAAAAAAAACATCTTTCTTTATTTCTTACAAAAATAGTTGAGATTGTGAGAGTGCTTTACGATTGGGTGTCGTTAAACCAAAATAAAACGAATCACAACGGCCATTCAAGGAAATGGTTAAAATCACAAGAAGCCAACGGGAACTCAGAACTGTCAAATTGTCTGAAGCGCGGGAAAACGCAAGTGACCAAGTGAGGAATTTGATTGGTTGAGAAAGTGGCACGTGTTTTCTGGACCAATCACAGCGCTTAGTAGACTTAAGCAGAACCAAAGCAATCCCAAATCCCAAACCCTCAAATTTTGACTGAGGAGTACGATATCACGCCAAGGATATTTTCAAAAGCGAAAGTGCTTCTCTCACAGCGCCAGATAACCGCCAAGTTGTGAAAAGTACTGAAAAACTAACTTAGCGTTTGACAAAATTAACAAAAATAATCAGAGACCGAAGAAAAATAAAACCTAAGGGAATTCATATCTACAGAGGAGATAAAACTTACCGATAGCGTATGGAGTCTCGCCCCATTGTAACACGGCATGTCTCACCAGTTCTCCGTTGGTATTAACGTAAACGCCTTCATCTAGATAAAAAGTAGGAGCATAACGACTCTGTGTTAAGATAATCGTAACAATATAATTAAAACGACCAAAATATTTCTTCAAATTTGGAACGGTGTCATTTGTTTCCATCCAATTTAGGATCCTTACGTCTCATTATAGGTGATTACGTTCGAATTGGGAAGGTTTCGTTTTTTTTTCGTTTCCGTTTAATCTCCGACGATTCGGCCTGATTTGGTCGATTTCGTATTATTTCGGAAGGTTCCCTACGACTGCGGACGGTTTCGTTAAATTTCGGACAACGCCGAGGAAAGAGTCCAAAATCGACAAAACAGTCGGGAATTGGACCGACCGTCCGACTTTAGGTGGAAACTCAAAGATTCGATGGATGGTTATGGATGGCGAATTTCAAAACGGTAAAGCAACCTGTCTAATTAAATTAGTTATGCATCCGTACTTACTGTTAAAACAGAGGAGGAGTTCCAAACCACTCGAACCTAAAACACAACGTAAACACTTAATTAAAACCAGCAAAACAATATCGAAAAAGGCTAAGACAGTTTTTACTCATAAAAGCGCTCAACTCCTGGTCGACTTATAAAACGACACAGTAAATATCTAACTTGATATCATTAAAAGAAACGGCTACCAAAATCACAAATTCTCCTTAGCAGTCTCCATAAGTAAGGAGAAAATCACAATAATCCTTACTTGGTAGAGGAATAATAGCATGCGGCTGGAACTTTTCTTGAAGCTGTAAAACAAGAAAAATTCAGAAATAAAAATGAACTTCTTTTATTTCCTTAAAAAATATTCTTCAATTTTAACAAAAACAACATGAAAGAAATTTGTCGATCAAACTGACCTGAGTAGGAATAAATAAATCATTAACTGAAGCTGAGTCCAAGTCAACAGCATGAAAACCTGCGAAACAATCAACTTGATCAATAGGCAAATTCTCTCCAGTTTCCTCTCAGTATTCGTATAAAACAACAAAGGAGAATATAATTGTAGAGTTTTACTCGTGATGAGCTAGTAAATGAGTTTGGCCTTAGTCTGAGCCTTATAGAGTTACAGGCCATCCTCGGGTTCCAAAAGTTTTTTTTTATGTGCAAATGAATTGTATGCTCATAGGAATCAAATCTTTTCCATGTCACTGGTTTAACACTTACTCTCGTTATCAAACAAAGGCTTGGGGCATTTCAGAAATAGCCAACGCCACCCTCTGGGCTCAGAAATTTGAGTGTCTTCTTACAAAGAAAGAATGTTTGATACAGCTTCTGATGCATACTTAGTAACGATTTTCTGTTTATCACAAGCGATGGTAACCTTGAGGGTGGAGCGGGGGTGGGGTGGGGTTCCAATGACCTACAATTTCTGATGAGCAATTGTGGATTGTTCCGTTTGCCACTAGCATTGGTAACCTTTGGAGAGGAAGGAGGGGGCAGTGGGAAAGGTAAGATTGCACTAACCTATTTCAGAGGAGTAACAGACTTTTAGTCTGCTGTTTTCCGCCTCTATTGATACATTCAACATCAGAGGTTTCTGGGGTAAGTACGAGAAAGACTGAAGAAAGAAAAAAAAACACTTATTAATAATAACTAAAGGAGAGTGCTCGGAAAGTGTTTGGTGCAAGATATCCACGTAAGATCCTCTAGACTTTAACAGCAGGTCAAGTAAACTCTCCCCATTCCTAATCTACCCACCCAGTCGAATAGACAGGGGTGAGACTGGGAGTAAGATTTCCGGGTCAAGAATAAGTCAAGTGTTCCGCCAGAAAGTTACTACACAAAAACCGGGCTACAAGATTCGTTCTTAAGCTCGGTTTTTAAGACAGTGAGCTAGAAAACATCGACTATCAAAAATTCTGTTGTGCAGTAATTACTCAGTTAAGCTCACCTTAAAAGCCATAAACTTGTGATATGGTTTTGGAGCCCAAGCGTAAACTTCAATCATGTTCTCAGTGGCGATGGCAAGAAATTTGATTCGGTGGAAATTCACTGCAAGGTAAGAGAGTCGTTGGTCAATAATCACTGCTTCTATCTGGAATACGAGGTTGCGCGATGGTTACCACGCGGGATTCCGGAAGGGGGGTTGGGTTCGAGCCCTGACAAGACAATTTATTCGCACAGTACCTATCTCCAACCAGGCCTAAATGTGGATGGACGAAACGCGGACGACGAAGTATCGAGGGGGGTAGGTTTCATGTAATCGAAATCGGAAAAAACATTCGTGAAAAATTATTGTGGTAAAGATTTGAATCAGTCTTACCAACTTTGTAGTGAACACATCCCTCCAGATCACCGACTGTTGTGTAACCTCGCTGCCTTCGGATATTCTCCGCCTGCACACAAATTTAAAAAAACAGAAAAGAAAACACATACAGCATTACAGACAGACACCTGGAAAAAATACAAAAACATTTTCGTTTTATCTGCGAAAAATGTAGACATATGTGCTCTAAAGAACCACGAGCTTCTATACCTCTTCTCCCTTTAGAATCTTCGCTTTCAGCCATGACAGATAATACACACGGAGTTTGTTTTGTTTTCCTAGAAAGGAGAAAATAGATTAAATTTTTAAAGATTGAGAAATGAAAACTTAGTTCAAACTTGGGCTCAACAGGATCTCAATGTGCTTGATCAGTATTCATATTCTCCATACTGTTCACTGTACATTTACTAAGGTGCTGACAAGGAGAATTTGTCTCACAATCAAAAGTTTCTTAAGTAAGTGATCATTTCCTTTATTCTCATGACATTAATGTGTGATTCAGTGGTAACATTGTAAGGAGAAATTAGATGCTAGTCACTCTTAGGGATTAAAGGCTTAAAAGAACGAGATGAGGAGGGTAGTGGAAAAAAAACCTACCACTGATGGAAATAAGAACGTTTATCCCCTCAAGTACATCTATCTGTTGGAATCTGCGTCTAGATATCAATTGAAAAACTGAAAAAGAACGCCACAACTTGGGTTAGTTCTAAATTCAAGGAACAAGAACAGACAAACACACACACAAAATGACGATAAACAGCAAAAATACTAATACAACGAAGATCGAAAAAACTGGCGAGGATTAAAGTACACACAAAATTATCATCCACCTTTGCCATAACCACTCCGATCCAGTAAAAATAATCCACTTTCTGTTCCAACAAGAAGGTTGACTCCTGAAAATGTAGCACAAGGAGAAGATGTATTAGATGTTTATTAAATCAAAAGGCCACAAAAATAAATAGTAAGTCACAAGACTGAGTACAAGTCTGTAAATTCTTCAGTACCCCACAGAGCTCCACATAAGATTTCTGTTCGGAATTTGTACTTGTACTTTCTTATCTGCGGCATCTAACAGAAGACAGGAATTAATAAATTTGTAAGTTTTTTCAAACTGTTATTTACGTCGTTTATGTACAGTAGAGAGCCTACGCTAATTATTTTCTGCCTTTTCAAGTATTGTAAACTTCGAGACGTAATTTCTTGATTACTTTTATTGATTCGCACTTACTACCACATCTAACTCGTATCGTAAAACCTGAACTTTGTAACTCCGCATAAAACACTCGTCTTCGCTTCGAAAAGGTACTAATCAAAGTCTATTATGTACATGTGATTATATTACTTGGCTCACGTGTCCGTCAATCAACAAAATCACTTCTGCACTGTACAAACAAAACAATATATCTCGTTACGTTAATCGTTCTCGCGTGGGACGTCTCGCGTGGGACGTCTCAATGTTTCTTACATCAAGCGAGCTGGGGCGTTTTAGCAACGCGGGTCACTTACACGCAAGTAAAGAGTGTGTGAGTCAGCTGCACGCGCGGAGGCGTGCAAGAGTCAGTTACACGCGGGGAAGGCGAACGCGAGTCAGTAACACGAGCTGTGGGCTGGCTCGGGTTCTTCACACGCGCGCTAGGCGAGCGCAAGAGGAAAATAACAATATTTTAATTGACGATTTTATTTGCCTGCCACTTGCAGTCCATTGCGCTCGCCCAAGATAACCAGGAAAAACAGTAGAGCCTGTTCTAGCGAACAATGAGCGAGTCAACTTACTCCCATATCGTCCAAGTTAGCGATTGAGGTTCTGTCAGGGGTCAAGTTCACCGACACCTCAGAGGGAGCCTGGGACTGACGACTGAAGCCAAAACTTCGTTGTTTGGAGAATTTCCTGTCTCTCCTAGGGTCCTGAGGCACAATGGAGGAGGCAATGGATTCATCTGATGACTTATGGCGCTCAGTCTGAGACTTCTGAAATGAGAAAAAAATATATCATTAGTTCTTGAGAAGATGGCGAACGCGGCGGAGAAAAACCATGTTTGAGAAGTAAGATTTCACCAGTAAAATCCCCAAACAGTAAAAAAAAATTCAGTCAAAAGTTCTGAAAATGATTGTAGAAATTATTTATTAATGACTTATGAAATTTCAATGATATCATTCTCCTCTCTGAACCCTGCTCTGCACACATTGCAGACCTGTGATATTTATTGCATAACGCCACTCCTCATACCTTTACTTGCTGTTGTGTTGGTAGCACGTCTGGCAGATTGTTCGTCAGGAGTCGGGTGGGGTTGCTTGCCTCACCGATACTGGCAGTTGAGGCACTTGACTGCTGAAGAAAAATATTATGACGTTATTAATCCATTCTTGGAAACGTATCAGTTTAGTGTTTGCTTAATTCATTTTTCTCAGTAACTAGGCACAAGAAAACAAAAAAAACACTGAGTAACGAAGATAAGGTCAAAACGAAAGAAGGGTTCATCTTCTGATAACAGAGGGCACATTTTCCAAAGCAGACTGCCAACGGCTTACTGAAGTAATTTAAACTCAATAAAAACTAAAAAACAAATGATAAAACAAAGAGCAAAGCTTAATACCGAGTCATCATCGTCATCTTTTACCACCATTGTATCATATCCATCCAAATCCTCTTGGTGAGCTGAGGGAGATAAATTAGTTTTGAATTAAAAATTCAATCACAACCAAAAAGCCAAAAATCACTTATGAGACTTGATTTCTGGGGCAAGGATATTCCTGAAATGGACTGTTGTCTCTTACAGAGGCTGATGTGATTGATGTTCAATAAGCTTAGCAGAAGTCATCAATGAATGTTTTACATCAACAATTACAAAACAGAAATGTGCTGTCACTACCTACCTTCTCTTTGAGGTCTAAGTGTGGATTCACCATCTTGCTGCTCATCCAAAGATACCCTGAAACGATTAGCAAATAAAAAACGTTTTATGCATCCCATATTATCAACCAGATATCCAACCTAAATGTTTACATAGCCCTGAATTACTTGGCAGCCAATAAATAAAAGCAGACAATGCTTTAAGTTCCTTGCTACAAAGTACAGAAAATCAGGGTCAGAAGAATGCAACATGCCACCTTAAGGTGTAGCTTATTGGCAAAGGTTGGGCGGTAAGCCTCACCGGTGTCGTGAATGGCTGGATGCTGTAAGGGTGTCATCTGTTTGAAAAGTCATGAAGCTGTCAACACTGGTGTCCAGGAACACATCATTGTCATAACCACCAGTTGCACCCATGTACTGAGGTGCACCATGGTTCAGGTTCATTTCCTGCAACAGGAAGGAGAGGAAAACAACTTGGTAAACTCAAAGAGGGTGGTATTCACTTTCACAGCCATCATTTAGACTTGACACACAAAGCACTCTCCCTCTACAGAATGTTGTGTCCAAACAATGGCTGCAAGACAAAGAGACTAGCTGCCTTGTTTCAAGATTTGTAAAAAACTTAAGTGCTAAAAATTCAAGACTTTTTCATACCTTTATTTTCAATTTTCAGACTCAAGATTGAGATAAATGAAATAGCCTAATAGGATAAGTGGCTGTAAAAATTTCCCTTAAACGAAGAACCTTTCTGATGATGCTGATTCAACATTTTGCTTAAGGTGTTTCATGTGACATTCAATTACCTTATGATAGAAAAACCCAGAATCAGCTTGAAACTTCTAATCAATTTTACATGCATTAAAGTTGTGTCATACTTTTTCAAGGTCTTGACAGTTAGTTTAAAGATTACAAAATATATTAGAACATCTGTTTTTGCTCTTTTAATAACTAAAAAGAAGGAGAGAAATGAGATGTATCACTCACTGGGCTGCTGCCACTGCTTGTCTTTCTTGGTGGATAATTATTACCTGAAAAGCATGGTTCAGATCATTAATGATTCAAGAAACTTTACAGATCTCTGAAATTTAAACTGATGTATAAGTTACAAATGTTTTGCAATGAACATTGACTTAAACAACAGTAATAGGCAAATTTATCTCCAGTATGACATTCAGATGCAAAATCAACAGGTTTAATCAGAACTCTGAAGATGTCTCTAACATAGTAAATTCCCTTTAAAGTAAATTCCTACTGCTATGTTTGTTATTGTGTACCTCTAATTTACCAGAATCTCACCTCTTCCAAAAGTTCCTCCTTGCATGAGGGTTAAATTTCTCCTCAAAGTTGACTGAACATTTACAATACTGTCAGAAAGAAACAAGTGTCAAGTGAATCAGTTGAGTTTTTAAATGAGATGGTACCCTAAAGAGAACATCTCAACAAAAGACTCAAAATAGAACTTTGTGACTCCCAATTTTACAGTGCATAGCTACTAATGTACTATTCCATAACCTAAAACTGGTTACCAGGCACTACTTCCTTCCGAGTGAAGGAATACTCTAGCAAGAATGAACTTTCCTGATGATAAGGTTCTCACCCCATTTCCTCGGCAATCATTCCTGCTAACAACTGCTCATCTTCCTCCTCACTTCCTGAATACTGATATTCTTCTTCATGATCAGGTGGTGCTGCAAGAAATAGCAGAAAATACTGTTACTTCAAAACACAACACCAAAAATCTTACCATGGTTCAGTAACTGTTCACAAGTTAAAAGAACACAAACAACTGCACTTACCTCTCTTCTTTTTCATCCTATCAATGAAATCCTTCAATTCAATTCTTATCTTCCTCTCATGCGATCTTGCATCACGGATAAATTCATGCTGCAGTTAAAATAAAAAATAAACTTGAATTCTTCTTTTACAGAATAAAGCAAGGTACCTGAGCAGGCCAGAAGTGAACCAAAAAGATAATGCAAAACTTTCAATATGTTTCAATTCACAGATTCACAACTTATTTTAAAATCCTCTCATACTCTCAAAATTTTTGCAATTTCTTTACAATATTCCTCCTTGAATGCTTAGGGTTAGGATTATGATATATAGATTTAGCCAAGCCTAAAAGTGGAGCTTGCAATTTTTTTTTCCTGCACGTCTCAAGGGCACAACGCCTTGACCTGGCCAGGACTAGAATCCGGGTTGTCCAACTCGGAGCCCAGTGCACCGACCATTGGACTACCGGACATCTTGCTGCTCTCTAGATTTGTTTGCAATTGCCCCAAGTTCAACTTCTTGGCTGTGCTTTGTACACAGCCAACTGGTCTGTCTCCTGTCAGTTGGTTATTTACAATGTTTGTTTCAATTTGTTTGTATTGGCACTGAAAACCCTGCTTGGGTGAGAGGTCAATTAATGTTATTATTATTACTGTTATCAATATTATTAAGCTCAACCAATCAATGCATATTTACTATGTCTTAGATATGATGATAATGATGCTGATGATAATAATAATGATAAAGATGACAACAACAATGACAACTTCAGTGTAGATGAGTCAAAGCCGATAATAACAATGATAGAAACAACTTTACCTGTAAAAGCTGGTCTGCTGTTGGTCTATGCTGGTAATCTTTAATCAAGCATGTGTTGACAAAATTATGGAATTTCTTGGACCATGCCTTCTTTGACTTCAGTCGAGGAGGATCACTCCGTGGAATCAGAAATAAAGCTCTCATTGGATGCATGTCACATAAAGCTGTGGGAGAAAGCTCTCTCATGTTAACTTGTAATCTTTTCATCAGTTACTGATCAAAGCAGGATTTAAATTAAAATTTCCAGTTGATAAGAGGAAACAATACTTACGTGGTTGGGTTTCAGCCATTTCAATTGCAGTGATTCCTATTGACCACATATCACACTGAAATATGAAAAAGATTTTCTTTGATCAACACAATTCAAAGTTGCTAACTCTTTGCTAAATTCAATTTCACAGAGATCAGTTCCAATGTCATTTTAACCCTTTCACCCATTTATAAAGAAATGATTTTCTAAAATTCCATACCCTGTTGTCATATGTGGCATCTGGCTGCTCATCACAAGCAATAACTTCTGGAGCCATCCTACAAAAAAATGATCATGTTTATCTGCATTTTTGTCTCATAACCTGAGCTTTATATTATTCTTTTTTGTAAAGGTTCACAAAGGATGAAAAATAATAGGTTAAATTTCTCTTAGAGATGTCCACATTCAAAATTAATTATAATAATCAAATAATTTTCTACAGATCTACAGTAGAGCATAAAATAAGTGATTTATTGCATACCTTAGAAGCAAAAATGACTTTATAAAGTTCTTTTGTTTTACAACACAAACAGATTTTCTTACCAGTAAGGAGTTCCAATAAAGGTATTTCGTCTTCCAATGGTCCTGTCCAATTGAGCACTAACTCCAAAATCAACTACATAATAAAAGTTTGTGAATTAATATTAAATTTTTAGTACAGTGACATCATGTGTATGTAACGGCACCTTTCAAGTTCAAATGGCATTTCAAAAAATGTAAGTTATGTTGCAGTGAGTCATTTAGTTAATGGATCTAGAGCTTAGCCATGATTGGTTGATTTGAGTCACTTGATTGGTACCAAAAAACATGACAACATTTCTGAACTTCATAGTAAGCATCAAATTGGTAAATGCAGTAATCTAGCCATTGAAATTAAAAATACACATTTTACAAGTGATGGCATGTCCTTACCTAACTTCACCTCGGCACTGTCTGTTAGTAACACATTCTGTCCTTTTATGTCTCTGTGAATGACATGGTTTTGATGAAGGTGACTAACTCCCTAAAAAAGAAAGTTACATCAGACATAAAGCATATGTAGCTGAAAGTTTTAAACCTGAAAATATGAAGTATCATGAGTGACATCACAAATGCCAAGTAACAAGTGCTCTGGAGAACTTACATTCAGCACTTCATGGCATATATATGAGATCCATTCTTCCTTCAAAGATTTTCCTCTTGAAGCTTTAAGAAACAAAGACAAAAAAATAACATTTAAAGAATAATTCAAGCTTTACCTCTCTATACATTGGTTTAATTTGCACCAGAGTGCAAACCTTACTGGTAGAATATTATTTGTATACTTACCTTTAACCAGGTCCGTTATGGATCCTGCACCACAAAATTCCATTACAAGCTGATCAAAAAACAAACAATGTATTAGAACACAATCACACCGGTAAGAATTAAATAGGAAATTTTCTAACTCTTCAGCCAACAATCTAACATTGGCCTTGAATGCAACTTCGACTAAAAACTGGCAAACAGGAATGCTTCTACTTAAATGATAGTAATTAATAAGATTTAAGTCACGGAACAGGTTGTCTGTGTGTGGGGAAAGTGAGGCTGAGAGTCTATGTGTCCAATAATTGCAGGTAACTATTCCTGAATTCTATAGCACTAGCCAACTAGGAGACAGTCTGTCTATTTCAACTGGACAGTGTGGTCATCTGTAGGTCACCCCTGACCATTTATGTACACTTCCCTAACAGGTTAAAGGCACCCATTCACACTTCTGGGTGGAGAGATGCACTGTGGGAAGAAAGTGTTTTACACCAAAGAGACATTACAATGACCTGTCAGGTCTTGTACCCAGACCTCTCAGTCCAAGGTTCAATTTTTAACTAGGCCATAGCAACTTCCAATGTTGTTCTTTAGCACATTATATTTAAAATAAGCATAAAGAGGTGCACAAACAGTAATTATTAACATACCCACAGCTGGTCCTCCTGTCCTGGTAAACCCTTCTTCACAAATGCTCCATAGTATGTTGCTATGTTCCGATGATGAGAAAACTAAAGAATACACACACACAATTTAGTCAGAACATGCCACAAAATTGATATCTTATCCCCACTAAAAAAAATCGCACAGTCAATTATCTGTAAATTTGAAAGATTGGGAAAAGTCTAGCACCAAAATGACAACTGGTTATCAATGTTTTGACAAGTTGATCCATAAGAAATTTTAGGCAATGACCCCTAATGACAAATTCTTCTAAAAATTGTGCCAACTAAAGGGTTGTGTTGCAGTTTAATTTTACTCCTTGTGTAAAAGGATTCATCAGGTAATTTTGCAAGGTGGATGGTTGACTTCTGTATGTGTACCTACCTTTCTAAGAACATTTATTTCAAGCTTAATTTCTTCCTCTTCATCCTGAAAAAAATTCATAGTTATCATAAACTGAATATTTATTCAATATGCAAGTAATGTTTCATAGGGTTATGTCAATGTTCCATTATAAAGATTTCAACAGAGATGGTTGGAAATACTTACTTCTGTAACATCCATGATTTTAATGGCTGCAAGTTGCCCAGTTCTTTTGTGACGACCCTGAATTTGTTAAGGAAAGAAATATTCAAATTTGTCTTCCATGATTTTACTACTGAAGTTCACAAAACATCAAGGAAGTGCCAAACATAACTGAGCATAGCCCAAGTTTTCCTGAGTGTTCAATCAGAGTTGACCATGGTCATAATCACCAGAGGGATGAAAGTGGTTTTGTTTGTCCTGTGCTAATCATAATTTTCAAAATGTTACTCTCTTCAACAACTGAGTTCTGACAAAGGGCTAAAGCTTCAAAGGTCAGCTTGAGAAACTCTTTACGGTGATCAAGTTACATTATCAACTGGGTTGATAAGACCACATTATCTTGTTTCAATAAAACTTGAACAGGGTTGCATTCCACCACCAAGTTCTCACAGGATAATTTGGTATCATTAACTGAGTTGATAACATAAATTGGCTACGGTAAAAGGTTTCAAAGCTGACATTTCAAGCGTTAGCCCTTCGTCAGAGTGCATGAGTTCTCTCAGTGCCATTAGCAGAGGATCCCACTGAGTAAACCACTATCCCAGATTTGTCATTAACACTGTTATTTCCTACCAAGCAATCCTTCAGATATGTATCATACTTTAAAACCAAATCATAACTGCAAATTCTAGCATAACATAAACAAGTTAAAACAAAACATGCTGAGATGTCACAAAATTTCTTTTAAAACAACTCTTTCACTTGAAGTTTTAAGTCACAGAAAGCATTAATATGAACAATAAATATTCAAAAGATCACTGTTTAGTGTTTGAGGTTTGTAAAAATACTGCCTGTTTGACAGACAGTTGAAATTCTGGCCGTGTCAGTGAACCAATCATCTACTTACTGTAAAATTGAAATCACAACATTCCATAATGAGCAATTATCTTTAAAATTGTTTCCAATTGAGTTAATTTAAAAGAACAAAGAACAAACACTAACATGTTTTGGTCCCACAGTTTTTTTATAAGTCTAAAGAATAAAGAACCACTCGATGCATAGTTTAAATTTGGAATTTAGAGGTTTCACTTAAAGAAAACACGATGGCAAGAGGTTATTTTTCTGTTTGGGTCTAGCGCAAACATTTTCGGTATGGTGTAAGCAAAAACTACTTCAAACTATGTACATCTGTTTTTAATACGAAGGAGGTGAAATGTGAAATATATTCTACATGGTTGGTAATGAAACTGAAGGAGTGAAAACAACAAGTTCTTTCATCACATACTCCGTTAAGCTCTCCTAAATCCTGATTGATCTCTCAGTATATGGTGTTTTGCGTGCAACAGAAGTTCTTATCTGCCACTTAGCATCAATAATTTATCAAATATATGATCAAAGACGAAATAAGAAGTCTAACAAGAGAGAAGTCAATTCTTCTGTTCATTTGTTATCAAGCTGTTATAAAACAAAGAGTTGTCTTAAAAACTGGCTAAATGTGCACGTAATGATGTCCCTCGAGTACGAAATATTTTTCAGTAATCGATTTTAAGCTAAATAGTTGAGCTCGCAAATTATCAACCATCACATTGTCAAGAGAGTATTTGCATGAAAATCCTCTTTAATTCTGCTTTAAGCCCGTGCAATCTGCGACAAGGCGATCGCAATTCATTTCAGAACAAAAGAAACGTATTCTTTATTTCAAACGCATGAAAAATTTACACGGAAAATGAAATGCACAGGTATTGGAGCAAAACAAGTTACCGGGCTAGAAACTATTACACATCGCGAACTGATCGAGCAATTTTATCTAAGATCCTCTTAGCAATACCTTATGTACTTGCCCATACGTTCCATTTCCAACAACTTCGACCAGATCAAATATTCCGGCTGGATCCTGCAAAGGCAATACTTAGTACTTAGTTATCAATTACAGGCACGATAAAGAAACAGATAAAGCCCAGTAGGTAAAATCACCGGGATTTCTCGTTTGAATTGTCTAGACATCGGCTTTTTCGAGTACATCGCGAAAAACTACATTTTAAAAAATGCATCCGCCGAAAGTCCACCACGTATTGACAGCTCTTAGGATTACACATTTTTTCTAAGTTCAATATCTTCATCAACCTGTGAGTTCACCGGCTTAAGGCTCTTAAAATATTGCGAGATCTATTGCAAACCATCTTTGAATTCAGTCCACTAAAAAGGAATTGTCAGGGTATATAGCGAAATCTGACTCACCTTCAGCGCAGCCAAATCAATATCGTCCAGTCCGTATGCCATGTTGATAGTCTGAAGTGATGAATTCACGACCGCACTGCTCACTGAAGAATTTGAATCTCTACCTAGTCGCGAAGCCACACACGGGAAGCTTGTCACATCCGTAGAACGATCACGAGTGTTGCGCTACACCTCAGCCCACACAAACTCTCCTATTTCCACATACGCATACGTTTACATTGGAGTGTTTTCAAAAAACAAATCAACCCTCGCAGCTCATCCAAAATATACACAAGCGCAGAGGAACCATAGGGCTCTGTTCATGGGAAATAATTTAGAGCCATACTCAAAACAAAGTGGAGGGAGGAGCTTGGGACGGGTCACGTGATATCACGCTGAGTCGATGGCCGCTGACAGCAACGCGTTACCTGACCAATGCGCTTTCGCTACATCTTTTAACCTGAATTTAACTAAATGCACATGTGCGCTGTTGAACGGAAATTCATTACTAACCAGTTCTCTTTCTGGGGGGACTGAGGGGGTTTTGTCATTCCGTAGAGATAAACGTTAAGGGCCTTTCTGAGAGTGGGGGGGTGAACAACTCGGAAAGGAAGGGGATATGTCAACAGAGGAGTGTAAATTCTTGAAATGGTTGCAAACTGATTAGAAAGGAAACAACACTTTTTAAACCTTTACATTCTAACTTCAGTATGCATAATCTCCATGGTGTTCTCCATACATTTCCAAGGTTGCTGACAAGAAGCATTTGTTTAAACAATCGAGAGCTTATTTAGTTGGTGATCATTTCCTTTATTCTTGCGACCTTAATGTGTGATTCAGAGGTGATTTTGTAAGGAGAAATTAGATGCTAATCACTCCTAGGGGTCAAGGGTTTAAAAAGGAGGACGGGGAGGAAAAGATACCTTCACCGTCAAGCCATGGCGACTATTTGAACAGTTTACTCTGATAGCGTGACTTTTACGACGAAAAACATGAAATACAGATTCTATTTCAGTCGGCTGCACGAAAGCTGTGTTACTAACTGCAAAAAAGTGGGCGTGACTAGGATGACACGCCTCTCCATGTCTGCTTTGAGATGACAAACCTACAATCAGGTCCCTTCCCTCCCCCTAGCCCACCTCAATCCTCTGGCTCCTACTATTGAGGGATTTGTCTCTCCGTTGTTCTCCCCAATACCGTCTCTTGTAAAGGGCGGGTCAGCGAGACAAATTGTCGTGATCATTCATATCACTCTCTTCTCAAAATTAACCAAAATTAAACTTGTTCACGCGCAGTTCTATTCCCTGGCAATAACACTCAATAACACACACACACACGCACGCACGCAAATGCTACGCAGTGATATGTCTAATTAACACAGGTTTCAAAGAACAAATGATCTTATCTTTGGTGTCTGCGTTCACCAGGTAGTTATCTGTTGAATGCAGGTTCTATTTACAGGTACATATTGGGAGTAATAAATTTGACACTTAAGCTAGTGACTGCTTAATATGGGCTAACTGCATAAGGAAACATTCTTTGGGAACTTTTCATCACTTTTCCCACAAAAGAAACAGTAGAAACCTATCATCACTATAATGGTCATAATTTATTGGCTTCTGACATCAAATACAAATAACTTGACTGCCTTGGCAGTTAACTCTCCCCATGAAATAACCAATTTTTAACGGAACAACTCTTAAACTCTAAAATAAAGATTTTAAGTGACTGCATGGACAGCACGTCTTGACTCACCATGCTTTCTATGAGCACATTTTATAGATTTGTAAAGTTAACTAATAAGATTTCAGTTAACTTTGTTCCAAAGCAGCCTAAAATTTAATACTAAGGTTATCATAAGGTTGTAGCTGACGTGAAAACCCGCTGTCACGCAATTCTTATAAGCATCACGCAAGCAGCTTTGGAACAAAGTTAGCTTCGATCACAGCTACGTTAAGATTTCTTTAAGGTCTATGTAAATAATACGTTATTATAAGGCTACTTGCTGTGGCCTGGTTTGTAACTTCCTTAGCTGTTCTCTTCCCGTTCATTAAAGAAAATAAATACCATAGATACTCTTAACAGTAACATGTTTAAGAATCTTGAGTTACGTCAAAGCATAATTGCATTTACAATCATACCCCAACCCAAAGTTGTTTATTAGCTGCTGACAAGTGTACTTCGAAATTTCAAAAGGACAAGGAAAATAAATTTTCCCCATGTTATAGTAACTGTAATGCAACAAAAATTCAGATCATCAGAATAATTACATGTTTTCAGCCTTTGTATCAACATTTTCACAAGCAGCAATATTCCTAATCCAAGATGATATTCATAAAATATCAATACAGTCTAAGTTTCAGGCAGGATGATTTTTCAACTTAAGCGATTATTCCTTATATAGTGATTTACTCGTTCAATTCCATGTACTCCTGGACTACATGATGCTTATTGTCTCTTGTCGACACAACACTTATTTCACTTGGACTTCATGAATAACAGAAAATTGCTCACTTTTCTTTGCATGATAAGGCATTTAGATCGTTATAAATTATCACTGTACTGTTAACACCATGTAAGATTTTTGTAAATAAAATATCTTTTGCAACTACTTTTGTTTAAGAATTACTGATTTTTTTTTTCAAAACGGGAACATTTCTCTCCTGATACTTACTATGAGATTCTTAAATATTTTGGCGACATAAGTTTTCCTAGTTCAGCACAAGATTGCAATATTACAAAACAATTTGTCGGTGGACAACTGTAGTATTACAAAATATCTCAGTATGACTAAAATGTGTTTGGTTATGGCCCTTATACACAATGTGGAACTCAAAATTTACAATAAAAACTATCCATTTCTTTCTTTAGCCAAAGAAACTAGTGCCTACTTAACACTTATTACATTGCAAACAGTTCTCTTGATGTTCACAAAGTGTTCTTGCCAATTTTTTTTTAAAATTAGCTACGGTTTTTTTTGGCAAGTTACTAACAACCTAATTCTAAAAGTTATATTACAATCTCTTTTGGTATAAATTCAGAAATTTGTGACAAGGGCCATGGTCTCCTATAAATACAAGAGATTTTCTGATGAAGCATTTTTCAGTGCATTTGAAACCCTGGAAAAAGAACTGATTTGTACAATTAACCAAACTGTATTGTAAGTAGGTACATATGTACTCATATTAAAATATTCCTGTTATGTTAATTAGGATGTATCTTAAATTATGGAGTACACTTTGTTTCTTGTAATTGCAACTAATTTAATAGCCTACATGTAGCCATACACTCCCCCCCTAGGAGAAATGTTCCTCCTTAGGGGGAGGGTATTGTTACACATGGGCTACTGATTCAACTATATTTACTTTTACTGGGAAACACTTCATAAGCTAATTCTGATAATCATCTAAAAATTGTTTTCTAGGGCTGTAACTGTAAGAAATCTGTTGTAAATGGTGCAGAGAATTTCTTTTTTTCACTGATCAGGAAAATAGAAAAAAAAAAACCCAATTTCTGAAAGGAACCAAGACCAAATGTGGACCTTTATGCAAAAGGCCCAGTTAACACTATCAATAGGGGCCCTCACAAAACTTAGGCTCTTACTTGCCTTCACACGTGGCCCCAAGAAGATCTCTTGGTTCATATAAACTACAAGTAGATGGCTATCACATATACGTGTCACTGTTGGTACAATGACCTTAAACATAACTTTCATAACGTCGCCAAAGATATATAAATACTCAGATTGTTGTGTTCCATAACTTGCCTCTTCTATCTGCGTCACTTGAAGTTGACATTTCAACAACTTGAACAGGCAATTTTTGACCCTACTTGGAAAACAACAACCACAACAACAGGAGATAAATGGCATGTTTGTAAGCAGCAGTTTGAACAAACTGAACAAGCCAACTGACTTTCTCCATGGTGCTCCTTAAAGAGTTTCTTAAAAATCATGAACAGTTGAGAGTTCAACATCGAATAACACTGCATTTTTCCATGTGCTCTGACCTCGCAGCCAGAGGCCTTCCTCAGTTACCTGACCTGTAACAGTGCTGATCCACACAGTAAGCCACTGCGACTGAAAACCGTCACCAGTCTTCCTCCACAACATTCCACCAATCACTCAAAGATGCTTTATTTGATGCCAGATATTGCCAATGCAACAGTCCCAAATTTAACTTATTTCATCGAACGCAAAACAAATGCGGTAAATTCCTGTAACAACAAATAAAGAAAAAACAACAGCTTGTAGTGAGAACCTTGCACCAGCTAGTTCCACCAATCCTGGGAAGCATTGCCACCAGAATAACGGCCTGGATTCCAGTAGCCCCCTGCTCCTCCCCCATAACCATAGTGGGCTCCACCACCCCCACCTCCACGGTGATGTGGCTGCTGCCTGTAGTCACGGGACCCAAAGCCACCAGCTGAGTGCCTGCTGTTGAAAAAAAAACAAAAAAAAAAGGAAAGAGGTAATTGAATGTAAATTGCTATTACTGCCCAAAATGTTTGGATTGCTTCATCACTCTTCATGTTATAGCTTCAAATGAATTTCAAATCAAAATGATTTTAACCTAGTGTACAGAGTAGTTTGATTAGTACAAATGAATTTTTCTTTATTCCAGGTACATCACCAAAGATTTAAAAAAAAAAAGGGCCAACAGATCAAACTAAATCAAATCATTCACACAACAAAAAAACCACTCTTATGGGACATTTGGCCGAACACTTGAAGATGCTATTGAGATCTGTTAACACATATGGCAAGGCCAGCTACTCCAAGTAATTGTAGCTCATCTTCTTCTGTAAAAATGTGACTAGGTGTATAGAAATTCATAAAGGAAATAGTTTGCGCAGGTAAACCCCATATATTACTATACCACTACCATATTCACATCACTGATTGGCCTAAAAAGCATTGGGGCAAAATTGGCTCACAATGAAACCCAGATAAGCCAATCTGAAGATCAACATTTTGGGCACAAAGAAAATTAAAGGTAAAAAAAACAGCTCAAAATTTGAGACACTTCTGTTATATTCATATGGATAAACTAAGATGTATGTTATACCTCCTTCCACGGCTCCTGCCTGAATTCTGATGGCTCTCAAAGGCAATAGACTCCAGCCAGCTTGGCACCTCTTGCCTGCTTTCACTCAACAGCTCAACCAAATCCTTGGCCACATTCCGATTCTTCTCATTGAAAAATGAAGTGGCTAAGCCTACAAACACACATGAAGGATAATTAGCTCTGAACAAGAGATTTGTTTACGTTTTGCTGTTAAGCTACTGAACCTCAATTTCAATAATTTGTTGTCAGTGTTTCTCAGCACTTGCAATTAAAATGAATCTATTAAATTGTGCATGTTGTGATGCTGATCACCATGCTGCATCATATACGACTGCAAGCAGGGAGAAAAATTCCTTTCCCAGCCTCAGGCAATCAAATTTACCCAGAATTCTCTGTAACAGCCAGAGAATTCTTTAAAACCATAAAAGATGACTTCCAAAACAATAACTAAGGAAAGGAAATTTGTTTTGTTTACAAGTGGAATTATGTCCAGAAAATCTAAGTAACCTCACCAGTGTGTCCCACACGGCCTGTGCGTCCAATGCGATGGACATACTCCTCTATATCAGTTGGCATGTCAAAGTTGATCACATGGCGCACATTTGGAATATCCAAGCCACGAGCAGCAACCTAAAACACAAAATAATTAGTCACCCAAGCTTCCAGATATTTTGGAATAAAAACTGTCTCATTTATCAGAAAACAGTGTTAGTGTACTTACAGCTGTAGCTACCAAGATTGGTGTGCGGCCAGACTTAAATGACCCCAAAGCTGCCTCTCGCTCCCGCTGAGAGCGATCACCATGAATGGAGGTTGCATACCAGCCTTCACCGTGCAGAAAATCATCCAAAGCATCAGCTCCTTTTTTGGTTTCCACAAATACCAATGTCAGAGACTTTGGACCTGGAAGAGATTAAAAACAGAGGGAAACTTTCAGAACAACTTCTCTGACTTTTCCTTGATATTTGATACTTTAATATTTTTTGGTATTGACACAACAATATCACAACAAACCTGAAGCATTCAGCAGATCCAATAAGAATGACCTCTTGTCGTATTCATCAACCCACACTGTTTTTTGTGTGATGTTCTCACTTGTGGAGCCCACACGTCCCACAGCCAAGAAGATGTAATTCACCAGGAAATCTCTAGCCAGCATCTACACACAAATGATGATTTTAAAGAAAACCATGAGCCACAAAAAGATATGAAGAGATCTTATTTGGAATTAAAAGAAGAACTCCTCTGTAGTTACGTTACAATTGCAAGTTCTTACCTGGATTTCCTTAGGGAAGGTGGCACTGAACATAAGTGTCTGTCGTTCACCAGCTTTAGGCATGGTGTCCTGATCAACAATGCGTCGGATTTGAGGCTCAAATCCCATGTCCAACATACGATCAGCCTCGTCCAGAACAAGGAACCTGGTAAGCAACCAAATGCTTTCAAAAAAAGATCAAAAACCTTTCCACTTGGCCTTGAGATAAAATGATCAAATCTTTATCCTGATTTCAATTCAAATAGATTCAAATTTGTTTTGGAAATTTTGTTATTCTTTGAAATAATACACATTCTTTATGCTAGTGTTATTATTTGGCTAGAAGTCATGTTAGTCTTTCAAAAAAAACCACAAAAAGGTCAGATATTGAAATGCTGAGTAATTCTTGAGCATGAAAAGAAAACTACAGACATAAGAGATGTCTTTACTGACTTGCAAGAGTCCAGCCCCACTCGTCCCCTGTCCAACATGTCAACAAGACGACCAGGTGTGGCCACTAGAAGATGGCAGCCGCGATCCAGCTCCTTCAGTTGGCCACCAATGTCAGCTCCACCATAAACCACACAGGGACGCACATATGACCTGTAAGAAAACTGACAAGAGACACATGTTCTTAGGAAGGACCACCTAACATAAGCATTGTTTGTAAAGTCATTAGAGACTAACAGCTTCTCTCTGTTTTCTCCCATCAGGAGGCCACTGGGTTATTGGAAAACATAATCAGCCTTGGCAATGCAAAATAAAATACAATGTTAAAAGGTGTTACTTTCATTACCTTCCTGGATTCCTCAAAGATTTGACAGGCCAATTCCCTGGTTGGTGCTAGAACCAGGCAGTGAGGGAACTGCTTTCGGCGACCCTGATGCCGAGCCTGAGAAATGCCACAAAAATTTTCATTTTAATTTCATATTTCATTTAAGGAGAAGTAACTAAAAGGTAATACAACTTCCCATATAAAAATTGGACCAAAAAAAAAAAAAAAAATATATATATATATAACCACAAAAAAGGAGGAACATAGAACCACATCTCTTGCTTACATCAGGTAGGGGAGGAGGACCTTCCTCAAAAATCCTGCTGAGAATGGGAATCAGGAAGGCAGCAGTCTTCCCAGAACCTGAAATAGAAGTAGTTCAAGTCATCTATTTTTTTTTTGTTAGCACTACATGAAATTCACATGTATGTCCTTTGCCACTAATGGTGAACAGTTCCTATCAAAAGGGCTGTTCCATCTATCTAATTACAGTTTTTCACGGTATTGCCATAGTAGCTGTTTCAAGTTGTATCAATCTTACCAGTCTGGGCACATGCCATCAAGTCCCTCTTCTTCTTCACAATAGGTATGGCATACTTTTGAACTGGAGTGGGCTTGGAGTAATTGGCCAGCTACAAATAAAGAGTAAATAAAAAAAAATAAAATATCTTCCGTTAGTAGAGTTTCACTTGATGGTGGACTTAAAATGTATTTAATCTAAAGACGACTTAAGTCAAAACCTACAGAGGCTGCTACAGTAGAGATACAAATATAAACAAATTAACAGACAAGTACATCATACCTCAACATTGTTGCACAAGATTTCCCCTAGTTCACAGTCAGAAAACTACAAAAAACAGAACTCTGTTACCATCATGTGATACATTTGCACACAATTACAACAAAAAAATTTTATTGTCCTTTAGCAATGTGAGACTCTCAACAAATACTTGTGTGTAAAGCAATCTTCACCATGTTCACCACTATTTATGAGAACAATCTAGTCACTTTGGTCTACTATAGACAATGGTTGAGATTAGTCCAGTTTAATTGTCTTTATTAACTAGATGTCCCAAACTGAACTAATATCAAAACAAGACTCTTGATTTTAATTAGTTGACAGCCTACCGACTCAATGTTTTTAGGGACATCCTGTCCAGTGGCTTCCACAGGAATATCTTCATACTTGTCAAAATTTATTCCAGTGTTGTGCTTGTTGAAAAGCTCCCTAAAAAACAAAATATATTAACAGCCATTATCAATTAAGCCCATACTAATATCACACTTTTTTAAAGTGTTGTAGAATCCTTCTAAAATGGAAATGATTGTTCCCTGAATTATCCAGGACTCTTACTATTTGGAGAATGGATTATCTACAGGAAAAAATCCTGCTAAGAAAACTAACATTATGAGAGATGTATGACCAACAGTAAGACAGATTACTATTGAGCATTCACAGAGAAAATGTTCAGCTTCTCCAACAGTGATTACCTTTCAATGCGGTCATTCTTCGGCAAAAGTTTAGACCAATCTTCTGGTGGTGGCTGAGTGACTCTGTTATAGTCTGATGAGAAAAATATACTTCCAATTAACGTGAAACTAAGGAAGAACACAACAGAAAAATCACCTAGTGCTGACATGTTTGTTTGTATATTACAATTGCTCACCATTGCCACTTCCTCTTGTGGGAGGAGGTCCTCGGTTGTCACCCCTATCTCTCCAGCTGTTTCCCCCTCCACGGCCTCCACCATAATACTGACCTCCCCCATAGTATGGGCGTCCACCTCCTCGTGGAGGATATCCACCATAAAAGTTTGGCTGCTGTTGGTAAAATCCATCTGACAGATAATAAGATACAATATATTAAATCCCAGTCAAAGAAAATTAATGAATCAAACTTTTTGCCAAGCCTTGTTATCATCTGAAGAGCCACAGAAATACTCTGCTAACAAGTCCATATCCTCTTCACTACACAACTTAGATTTTGTAATGATTTCCTTTGCAAGATGCAATTGTTTGGTTCAAATTACTCCCATCACTCAGCTGTGTGCGAAAACTTATAGTCTCAAATGATGTATGACCAAACAAACCTCTATAGGGTTCCCTGTGTTGAAAGTCCCTTTGCTGGTTGTATCCATGATCATGGTACCCCCCTCTGCCATGTGGAGGAGGAGGACCTGGTCTGCTGCGAAGGTGAGGAGGCACGTATCGTTCTGAAACATTAATCATACATTGGGCTGGTCAAAATAAAGCATGGCAACTCAATTAACTTCGGTATGGTACATTTAATTTACCACATTTTGCTTTGTTTCCAAATCTGATCAAAAGTATTAATCACATAATTGCTAGTCTGCCATGTCTGAGAGATATTCTCTGTGGGTTAACATATCTTATCTAAATATCTCCAAAAAATCCTAAGAATTCGCTCACCAATGTCTCTATTTCATTGGTAACTGAATATACTTTGGGAAACTATTCAGAGTTTCAGAGGGATTTCGAGAACTTCATCAACTAATGTTTAGACAACATGACCCTCCAAGCTTCAGAAAATGACTCCATTACTGTTATTACTGAAATAATGGTTCATTTTTATAAAACGTAAGTATAATTATTATATCCAGAAAGTTTTTTTGCCAAAAACCCTCACATTCCAACTAACAATGACTTTTAATGGTGAAAGTTTACTTCTGGCACTGGTGAATTTCAATGAAACGTTTTCCTGAGCCTTTTCAAGGCCTGATTTTAACCCGCAAAAAAAAGAGACTTGCATAATAGATTTTCGCTATGGGAGCAAATATCTCTCATTTCAATTTATTAGGCAAATGTACGTTATTTCAAGACACAGAAGTAATTCATATTCAAAAGATTGAACTATTTTAACAAATAGCAAAGAAGAATCAAAGACAATCTTCATTAAAATATAAAGAACGCGATGTGGAAAAAACATCATTAGATGTAATCCAAGCCGGCTACCAGAGCGACAAAGAGATTTTTACTTCAGCCTGTGAATTATATGATACCAATCCGGCGATTTACCCGTATTGAACGGCCAAAAGCATTTACCACGTTTCATTCTTTCGTTTTCTTCATTTCCCACTTTACCGAAATGGAAATTTGCACAATCTTAGGCGACGGATTAAAATCGTACTTTTTCAAGTTACCTTGTTGAGACTTAGGATCGACGCCGTGAGGGTTAACGGCGCCCTGATTCAAGTCCAGACCAGCGAACTACAAGGAAACAACAACACAAAAATCACTTTAAAAACTTCATCTGTACTTAACACAAGAAATAGCAAATAAATTGTTTATTTTCTAGACGAATGACGGAGAAATTGTTCGAGAAAGGAAGGCGTCATTTTGCATTTTCCATGTGCCTTTGTCTCAAAAACCACAATTTCATATCTTCCGATTTAAAATCTTCAACTTACCCGCTGGTCTAGAGCTTGAAAGTTAGCTGGGGCCACATGACTCATAACGGAATAGACAGTAGTTTTAAGCTTTCGAATGAAATATTTGAAATGGTTGGTAAAACTCGGCAAAAACGCGAACAATAATTGAAGGATTTTGCTCTTCAACTTTTTTCTGTTCAGATCGAGATGTCAGTCGACGACAGCCGGCTGAGTAACCGCACTGCCGTGACGTCACGTACCAAGCACGTGGCCGCCCCAGCACCTGGTGGGAGGGGGCAGGGATCTAGAAAGAACTCTGTGACTCGTTGTTTCTCAGTGACATCATCAAAGATCAATACCGGAACCAATGGATTTGTTACCTGTGAAGTTTTCCCCATAGATTCGGCTTTCAAGATCCTTTGCACAAAAAAGGTAGATCTGGAATTTCTACACATGGTACAAACGAGATATTGACAAAAATTTTAGTGTTTTCACTGCCTGATTTAATGATTTTTTCAAAGCCGTGAGATTTTTTGCGTACTAATCGTTGAACGCAACTTTTGAATTCCCGCTAGAATGTGAAAAACACCAAATGACAAAATCTAAGATTAAAATTGTAATTTCTGGGACTACTTCGAAATGACAGTTAATTTGAACAATTAAAAAACCCCGGTTTACAAATCAGAATTAAATGATTTTGTAACTGCATAGAATCTACTGATGTGGTCAAACATAATTCAGGCGGACACTATCCACCAAATAAGCTCAAGCTGGAAAAGGCGAGAAAACGCAGCTTTGGTCTTTCGAGTGTCGTGTGGGGAACTTCATTCTCAAAACGACATGCTTATGAGATTAATTCATGTATTCCACTGATCGGCAGGTGGGACTGTGGGAGATCTGGATCCCAGGCTATTTTCCTCTAAGGCGGCGGTAAAGTAGTTTGATTCGAAGCATACACATTTAACTACCCCAAGAGTTAAAATAATTGAAAACGTCAAGTGTAAACGTTACATTCAACAAAGGGAATTGTCAAAATCCTTATTTTATGAAAATGAAGGTTACAAATTTACCAGACACGATAATTGATAACCAGAAAATTAGTTATACGCCAAAAATTTTGTTTACGACCTGCCGATGAACTTAAGAAAAGCTCCCATAATGTGGGCCATTTTGGCCAATCAGGTTAATCCATTACAACGTAAACAATCACTTTTTTGTCGGAACATCCTTCACACGGTGTTTATGTGGTGTATAGCCCTCCGTTTTCGGGGTTTTTTTTTTCATCGTTTCACCTTTTAACTCGTAGACGTAATAAACATGTAACCTCTCCCTAAAATATCTAACATTATCCACCGAACAGGTAACGAGAATACTCACTCTTATCAGGTAGAAGTTATTATCTTGATCCGAAACCAAGTTCTTATAACTAATTTACGAGGAAATGAGTAGCAGGTGCTAAAGTGATAAACGAATTACATAACACGCGCCGTTGAGAGTGTCAAAACAAAAGGTATGAGGGTGGGGTGGGGAGAGACCGTAAACGGCTTGCCCTGGGCGAAATTCACTAAAGGACGTTAGAACGTATATTGAAAGACAACGCACTTTTTGATAAATCACCCTTCATTTCCTTCAGGAAGGAACGAATCGGGGTGTAACTTCCGATGATAATGAGCAGTAATTACTCCGATTGATATAATTACTGTTTCACAATGACGAGGCAAACTGCAAAGCAAGTTTGGTTGATATGGCGCCAAGAAATATCGAGGCTATCGTTCTGATCATGTATCTTTAAGTCTGTTTGGGAAAGTTTCGAAAAAGGGAAAGAAAGTTTCATACTTAAATCACAAAGTCGCGCAAAAACCAGTACTAATTCTACATAAAACTTATTAACAGCTTTCAACTTGAAGTGACTTATTACGTATTATAACTTATTATTTCATATTTTATATTCGCCGTAGGGAACGATCATCGAATGACAAAGTTTTCAAGTGCCGTGATCTTGCACTTGAAAGGTCGCGTGTTACGTTGCTTCTGGAACATCTCGCGTCACGAATCGATATGGATAAACATTGAATAATCACGAATGAATCAACCATATGACAGGTTAAGAGCTGATAAAGCAGATAGAGCCAAGTGTTGGATTAGTTTTGCCGTTACAATCACAACGAGGTTCTTGTATTTCTGATGCGCACGAAATATCACAAAAGTCATTGAAATGACAGCTGACTGATATGACCGCATTACTCAAAAGCTTCGAGGCCAACAATTGCATAAAATTATTTTCAAAAAATTGAATGTCAATGTCAAAACATTTCGTCTCAGAGTAGACTAGTCAAGAAATTTTGAAACGAAAATATCAACCGGCTATACCTTAGAGACCAGCTTTAAATGAAATAATTTTTAGGTGTTGACGTCTGAAGTAACCCATGCTGTCAGTTGACTCAGCAATTTATTTATATTGTCTAGTATGAACAAAACATTCCGTCTCAAACACAAAGGAAGTTTGCATGTCACTATTTAGACCACTTTTTATCCACGTCTTAATTTAAGATTAAAAACAAATTTCCTTCTCGGAAATGATCGTTAGAGGTGTATTCATTTAAGAAGATTCTTAATTTTCGCTTAGCAGTGGACCATACTTACCGAAAACCCTTATTGAAAATTAAAATTACACTTATTCGTTGTTGAAAAAAAAAACGCTGTTACAATGTTACTTACAAAACATAATTTCCCGCGATACCATATTACTGTAGAAACAATATGATGCCATGTTGGCTCAAACAGAATCTTGTTCAATTTTTGCCCTTTCTAATTCCACTGTCGACAGAAGATCCTCAATAATTTTATCCAATTCAAGATCTTGTTCCTCGTAATTGCTATGAATATCTACCTCTAAATTGCCTCGACGTGGCTCAAAATGGCCAACATCGTTGGTTGAATTGTCCTCATTCGGAGAATCTTTTGCAACATTTAAAGAAGATTTTCCATCGGTAGTATTGCTAGAGGTTTTGCAGTCGTAATTATGAAAACTTGTTCTCCTCTCAAAGCGCTTCTGCTCAAAGGACTTGCGTCTATCCCGACGCAGCTTTTGAAAATGTCCTTCTCGAAAAGCAGCATATAAAGCCAGTCCAATAGCTTTTGCTCTCTCTTCGCTGTCACAGGCCAGCGCATGACATTCGATTACTGATGGACCTTTGTGGTGATTAAACGCAAAGATAGTGGCGTCAAGTCTGTTTAAAGTACAATAGGAAATGTTATCAAGAGATATAAACTTTGATTCGTTCATTGTGGACTTGGTTTTCACCTCCGTGAATTTTACGCCGTTAGTTTCCACCTCTAAATACATTTTCGGACAGCTTTTGTCATCGTCTTTCACTTGTTCTTGTATTTTGCGTACTGCTTTTTCTATCCCAGCGACGCCGGGTTCTTCTGTTTTTCCACAGCCAAGATATTTTACCTGAAAGCGGGTGGATGGTGTTAGATCCGCTTTTCCTGATTTTCCTTTGATCATAGCTGCGTCCAACGGCTAAAAATCGCTTAAAAACTTGATACCAAAGCGCTCCCCTGAAATACACCAGAAGGTTACAGATGGGTTTCTTTTCAACCTCAATTTTTAAATATAATATTTTTGTTTTGTATTTTGAACTTGCTAGCTTCTTACAGAGCCTTGCACCACTCACTATCTTATTGGACTGTTTACTGCATTCACGTAAATTCCACCTGTTTCAATGTTCCATTCAAATCCTCATTGAAATGCAAATTTTGTTTCTTGACGTGTCAGTCATTATGCTATATCAGCCTGAGGTGGCTTCTTCTATTTAATTGACATAAATGAAAATAAAATTCTCTTTACCGACCTGAAATTCGTTTATGTAATTTTGATCAATTTTGATAGTTCTCTTTCTGGTGATAATTCGTCGTCTTTCGTTTGGTATCTCACATTTAGAAACTATTCTCGCATTGTTCATAGTTAATTAACGCACGAGAAGCAAACAATATTCTGAAGTGAAAATTTCCCTTTGCTAACAAAAGAAAACTGTTAATTTTCATTTATTTTGTTGTGCTCTTATTTTGAACGCGAATGCCCCCCGCGTGGAACTTTGTATGATGTTTATAATGGGACCTCTATCTCAGAGGTTGCGCAACCATCTTGGTGAAAGAAATATAATTTTTTATTGATTCTCTAGTAAAAACGAAATGTTCTCGTGGTATTCCTAGTAAGCCGCGTTATGCAATCGAAAATTCGGTGGCTTGGAGTTAAAAATGTCTGATGTCTTACTCTTTCAGCCGTATTTCTTATGAGGTCGCTAAAGAAACAAAGTTGGTCCGTGAGGGCATGAAAGATATTTGCTTCGCTTTTTAAAATTTCTAAGTATCAAACTCTGTATGCTTTGACGTCTTTCACTTTGACTCAGTATCTTTCTGGGTTTTTCTCTCGAGCTCTGTTTGGTTAATTTCCTCAGCCCTCTTTGGTTCTGGTTTTGTTTAGAAATCCTAACCACCAGAATTTCTATGGTGGTTGAAGCCGTGACTACTACACACACTGGTCAGCGGCTTCGAAGATAATTGATTTAAAAGGCTAACAACTTACCGTTTTTAAAAAGTTAGTTAGTGAAAGCCATACGGGAAAGGAGCCTGCGATCCTCCCACCCCTCCCCTAGAGGTACAAAAATCATGACCAATCATGATAGCGAAAATCAAGCCTAGTTTAGCAAAAGCCTTCTGCAATTCGATTACATATCTTCCAATGAAATTGCAGTATTTCTATGGGTATTCGCGACGCGGGGCGCAAGAATCCCTCCAGGGTTCTTCTAAAAATAGCACTATGCGCGTAGGAACACTGCTGAAACCTGCACGAATGTGACGGGAAGTTAGTAGCTATGAGGTATGTTGTGGCTGATCGTAATACAAAACAAATTGATGCAGGCAAAACCGTCATTTTGTCATCCACGACAGGCACAGCTGTCATACTCCTAATTTTAACTCCAGTTGTTAAAGGAAATTTTATAAATAGGGGTAAGAAATTTCAAATTATCAAAAGCGGGAAATGTAGTCAACATTTTGAATGCTTTAAATTTATACTGCAAGTGAGAAATAACCATGGTTGTTTTGATAACTGATGAAACATGACATGCCTAACAAAGAAGATTTTAGCTAAATTCACATGCACTGTTTGGAAGTCATTTGCACGCATCATTTGGCCGTCCTTATTGAATCAGACATATTCTTACAATAATGAATTGTCTAAAAGCGGTTTTTAATTGCTTATCTGGTGCAAAATTATCAGTCAGGGACTGTCTTCCGCCAAAATATAACTTAAACTACAAAAACTGCAAATAATACACGAAATATCCTGTGTTTAATGTTGTTTCAGAACAATTAAAAAACTTGTTTTCCGTCGCTTGATTTTATAACAATGTGTTAACTGACGGTGTGTACTTTGTTTAGAAATAAAACATCTAAGCAGTTTAAAAATAGATAAAATGTCTTCTGAATTAATTTCGCAAAAGACCAGCCTTGTACTCGTAGTTAGTTCATGTTTGGTTTTCGGTCTTTGAGTTCATGCATCGCATCTGATTGTAAACATTCTCTCATTTTTTCCCTTCCCTTGCGAAGAGTCTCGAAATGGTCTGTTCTAAACGACGCATAAAGCGCCTCGTTAATTTCCCGTGCCTTCAGCGCACTTTCGCACACTACTGCATGACATTCAACATGGTTCTTCGAGACATGATGATTAAAGGCAAAAACATTGCTGTCTTTTTCATTGATAAAGCCATAGGAAATATTCCTCAGAGGAATAAATGTCAATAGAATATCTTTCTCTCGTTTTCGCTCCATCAAACAAAGTCCTTTTGTGCTAATTTTGATGCAGTTCGTTTGAGTTGTATTTCTGCAACACTCATGGCTTGCAGTTTTCTTAATTTCTTCCACAGCAGCCCGGATTCCTTCGACTCCTTCTCGTGTATTCATACAGAATCCCAGGTAACTGACACGAAATTCAGACTCTAGGACAAAAGTGCACGAATCACTTCGAAGACGAAAACCTCCTAATTTCTCCTTAAGTGATTCCATCTCAGGTAAGCACTGATATTCCAAGCTCGGTCAAAGTCTCACAGAAGCCATAGCGAGTGAATAAAAAATGCCAGACTGATTCAACGATGGCGCGAGGAGTTTTAAAATTTCCTCCCACGTATTTTTGCGGGCAATTTTACTGATGTTCTGCCAAAACAAATGGTGAGAAATTATGATTATTAGAATTGCAAATTTGCGGGAAATTTTTACACACAAATCTATTTCGAGGCAGGAATGTGACATTTGACTTAAACTTCCTTACTTGGATTCAGGAGGTCGGCTGAACGCTTTGAAATTTTTTTTTAAAGCAGTTCTTTTGTCATGCACAATCAACATTAACAAAAAGAACTCGCTTTCATTCCTTTAAGGTAAAGAAATTAATGATAGATTAGCACACTTGCGGCGGCGAAGATTAGCAAAAGATGATATTCTTCTTGATGACACATAACTCAGTAATTTGATACTTTTTGGCAAAACCGAATCTATGGAAAAATCTTGCGTTCATGCTTTTTGTTTTCAATCATTTTAAGCCATCCAGACCATTAATAAAATAATGCTATCTCGTATATCAATTTAGCAGGTACAGAGCTGCTCGATAAACGAAAATCGTGAGACATCCAAAAGTTAAATTAGCGGGTATAATTAGGGTACACTGCTGTGAAACCAAATAATGCTCCTCGTCGACATTGACATGGCAACGCAACCAACTTTTTTGCTCGTCTTTGTGTGAAATCTGATTGGACCGTTGCTCACGCATTGTTCTTTATTCAGGTTGAATAATTACGTTTTAAAAACTGTCAACAGCTGTTTTATTGACATTCCATAATAAAGAATTCGATTTTAAATTATAATTTTGACACTAAGAAGGTAGGAATCCGTCAACCGGAGAATTATTTCACAGCTTGCCATGACGGGTGAAGAGGAAAGAGCTCAGATTCTAACGGTTTTCTTATGGGTGTTATGAAATCAAAACAACAAGAAACTGACACGAAACTGACCAAGAAGAAAACAGAACGCAACATGGTCAAACGTATAAATTTAAAAAGTTTGAGGCAAGAATACGAGTTGAAACCTTCCAGGAGTTTTATCGTTCGCTTTGCGGGGAAAGCAGAGAGGAAAAACCCGAGCGGCGAGAACATCGACGAATGTCTGAAGAAATTGTACAAGAAAGTTCAAGATAATATAAATGGATTACCACGAGTTTGTTTGGAGATTAACTCTGCTGATGTTAAGATTCGATGGATTCAGAGTGAAACCGAACATCAAGAGGAAATAGTAGTGCCCTTTACTCGAGTATCTTTTGTTGTGGCAGATAAAAAACATCAACTGTTCGCTTTCAATGACTTCGTTTCCCAGAAACCGAAAAAAGTTGAGTGTTATGCTTTCATTTGCACTGAGTCGGAGAAGTCTGATGTGGTAGCGAACGCTTTCTCAGAAGCGTTCAAAGAAGTCCAGGAGAGACCAAGGAGGGGCTCAGGTCTCGACGCGAAAGTAGAAACTTAAAAAAAAGTATTTGAGGACTTACAGTTGATATCATTAGAGATTAGGACTAAGACTAATTAACAAGAAGCGTTGTAAGAGAGTATGTTTTGGTTTGCTTGTGAAGTGTGAATTTACACAAGGAAACAAAACAATTCCGTGTTACAATCTAATAATTAATTGTATTTTAAGCCATGATCACTCGGTTGATCTTAAAGAGAAGTAGGTAAAGGCATAAACGTTTTTGCAGCGAAAATATGATAGAGTAGAAAAACCTTCCTTGCCTGCGCTTTGTTGGGTTTTCAGCTGGAAGGTTACGATTGCATAAACAGCTCTTAAAAAAACAAGAAATTGTGATCTATTCGAGAAGTTTATACGAAAGACAAGACTGACTCAAGACTATCAATTACGTACGAGACATTGTGTGTCTTTCAAGAAAAGTTAAACTTCCTTACACGCGACGGGTAGACTACGGTTCTTTAGAGAAAAATCTTATCGTTAACTGAGCGTCCTCGGAGATACAAAATCGCTTTAAACTAACAATGAATATATTATAAAGGCACGAAATGCTATGCGTAAGTAATTTGCACAAGACTTGATGATTGACAAAGATCTTTCACATATTCACCTTCTCCGGGTATCAGGTTATTTTGATAGATCGAGTGTAATGAAGGATTTGCAAAGATGTTTAACTGATACCGATAAGACTCTTAAAGATTTCTCTCAGTCATGCATGTCCGAGAAACTCAAGACGAAGACGGTCTTGAGGAAGTGGAAGTTAGCGACTTCTTTGTTATCTGGAACTGAAACAAGGGTTCTTTTGGTCTTTGTTCTCATATCATTAAACATTCATTTCTGTCTTAACCGTTTATTTTATTCATATACAGTACCTACAATAATAATAAACATGAAAAAATTACTCAGTTCTGATTGGTTAAGATAAATGTAGTTTTCAGGTAATTCCATGCAGAAGAGAGCTAATTCAGCGCAAAGAATCAACAAACCAGACTGAACCTTGAACTGTTTAGCCGGACTCTGAACTTTTTTGCCACTTAAAGATGTGAAAATATCATTGTATATTATTGTTTTGATCGTACGCGGTTGTTTTGACCGAACTCACAATGTCACTTGCACAGGCTGTGAATAAATTATTTTTGCACTTGATGCGCGCGCTTTGATTCTGCATAATTATGATAAGCTATCTCGTATCTTTTCATGTATATTAATAATTTGAGGTAATCACATGATTTTTCACGTGCAATTTGGAATAAAGAAGCGCTTGTAATTTTTTTTCAAAGACCACAAATTGCACTCGCCCTACGGGTTCATGTAATTTTGTTAATCTTTGGAAAATTTTACTCGTGCTTATTTCAAATTGCACTCGAAATAATGTGATTACCTATACTAATAATTGCTCCAACGAACTGATTCGAGGCATGACAAGAGCAAACGCAGAAAGGCGCATTGCCTGAAGTACAGGAAAAGGCTAATAAAAAAAGTCAAGCTTTGCATCTTATTGTTCAAGTTGCATGAAGTAGGTTATCCTGAACAATAACGGGGTTCTCAGACTAATTTCGACACTCGAGAGAAACTTTCCCTTACGGCCTCTTGTTTTTCTCTTGTGGTGGTGGTGGGGTTGTGGCGGAGGCCGCTACAACACGGGCATCCCGCAGAAGTAAGCGGGTCACCCGGGGGCAGCCTGTCACCCCTAGAAAAATTTATAGTGACACTAGCCACAAGATCTGGCGTCACCCAGATCGTTATTTTCCTTACTCATTAGTTTAAGGCAACTAGTACAAAGTAACATCAAATTTATTATACTCCTACATAAATACGGTCCTTGTGGGTGACTGCATAAAGCTTTATCATATTTTTTTTCGTTTTTCATAGTAATTGATGTTTTAAAATCGTTTACAAGCGAGATTAGTTGCGAAAGACTAAATTTAATCGTAATTAAGCAGAGGAGCTTATTAAGGCAAAGCAAACGCTACGGTAGTTAACAGGCTGAAGAGCCAAAACTTTTGTTACGCATGCGCGTAAGGTATTCCACCTGAAGAAAATGCAAATGAAGATTTTGACCCTTCTTGTCGTGTTTCAAAGCATTTAGACTCAAAAAGAGCAGAATAAGCCAATATTATTCACCACACAAGACACAAATACAAACTGATGTAATATTAGGAAAAGGGATCTGATGCAAATTTAGCCTCAGTACTCTGGGAAACCGGATAGCGGTAGGGGTCACTGATATTTTGCGATAAAATTTGTTCCGTAGGATGGAAAGGATCTGTTTACATTATTGTTTTGTGTGTGTGCAGCTAAGTGAGTAATTTTGCTGGACGAGATCTTGAGAGAGATAAAATACAGAAAAGTTAGAAAACAGTGACGTAAAACTCGTACGTACGAGAGGGTGATTTTATCGAGCTCCGCCAGTTTCATCTGAAGTGCGCCCCTTAACTGTGTCATAACATTTGTTCCTTTGAGTCCGATGAAGAAATGATGACAATTTTGACAGTGTGTTTGGTAGGAAGAGACGCCACGAGTTCCTGGAAAGACAAACCCAGCGTATGTGCTCTAGAACGAAGTCAGCCAACCATAGCATGCCATTCTTAATAAACACAGAACTCGAGAGAAAGTTCTAGAGAAAGTATGGAAACTTAAATATTGGTTAGACACGAAAGTGCTTGGTCACATGAGCTATTTAAACTAACCAAATTTTAATTAAAAACTGCTCAAATGAGACAAATGTTGTTACGAGTATCTATCATTTGCATCACGTAAGAAAGTTCATGAAATTTCTCTCAGTTCTGGCCGACTCGACAAACAGGATGTTAAAATTTTCTGCTCATTTGCACATGACAATGCCGTATCATTTTTTAAAATTTAACATGTAGTGACGCAACCGTAGGCAGGCGGTCTTAAAATTTAGTGATTCGACCAGTTTTCCATTTAAAATTTGTTTGTTTGGCTGTTGTTTAGGACTCTGTAAGACAATTTACATAGTGAGAAGCCACGTACAAAAAGCATAACACAAGCGTAAAATACGACTTTAAACACTCTTCAGTTTGAACCGCTTAACTATAAATATGCGACAAACAATAACTTCGAAAAAAATGCTTCTTCAAGTTCTTGGACTTTGAGTGTTTAAAATGTGTGTTAATATTTCCTCAGCGAGTAAATTTACCGTGGGAAAATTCACCCTCCTAATCTCACAACAAGAACAAAAAATAATTTGTTGAAAAAACTTTTTGGTTTCCTGAATTAAAGGGATCAATTTTGCGCTTACGCTGTAGTTACAAATTGTATACCCATTTTTAGGGTAATTGCACCTGTTATTTTCTCTCTGATCACGAAACAGCTCTGAATTCTTGATGTTCGTTTACCATTAACGTACAAACTGCGAATATCGGAAAAAAACTTCACATTCCAGGGAAATTTTTCAAGGGGAAATCAAACGATGTATATTGTTATGACTTGTCATTCCTGTCGATAGCTGGAAAGTGTGACAAACAGAATGCTGTGATGACGTAAACAAGCTCGTCCGAGATAGGTCATGACGATGCGGCTGAGTGATTTGAAAGAAAAAAAACCTCAATATTCCGTCATTTAAATTTACGCTTTGCATCACTGTCTTGTCTAGATAATTCGATAAAATGGGCAGGATTTTTCCTTCGTGAAGTCATTCTGGAAACAGAGCAGTTGTAAAAATGCATCGCTGGAAGACATCTCAGTTTACCACTGTGAAGACTCCTAAAACTTAGTCAAGGACTCGTGGGAGTACAGACATCGTATATTTGTAAGTTTTAATATGGAAAGTGAAACTTGCTTCAAAATTGTCCTAATTTATTTAACCGAAATTTCTTCGGCATCCAACTCTATTTGAAGTATCAAAGGCATCATTAAATAGATTGATACACTTTCTAAAAGAAAACTGCAAAACTTTTAGAAATGTAGAATACAGTCTTAGTTAGATCTGTTTTATAACTTGTAAGTGCACCTTTTTTCTATGCAATAGGCTCAAGCTGCTATTCACACATTATTCGCTTGAAATGTTTTCTAAGGATGACCTAAGGCCTAATATCACTTTAATTTAAGCTGCAAGTTATTCAGCTCGCATTTAAAAGAACGGTAGCTGTCTGAATTCGTCACTAAGCCTGAGAGAGATCTAACGGTGAACATGCTCTGCGCGACAAATTATAAGCTAACCCCCCCCACCCCTGCTATCAATCTTTGTTTCCAAGGCAGTCACACTACGATGCCCTGTTATTTTAATTCACTTACAGGTATTTTTAGTGTATACGGATTAGGAGGGCGAGACCTCTTTGCATTTTTAGTCGCTACCTTTTGTTACATGAAACAGAGGAAGCTAGGAATCGAGCAAATGGAAATACATTTAAAAATATAAATTTGGATCAAATAACCCTTACCGAAAGACTTCCTTTACATTCAAATGATCCAAAAAAGATCATATCACCCTTAAAATATGCAAAGTACATTTGTGGGAATGTATTGCACTGAAAGAAATTAATCCCTGGATATCGTTTCACTGTGCTCTTTATTTTTTTTTCAATTTCGAACAATTTTTTTACCCTGCGGCAGCAAATTGTATCAATAACTAAGCACAACTACGAGCTAAGAGAGCACAATTTAATCAAGTTCCAGACAGATTTTTATTGCTGTCTATAGCAGGAGAGAAGTGGTAGTACCTATATTGTATCCCTAAAATTTTGAATGTCACTCCAACCTTAGCGGCAATATCGTGACGGAAAACCCATTAACTGCGCTCTCATCCTCCATATAAGGAGGCGTCAATTGATATTTGTCACTTTCATATTCCCCACGGGACCGTTGGAAGCCATTGAAGTGCATTCGAGTACATCTTGCAGTTCATAACACATGTAAATTAGTTGTGTACATATTTTTGACCAGCTTTCGAAATCGGCATTGTTTTCACGGTTGTTTTATCTTGTCAAATATGTAGAGAGGGTGTGTACGGAACCAAGGAAGGAAGCCTGAAAAAAGAAATTGTGTTTAATAGGGGCGAAGAGGAGGATTCAGTGATATGACTTCCCTGATCGAACGCGAACAAGCAAGTATAAAGAGCCCCAGAAGTCCTGGTCGACCGAGTAGTGGCCAGTTTAGCTTCAAGGGATCTCTATACGTGGCTCACAATGAGAAAGATTGGATCGAAATTCAGAAGAACACGTTCACAAATTGGTGCAACGTTCAAATTCATCCGTACGGTGTACAAATTACGAGTGATCTAGCTGAGGCTTTCCAAGATGGACTTTCACTTGTGTACCTGGTTGAATCGATTTCCACGAAGAAAGTTGGTCGATACAACAAGAACCCGAGGCTGTACGCACAGAAACTTGAAAATATCACCAGCGCTTTGAAGTTACTACAGAGCGACGGGATAAAGTTAGTCAACATTGGTGAGCTATTTAAATTGTTTCGTGACAGTAATGTACACACAGACATGCTAGACGACAACTGTTCTGCGCTTTTATTTACCTTTCTTGTTCTAAATGTGTCCATTGATACACAGACAAGTGTTAAATAAATATAACGGTGTGTCGAGATTCCTCAAGAACAGCACAGCTTAAACATAAATAAGAAAGATATCTTCAAAGATACGATTCAAAATTTCCGCACAAGTTTCCAGTTACAAGGCAAGAGGTCTTGGGAATCACGCAAAAATAGCACGATTCCTCGCACAGCTGAATTTGTTTTCCTCGTGGAATACTGATAGCTCGTTGTCTAAGGATACCCTGTTCGTGAATATGTCGAATGCATTGCAGACAAGTTTCGAAGCCTTTCATCAGATGCTTGCCAAATATTGCACGTGAATCGAATGCACGCAAATTGGAATCGAAAATAGGTTCTGTTAACGGTGAGGGAGTTTCGAATCTCTTGAGAATCTACTTTGGAAGTTTTAATCTGCAATGAACGCTACTTCTGTTGTGGCTGAAATACGCGAAAAACTTTCGTTTGCTAAGAGACTCTGTAAAATATTTATAATATCGGTCTACCAGTTTCAAAGATTATAATGTTTACGTATAATTCCAAAACTATAGTTTTTAATTTTTCCCTGCAATTAATTCACAAAAGACCACGACCTTGAGTTCGGAATATTTAAAATTTTTAACTCGGAGGGCGGTGAGAATAACAAAAGATAATTTTTTTTCCCGTTGTCTTCCTGTTTCGAAGCATCGATGTCATTTTTTACTTTCCGTTGCATTCATAGTTTTTTTCCAGTGCGTTTTCCTTTTGATATTTACTAATCGACTCTGCCTATAAACATTCAAGGAACGACGATTCTCTTTAACTGAATACTAACGCTTCCAGCTTTCTTAAAGACTCTACGATATGGCCGATCGTTGATTGTGGTTACTGCAAGAATCGATTTTCACAGCTTATATTTTTGTGGAATATCGTGGCGACGTGACACTGGCCGGTTGTAGACGAACTCCAATCTATCCAATGAGAAACAATCTTACTCCACTTGATGCCTTTTGTCTCGACGCACGTACAGACAATAAACTCTTCCAAAATTGTTTTTTCTTTTTTTGCTATTTTATACCGCTAAATCAACGTGGGGGAAAGCGGCAGTTCGTTAACCAAACCACAACTTTCGTTTAATCTTTGTCAGTTACTGAAATTAGTAATTTTTTTACCTAATGCGCCATACCGTAAATATATATTGCACCGCATAGGGTTTAATAAATATTGGCTTTACATCAAGGCACTTGTTCGCCCTTTTTGCTTTGCAAATTAGTCAAATCAGACCTCCTGCAATTTTTTGAAAGCAGAACATCAACACAGCAAATTAAACGTTAAGCTATCCAGTCCAAAATATTTCGTAAGGCCACATATTGACGATTCTAGGAGAAGTAAACTCTCGTTCAAGACAAAAAAGATCCTTTTCCGCTAGCCTGCGTAAGAGTCGTTCCCGTTTCCTGTTAGCCAAGCTGAATAAGCGTTAGATAAACAAGAGGTGGACGCAGTTAAAGACCTCTTTTTTTTTTTTGCGCGCATGCACGAGAGTTCGTTTGTTTTTTCTTCCTCTGCCACGCGTGATTCCCGCTTACTGCACGATTCTCTTGTTAGGCCGAGGAAAGGAAAAGAATGATGCGTAGGGAAACTCTCTCCCTTTGGAAGAATAATCTACTCGATTTGGCAGTAAACTCTCACCGGTCTCTCAAGGCGGTGAAGGAGAAAAGAGATATCGATTTGAATGCGACCCCTTGTTTCATAATTTGTCAGTTAGTCTTAGGAGCTAAGAATAAGTCATTTTCGATCCACTTCTGAATAGTAAAGGGGGTGAGTTTCTAAGGTAACTGTGGTGCTGCGACGGTGGGAAAGTACAACATGGTAATTTAGTATCATCAACGTAATTCATCAATTGACCACCGTAAAGAGTTCAAAAGCGGACGTATCGAGCGTCAGCCCTTCGTCATTCGCTCTGACGCTCGAAACGTCAGCTTTAAAACTCTTTAGAGTGACCAATTTACGTTATCAACTCAGTTGATAATACTTAAGTACCCTGCTGAATAGTAAAATTTCCTTCGTTGATTTTATATTTTCCAGGGAACGAGGACATTGCCAATGGGAACGTGAAGCTAATTCTAGGTCTAATATGGAGGTTAATCCTTCACTATCAGATCAGTTCAAGTGGCAGCGCCTCAGGCAAGCAGCTGCTGTTGTTATGGTTGAAAAATGCAATCCCTGACATGGTAATCCGGAATGTGACAACGGACTGGAACGATGGTAGAGCTCTGAGCGCCCTCAACGAGTTCTGCCAACCAGGTCTGTGTCCAAACTATAAGAGTCTAAACCCAGAGGCAAAACTGTCGAATACGAGCGATGCCATGAATGCTGCTGAGAAAAACTTCAGCATCCCGAAAGTTCTTTCTCCGGAATTCTTCGTCAGTCCGTATGTCGACGAATTGAGTATGATGACGTATTTGTCGTATTATACACAACCGGGCTCCATCGGAGAAAAACGAACACTGCAATTTATCAATGATTCGGCACCAGGCTTGAACGTGCGTAATTTCAACACCGATTGGAATGATGGAAAGAAATTATTGCAGTTTCTTGAAGCTCAGTGCCCTGGGATTGTTCCAGGGTACGAAAATATTGACCGGAATAGTCCGTTAGAAAACGCTAAGCTAGGGCTGGATATCGCGGAGGAGAAATTCGGAGTAAGGAAAGTTTTAACCCCGGAGGAACTTGTCAGTCCCGATGTGGACGAGCTCAGCGTCATGGCGTATATGTTGCAATTTCGTACAGCTGATAAACTGCAAAGTCATGCGCACATCTTCAAGGCGGACGGCAACGGAATTAAGCGGGGAGTTCGCGGGAAAACTTCCGAGTTTTTTATATACGGTCGCAAAGATGTCGGTTTTGATGGGGTACGTGTCAATATCCGAGGTCCGGACGGGGAGGATTCCGTGCCAGTAGAAACACAAGTTGAAGCAGACGGCTCTCTTAGGTGCAAATTTGTTCCCTTTGAGAGCGGCATTCACACGATCTCTGTAAAGCACTACGGTAAAGAAGTCCCTAAGGGCCCCTTTCAAGTGATGGTGCATGAGAACGTGGCAGATGTTACGGTTTCTGGCGTAGGGATCAAGAATGCTGTCGTCTTCAAACCGGCAGAGTTCATTGTTCAAACCAACGACGAGAACTCCCCCCCGGTCTCGGCGGTAGTAGAAGGACCAACCAAAACAGCGAACTGCAATATGGAACCTCTTGGAAATGGAAAGTGGCGGGGATATTTTGTACCGCGGGAAGTGGGAGAGCACAAGATTCGCATTGAGGTCGGAGACACACCCCTGCTCGGAAGTCCCTTTACAACGAAAGTAGGAGATCCAACCAAGTGCAATGTAGCTGGGAGCGGTGAGTGATGCTACCTATCAATTAAGTCACGCAATACTTTATCACTTAACAAATTATCATGTCACGCGAAGAACACAGTTGCATAACATGAAGGCGATTTTCGTTGTTTAGCAAGTCATTTAGTTGCTCAATTATTTTTCATTTTTTTCCCCGCAGAAACTGCTCGCAACCCGACCATAGGACGTCCCTCCTCCTTCGATGTTGATACTTCCGGGGCGGGACTGGGGGAACTAGCTATCCAATGCCGGGGCCCCGTAGGGAATGTCCCTGTCGACGTGAAACCCACTGCACCCGGACGATACAACGTATCGTTTACTCCTAACAAGCCCGGGGAATATAATATTCACTTCGTATTCAACGGGGATGATATACCGGGAAGTCCAGTCAAGACGATAGTGAGTGATCCCAGCCGGATTGTAGCTCACGGAGATGGTTTGCATCAGGTACGACGTCAGGTTCTGTTTATCATCATTCCTCCTGCCTCATTCGGGAGTCTTGGTCAAACCAGATTCTTTGCAGTCATCTCTGTCACGCACAACAATAGCTACGTATGTCCAAGGTCTAAGAAACTCTCAGCATTTGGACCACAGAAATTTACGATTTTTCTCGAAAACCAACGTCAATCTCTCAATCAGTCAGATGCAAAACTTAAACGACTCGTTACTCGACCAATCGCTTTCTCCCGTGCTTCAAGCAGTTTGTTTGTTTTAACTTTGATTTCTGGTTGGCTCCTTACTCCTTATCGTATTCACTCTTGTTCTGGTTCTGGGCTTACAGCACTTAATCTAAAGCCCTAACCACTGCACAGAAAATTTGAAAATCATTGATTTACTTCGATAATGTATCTCTCCACAATTTCAGGTTACTACAGATTCTGAAGCAGAATTCTTTATTACACTTCATGGCGCTGGTGATGGAGAACTGAAAGTGTATGGCGAGGCTCCATATGGGCACTTTTCTGTAGATCTGCTACAGTCCCCTAATGAAAAGGACACCTACATTGTGCGGTACACTCCTCAGGGGGTGGGTCTGCACAAGATTCATATCAACTTTGCTGGGGAACCAGTTCAGGGCAGCCCGTACATAGTGAAGGTGAGAAACATGACACGACATCTCCCCCTCCTTCCCAACCTTCTCCCCAACTGCGAAGGACCCCCCCTTACTCCCAACTGCCAAGGACATTTCAAAAACAACGCAAGTTACAAAAAAAAAGATATAGAAAAATAGAGAAGCTTAACAGCTCAAGATGAACATTTTGATATGCTGTGACGTTATCTAACTCACGAAAAGGTTCTTCTTCAAACTGAGCTGAATCAAAATATGTTAAAAAATTTCTACCTTACTCATGCGCAGGTTACTGTTCTAGATTAATTGACCTTTTTTTTTTTAATCAGGTGGCGGACCCCAGACAAGTGACTTTGAATACACGTGAGTTGGAGCGCGAACCAAAGCGCTTTACTGTCCGTCACGAGGTGGACATACCTGTACAGGTGCCTAGCTCTGCTGGAGAGGGCCAACTGGAGGCTGCTGTTGTGGGCCCCGACCAGGAAAGTGTTCCCTCTAGTGTGACAAAGGATGACGATGGATATTATCATATCCGGTTTGTACCTCGTCAAACTGGAGAACACAGAGTGATGGTCATGTATGGTGGCAAGGAAGTGTCAAGTAGCCCTTATGTCATCCGTATACGAGACGCCACTAGTATGAAGGTCAAGGTCACCGAGATGGAGCAGATGAGAACTGGTTACTCAGCGCAAAAAGAGGTCCGTGTTATAATTATTTTCGTTTGTCTGACCTTCACCAGTGATGAAATTTTTCCTTACCGTTTTCGTTTTATCCTCATATTTAGGTTGATGTTCCTATCGAAGTTCCAGAAGAAGTTGATGAGATTTCCGCCACCGTCCAAGACGAGGATGGCAAACCTATAAAGTCAACGTTGACCTTTGAACCAGACGGCTTATACCACGTGAGGTAAGAACAGAGCATTTACGTGACGTTGATCATGATCAACTTCTAAGGGCTTGTCATGCCATCCTAAAAAAGTTTTTTGTGACACAGAAAAAAGAGCAACCAACTTATATTATATATTCCAGATTTGTTCCGCACAAACCCGGTCGTTACACTGTAGATGTGCGCTGTGGAGGACAGTCCATAGAGAACAGCCCCTTCGTAATGAAAATCTCAGAAGCGGAAACAGTGTCGGTAAAACTGAAAGAGTTTGAAAAACAGGTAACTCGCTGGTTTGTAATCTCCCATCCAGTTCTTTTGCACCTTGTTATCTAAATAACCGTAAGTGTGAGACGATTAGAGTCGAGGTAAGGTGTAACCAGACTCGAACTGAGAAAAATTGTTTGGCATTAATTAGTGACGTTCTTTTGATCCTTCCCCTGACAGGAGGGAGTTAGCTATCACGTGGGGTACGAGGTAGACGTGCCCATGGAGATACCATCCGAAGTAGATGAAGTGTCAGCTGTGATTTATGACCCGGATGGAAATATTGACAAGTCAACTTTCAAGAAGGAATCTGATGGTCTTCACCATTTGAGGTTTACTCCCAAAAAGATTGGACAGTACAAGGTAAATAAGACCTACTTATAGTCCCTGAAAGACGCACGAAGCCCAGCGATAAGAGCGTCGGCCTTCGAATCGGGCGGTCCTGGTGTGAGTCTTAGCCGGGGTTACCAAGTTGTGAATTTGGGAAAGCAAGAGATTCAGGGCTTTTTTTTCTATCTCAGATGAATACATGTTACTTTTGGAAAGTTGCTTAGAATAGTCTGCCTTCCCACTCCCAAAAGAAATGATCTCTTACTTGCGTCAAACTTATTTCTTTTTTCCTAAGGTGGATATTCGCTGTGGCGGACGCTCAGTAGAGAACAGCCCATTCCCCTTGAACGTGGCCCAGCCAAAAACGGCCGTTGTTCGTTTACGCCAACCAGAGGAGTCTGAAAACAAGTATTTAGTTCGCCGTGAACTTGACATAGCACTTGATGCGGCAGAAGGTACCAAGAACCTGTCTTCATATGTAGACGGACCCGATGAGGAGAATGTTCCAGCATCTTTTGATAAAGGAGACGATGGCTTGTACCATGTTAAGTTTGTACCTTACAAGCCTGGAACCTACAAGGTAAGAGATCGGCGTAAATTTTATCCTGGAGAATTCGGTTTGAAAAATGTTTCTCGGTAACGCTAATACAAAAGACCAAACAAGTCATTGCGGTTTGTTAGAGCTGCGTGTCCGTTTGTCTCTCACATTCCTCTTTTAAAAGCCACGTAATTTTGATAGCAAGTGGCGGCTCCTTTCCATCCTGTTTACAGCTGGAGGAATAACCACAAGGTGACGCTCATTATTCGTCCATCGTCGAGAAAGTGCGGAGTATCGGCTGGAACATACACTAGTTGAAATATTTTGGATTACTCTCGTGTTTTAATGTTCCTCTTTTGTCTAAAAGTTGAAAGTTTAATAACTATTCATCGACGATTTGCCAAAAATTGTAACTTGTCCACTAATTAGGTGTGCTTACTCCCCTAGTTCACTCATTTCGTAGTGATGATCATGTCGGCCTGGTACGCACTGATAAGTCGCAAAACCGCAATTTCTGATAATATCATAACTTCTCGTCCCTCTGTCCGTACATTTTGAAGTATGTTCAGATTTTCAAAGTATTTTTGCATTTACCCAGGTTCATGTTAAGAGTAACGGCACTCCAGTAGCCAGTAGTCCATTCCTAATCAAGGTCGGCGACCCAGGCAAGGTCCAAGTTGCGCATGTCCGTAGTGAGGAATTGTATGCAGAGCGAGTCATTAAGAACGAAGTGGATTTAGCCGTGGAAAGTTCATATGACATGACTGATGAAGATTTCTCCGCCAGAGTCACAGGCCCCGATGGAGAAAATGTCCCCTGTCACGTGAACAAGGGGCCTGACAATCGGCATCACGTTAGGTTTACTCCTCATAAGGCTGGTCCATATAAGGTAAGGAGCCTCCCTGCTGGACGTTGGAGACTGGGGTGACATTGTTAGAGGGTGTGGTGATTGTAATGTTAATTTACGGTCGGTTTATATCACCATTTTTGCGAGTGAGGGAACGCAAATGTTAAGTTTCTGGACGTAGGTTTCTAAACGGGTTTTATCGCATATTTGGCGGAATGGTATCGTCAAAACAATTTAAAGTTTTCATCGGAGAATTTTCTGGTATCATGCCTTCCTAAAACTCAGTAGTCGCTAGTAAAACCATCAAAAACTAATGCGGTGATCGCTCAGGATTGAGTAGAATGGATAAAAATTATTATCATAAAGCGAGTCTCTTGAGAAGTTATTTTTAAACAAAGGACGCTTAAGTTAAATCATCCAAGCTGGGCTAACCAAAGTTTAACGGCAAATAAACAAAATTTGCAAACAAATCGCTGGCATAATTAACTCACAGTTGGCTTTTTACTTTGGTTAGGTGGACGTTCGTTACCGGGGCGAGCCCGTACAAGGCTCTCCTTTCACTGTCAACGTCACGGATCAGGGACAGGGGGGCCCAGTAGTGAATTTCAACGAATCCGATCGATTTTACGAGAACCGCGAGGCAGACATCCCCATTATGATCCCAGAGGGTTCATCAGCAGATTATCTCAAGTGCCGCGTTACTGATCCAGAGATGGAGTTACTTGATTACGAGCTGACCTATGACCGAGGCTCCAACTTATATCACGTGCGATTTGTACCGAAGAGACCTGGGCGCCATAGAGTAGACGTGGAATACGATGGTGTTCCTGTGGATGGTTCGCCGTTTATGATGAATATTGAAGGAACCGAAGGACATAAGAAGGTTTTTGCCTCGGGAGACGGAATTAAAGGAGGTGTGTATATTCAGTATTTTTTTTTCCAATTAGAGACTGAAAAATTTTATCGTTACGAATACAGAATGGTTATCTTCTGTCCCATATCCTTTGTAATTCAGGCACTCGTAAAGAAGTTTCTTATAGGAAATGCCTTACGCCCTTTGTTTATGCACAGGAATGGTGAACGAGAAGATAGATTTCATGGTGGACGCCCGCACTGCCGGCCGGGGCAAGCTGACTGGGAAGCTCACCGGAGTCAAATATCACACTGATGTAGAAGTCATTGACTTGAAGGACGGGAGGTACGCATGTCACTACTTGGTACCACAGGCTGGGGCTTATGTCCTCTCACTAATGTGGAATGGACAGCACATACCTAACAGTCCTTATAAGGTCACTATCAGAGAAGCACAAGCTATGAGCGCCAAAAGTTGTTTTGTTGAAGGTAAGGAATTTTCTGCATGATTAATGCTTTATATTTCAGAATTTTAGAAGCTAATAAGATGCTATCTCAATCCGTTAAGAAAGTCAAATGACTGTGGCACAACTACAGGTGCACGCAAATGAAAACACGTTTTTAAACCAGTTTAACTTGTTTGACCTTTAGGGAGCATGCTCAAGGAGGGCACAGGAGCCACAGTGGGCCAAGCCATGGGGTTCAGCATCAACAGCAAAGATGCAGGCCCGGGGCAATTGTATGTTCGCTGTCAAGGACCCACAAAAGACTGTGATTGCACAGTGTTCGACAACAAGGATTCTACTTATCAAGTACAAATCTTCCCTTCCGAAGTTGGGAATCATCTCGTGTATGTGGAGTGGGGAGGAAGACCTGTACATGGAAGTCCCTTTTTGGTACGCGTGGGACAGCCCCCTGATCCCAGTAAAGTTCGTGTGTACGGTATGTCAACTCATGTAATTTTCACGTTCTGTTCGCCCCCTAAGATACACTTTGGAGTTTTACATTGAATTTTCTGAAGAATGATTTAATATCTGCGATTTTCTCGATAGGTCCTGGTTTGGAGAACGGATTGCTACGAAATTTCAAGGGGGAATTCCTGGTAGAAACTAAAGGTGCTGGTCCGGGAACACTTAAGATCAGAATCCATGGACCCAGAGGGGCCTTCAAAGTGGAGATGTACCGGGACACATCAAAGGAGCGTTCTATTGGAGTGCGATACAACCCCACAGAGGCGGGACGGTACATTATTAACATCAAATGGGCCGATCAGCATATACCCGGAAGTCCTTTTGATGTCACGATAGTTGAAACAAGAGACGAACTTGAATCGCTTAATGAATTGAAGGACAATGCAGTTCTATTTCAACAAAGGGATGCTAGATTATAGGAGACTGGTAGCTAGTAATTTTTAAACCTGTACCCAACCTTTTCTCGGTCAGTCATTCCCAAGATGGCGACCGTAAGGCTGAAAACTCCGCATTTTGAATCATCTCGATCTATCAATCTGACCTATAACTGCTAAATTTTTTTGTTATTTTAGTCGGTGCTAGGTGGTCGATCTATGGAGACAGTGTAAGTCTGGGAGGGAAAAATGGCGTGCTTTCACAGACTTCATGGCTTTCTCTCGCACGTTGTTTTCGATTCCACCGACTGAGAGTCTGGCATATGCTGTTTTCTTTTTCAATTATTGCAGTTGTCACATATCGGTGTTAGCAGTTATTGATTTGAAAACTTAGAGCAGGGGGGAGGGGAGGGTAGTTGGAGAGGCTGAGTAAAAAATGCGGTCTTTTTGTCGGTGAATATTCAAAATTATTATCCAACTGCACAAAGTAGAATACAAATAACGCGCGAACAGATTGCAAATATCCTGCGATATTGTACGGTTATTTGGACAGTAGGTTATTTTGCACTGTAAAAAAACCTGTTTAACCAGTCGGCTGCGCGCGCTACGCTTCTCTATCCGCTTTGCTTTTCCCGTGTGATGAGAAATGATCAGAAGAACTTAGCAGAAAAAAAAGCAGTTGGTTAATAAATAGTTTCTTAGACGTTTTGGTTTCGTAGTATCGCTGAGTATTTTTAAAAGTTGTGCCACATGGGCGAGTAAAATTCCAAACAACTAGTAAAAATAATCGGCGATACTACACATCAAAACGTCTCATAACATATATGTATTTATGGATACATAGCCTGCTTTCGTGAGTGTCGAGGTTAATGCCTGTTTTCTAAGCAATTCCGCTGAGTATGCGGTATGAACCTTTGTATTACGTCGTACTCACTGACCTTGCCATTGGCGGGCTGAAGACAACATCATTTTGATTGACAGAATTTTTGATTGATATGGTATACCTGGGTTACCTAAAGGCACTGGGCGTGTTACAGTTACCCATAGTGAATGTTTGGAGGAGCACGACATTTTTTTAAATTCTCGGAATTGGTATTGGAATATCATACACACAACTACTGTATTTACTCTCAACTTATGAAAAAATACTTAATCGTACCTGCACAGACTAAAATGGGCACGAATAAAAACAGATCTTAGATCTGAAGGGGTGTATTTTGATGTTCGTCAGCCAAATTTAAATAGTCCTATTTAAGGTAACCATTCGATATTTATATGGTACTTTAGTTAGATTTAATCTACTGGTTTAAAATAGATATGCTGATATGGTTTTAGTTCAATAGAAGTGAACATGTGTGCGTAATATCAAGGTTAATCAAACTTAATTTACCAATGTGTATTGCACTTAACTACATACTGTGCAACCAAAAATATTCGTTAATTTTGTAGGTTGTTTTAATTGTTTTAATTGTTTCATCTATCTTAAACAACCAGGATTGAGTATTTACATATTTTAGAACTTTTGGAAGAGTTTACCTCGATTATGTGTTGACTGGCTTGAAAAGCACAATTCTCACTGTATTTAAACCTAATACTAAAAGTTTCCTTGCAAAGGTGGAGGAAAAAAGAAAAAAAAAACAAACAAAAATATCAAGTTAGAGACGTGGAAGGAATCTAGGTGATCCAGGGTAAGATTAATATTTTCAAAAGGTAGTGTGTATTTTATTTTTAGTCAGGGCATGGTGTGAGCTTGCAGCGATTGGAAACAGCATCGAATCTTTTACTAACGTTGTAGGGGTTGAGCTGCAGCAGAGTGGAGTGAACTTCTCATAATGATAGCCGATGAATCGAGTAGAATTCCAGCAGATGGCTGTCTTTTTCTACATCGATACATTTAAAGGTTTTTAGCTAGATTTTTTCCTGATGTGTAAATAAAAGTCTATTTTGGCCAGATGACGTGTAACTGAATTACCATAGAAATATGTAAGCCCCTCACGATGCGGTAAACGTAAATGATATGCGACCCACGTATCGGGCAGTGCGCAAAAGTGGGTACTCTGACATGATAGATTTCTCTTTAGAGGTATCTCAATAGAAATTGGTCACGAATTATCAATAGTTCTCCCCGTGCGCAGACAACTTACTTCCCGTGTCAATGTGAAAATGTTACAAGTAGAGTTTTGCGTAATTGTTCTCCTGGAGAGCGCTATAAAACCTCGTACCGCGCTGTGAGTGTTTGACCGACCACAACTAAGTCGCATGGAATTGTTAATTAGGATGAGAAATAAGATGAATTAATCTTAACTGATGCAGACACTGAAACGTGCTTGGGATAATTCGAGAACATGATTGTTTCAAAGCACGGTGGGCGTGCGGTTTTTCTAGCATCTTGTGCACGATTTGTGAATCTATAAAACTCCACAAAATTTTCCAAGCTCTTGGCTTACAATTAGAGTTAATTTCCCCTTCAGTTATCATTCCCAGTTCGTTCTCTCGACTTTTGTGATATCGTTCGTTTTATCAATGGTATTTTGCGGTTTCGCTGACGTGAAGGATATTCTGCAAGTAATGAAAATCGTCTCCTAGTAATGCAGCGTTACGTAGGTCTCGATATTGACCCATTTAATAAACTTTTTGTCGTTAAACTTGTCTTCTGACCTTCCAATGGCTTTCCACGAACCTTAAACCTCGAAAAGTTGTTTGTATGGCTGTGGTAATACTAAAAACACTGTTTGAGTAGTGGGGAAACCATGAAGAACGTTCGAAATCGGTAAAGAAACTTCGCGAAGTTTCTTTCAGCGATACATATAATTTCCGGTTTCCGACCGCGAATTCTTATACATGATATGAGGCCAGAATGTGAAGAGAGCGGAAGTGGTGGACGTTTTAGTCTATCGCGGCTTTGTAATATCTAAAGTACTAAAATAGTTGTTTGAATGATAAACGCACGCGTGTAAATCGGTATTACGATATGACACAACATAAACCAGAAACAGACAAGTGGTAAAGACTAGGCCAACTACAGGACCCTCTAAAGAAAACCACTGAATTACCAGACTAGGCAGGAAATTTACGTCAGCAGTCTTTAGAGTTTCATTTGATCAGATTTTGTGCCATCTAAGAAGAGTTGTCTTGCAAGTGAAAATATGTGACAATCTTATTATTAATTAGGTGCATTTAACCACCCAAGTCGAATTAACGCTTGTACTTAGGCACGTTTCTAGGTATTTGTTACTCCTACGATATGCATTACAATAGCTTACAATATTTATTACATAGTCTTTAGACTATGTAATTTCTTACAAGAGGGATTAATTTTCTCTGGGGTATTTTTTCAATTTGGTCGCCTCTGTGAAGAAGGTTGTATTGTGCAAAACTGTTAATGAAAGCAAAAACAAGACAAAGAAAGGACGGTATCATGGCATTGCCTTTAAGACCGCTCAAGAAATCATTAAATCCGAATGCAAAGTTTTTACATAATGTTTTTTTTTTCCATTTCACAGCTTCATCATGGATTAGTTTTCTTATCAGGGGCTTTACTCATTAGTTGTCGTCTACTGCTTTTAAAAAAAAGTTGCTATCGGTTTGTTTTTTGTTGCCTGTCACGCAAAGAATTTACTTTCACTGCATAAAGCTGTTTGTAAATGATGTACATAGAGTCATAGTGGTCTAGCCGGAATCTCTGCTTTTTTTATGCGTAGATTTTTTCAACTTGTGACATTGTTTCAAAGAGAGCAAATTTTTTTCCTTAACTTGCTCTCAGTTGAAAGAAAGGTTTCATTCTTTTCAAAAATCAAACGTGCTTTCTGCCTGGAATCCGACTCAATGATAATTACAGAAACGACGAAAATGTAGATTCACTCAAACACCAAAAAAACGTTTGTTTGAATACCAATCATAAAAATTTTATTTTATTTTATAAACAAAACAGTTGAATGATAATCCGTGGAAAGGCCCTTCAACATGCAAGCGGATCTACTATCTCCTAGATTTGTTGCTCTACAGAAAAGCTCTTTATTTCATCGTTTCACCTGTCCGTCAATGCAAAAAATCTCTAATAAATTAAGGGTGATGAAAAATAAAGCGAGCAGAAAACGTGAAACACATTGCCTATCAACAACTTTTCTTATAGCGGAAACGTGATAGAGGAAATTGGAAAGACTAGGTTGCTGAACAGAAAAAAAACAATGGTTTATATTAAATCTGGTTTTATATCACGTACCTGAGGTGGAGGGTGGCATTTACAAATGAAGGATGTGTATTTGGGGAGCTTAAAAGCTTCTAAGCTAATGCATTTTACGATCTTATGAAATTTTGCGATATGCATGCTCTGTGACACGTTCTGAGGTAAACATAACATGGGCGGAAATAGGAAAACACGAAATTCTATTAATTAAGTGTGTTTTTCATAAAATTTGGTCCTCTGATTTTCAAAAGAAAGCTGCCTTTAGGTTTTTAAAACAAAATCCTTTGAGGATCTTACAAACGAGAACCGTACAGAATGCCATTATCAGAAAAGTTTTTCAATATATTTATACTTGTCTATAAAAGAAAACTAATGTTTTGAAGCGCCACAATTTTAATGCGAAAACTAAAAAGACTACTGAATATTAAATGTAAAGTTAAAGACTCTGCGATGTTTTTAATGGCACCTTGATTAAATCAAACCATTGATTTGAACCTTTAAAACTTTCTTCAACTAATCGCTTTTTTTGTTAAAAGCAGGAATCCGAATTTTCGAAATGTACCCATAAATTTAAGGGCTTCAAAATGTCTCTTTTGCGTGTTTCGTGCGCAAAGTGTGAATATGTTCATCCTAAATCATTCTTGAGCGTTTTGGAGCATAATTTCCGGTTTTTTTTTTTTTACGGTTTGAGGCAGAATAAAATTACAATACCGAGAGAAACTTCTATGAAAACATATTTCATATTTCTAATTCGCTGGCTCAGTTGATTATTTTTCTTTTGTTTTGCAGCCACTTGCCAAAACAAAAGTGTCAATAAAGATTTTCAATTTTCGTTTGCAATGCAAATATGCAGTTAATTTATATTTTTAGCTCATAAGCAGTTTTGTCACGCGCCAAAGGCCAATATTGAGACCACATATCTATACACAAACCCAACAAGCGTGTCCACCGACGTCCTAAAAATAATTGCTCTTGAAACAGGCGTCATCTCTGAGAAGGTCAGTTGAGTCGAAATTTTCCTTTAGTAGATAAAGGACAGATCTCCATTGTTGCGAATCCTTTTATCCTAATGTGCCAACTCCCCAAGGAAGCGTAAACCGCTCAGCTGCCCTGTAATGATTGTGAATCAAAACAGGAGTGATTATACTAATTGTTTCACGTCGCCTAGGGAAAATTGAAATAAAAGGCGTTCTGAAGGCACAAGCGTCTGTTCTCAGTGTGTTTACAGCACCGGAGACGGACTTCTTTCGTTAATTTAAATAAAAAAATCAAGAACTACGCAAAATTCTGCCAAGTATAACTCGAGAGTGACAAAGAGAACACGAGAGAATATGGAGGTGCCACGGCAACCAGCGGATTTCACATGCAGCGTGAAGTATTTAGGAAGTCAAAATGCCATGTATCCACAGACTGGGACTTTGGAAAACATCGCCCGGGTGTATCAAAAAGGTTGTGCGCTTAACGAGAGGGACATCGAAAAATTGACTGTTACTAAAGACAGTGTTTCAGTTCGCAGCAAAAACACCGAAAAGATTTTCAAACTACGCAAAATTTTGTTCTGCGCAAGCTACAAGAAGATTCCCAAAGTTGTTGCGTTTAACTATATGGTTTCGTCCTCGCCGAAGCGATTGGAGTGTCATGCGTTTTTATGCGGGTCTAACGAAGAAGCGAGAGCTGTTGTCGTCGCTCTGACCACAGCGTTTAGAATGGCGTACAACGAGTCGAAAAACGCAGGTGAAATTCACGTCGATGAAACCATTACAAATCACAAGATTTGGACAGTCGATTCAGCTGAGGAGAAAGAGATTAAAGTTATTTTCGCATTACCTCGGAAAATTGGTGAAATATTTGATACTTTGACGAATTGCATGACCGCAAAGTGATTAACTTGAGGAACGTGAGGAAAAAATTGATGAGGACGACAGAAACTTATGCCGGGAGACGTCTGGAAAGTGTTAATTTATGCAATGGGCTGCGCTCGCCGATCATATATGGACAAGTACCTGACGAAAGAAACTTTCTTCTTTGATTATCTCAAGACATGAAGTCTCGTTTCGAAGTTAATTACAAATTTTAGGCGGTCAGTTACAGCAGTTTATAGAACATAAACTTGAAACTTAGATTGTAGCACGGCAAGAAGACATCTCCATTTTGCCAAATCACATGCGTGTCGATTTGCAGTAAGCTAGTTTATGGTTCGCGTACCCCATTCTCGTTCACTGCATCAATATCGAAGATACGAGTGAGTCATTTTAGAAATTTTGCCTCAAAATTGTAATATAAGTTATTCAAATAAATGCAGAAACAACATTTCCCAGCAAACTTCGATGAGAAGCGGGTGGCGTGCGAGAGAATAAGCAAATTGAAAATTAAATTACTCTAATATAAACAATTTTTCTTAATTTATTTATCTTCACGACAGAGAAAGCTGACAACAGATAGTTCATCAGATAGTTGAGTACGCTCCGATGTCCTCTCCATCAGCTTCAATTGTAAATACGGTAACGGGATGGTTTCAGCGGGAGCTTGATCGAAATTGTATGTGAGGAAAAAAACTTGTAAATAGGACAAATCTTGTGTTAAAATCCGTGTAAGATAATCGAATGAAACTTCTGTAGATACATCTAGAAGCTTTCCAGTCGAACGCTGAAAGAGTGAAAATGCAATAAAATGTGAACATATGTCGTCTGGTTTGTTGTAAATAATTTTTGTTCAGATTTCAAGCGAAGGAAGTCCCAGCGCTTTTTGGGAAAAATCACAACATCTGTCTATGTGTTTTTAAAATATTCGTTGTTCACAGAATCTTTATTAGTAAACTAGACGGTTACAAGAAGTTCGTGTTTTCGATCACAAACTTTAATAATCAGAAACTTGATTTCCCCGCTTCTTACAAAAAACTCAAAATATGAGGACATTGAAGGTGGTTAGATTGAGGCTGGTGTAAGATTTCCTGTATGAAAATAGAGAGAAAAAGGAACGAAAGTGCATATTTTCTTCGCTCGGAAACAGCAATTTTCGATCAGACGTTCTTGATACGTGCAAATCACGGTATTGCATATAGCAAGCTAAATCAATAAAATGGAAAATAATCGCTGATTGTAGACTCACTTCACAACACGAGCGGTAATGAAATAGGAATTTTCATTTCGTGAGTATCCTGTTTGTCTAGCAAACACCTCCGGCGATTATTTATTAGCAATAGCAGAAAACCGTGATTTTTTTTGTTTTTTAACACTTTTGGCGAGTGAGGATACCGAAGTTTATGAGATTCACTCTTTAATTTTTCTCAACTTTTGCAATTAAGACGTCTGAAAGTGTCGTTCCTTTTCCCACTAATTCTTCGTTTGAATGGCTTTCTTTCAACTTTGTATCGTGTTTGCGCTCTGGTTGATAAGTTTGCAGTGAGTCACTCACAGTTAGGTCGCGCAAACATGTGTTTGATTAAGTTCTTAATTATCTTGAATGAGAAAAGTTAAAATATATTTATTTGCGTGCAAATTGAATTTATGTGGCGGTGTATTTGAGACAAAAGCGAAAATAAAGTATTTCTCTCTGAGACTGCTTTTGGAAGGGAAATGACAATTTTTTTCAAGTGTCTTGGAACTTATGCACTTTAAATTAGTAAACGGCTGTAAAAAGAAGCGTGCCATGCATAACAAGAAATTATTTTTAGATCAGTTGGTGCCGCTGAGTACAAGGGACGGTTTGATAAAACGATTAAAATCAAACTTTGAGGTTTTCCCAAACAAGTAAAACTTAACTGTTTGAAGCCAGTCCCAGTCGACTGCATCACATCTTTTTGCTCGGACCCGCTCGTTTCCTCGCCCAACTTCTCTCAGCCCCGAGAACCACCGATGGAAAGCGAGGGAAGATAAGACCAGCGTGCGTTGGCTCGCGCGGGAAAACGGCTATGTAAGCTGCCTAAATGTGTTGAAACAGAACTTGACCTAAACAATGAAATCAAACAATTCTTCATCCCTGTAAATACACCCGTAATAAAGTATTATCTTTTGTCTCACGATGTTGTCACTTTCGATGTAGATTCTCAGCGAACCATTGGCGTAAGGCTTTGTTCTTGTGCTTTTTTATTTGAGATTTGCTGCCTTGACGTCGGTCGGACGGCTACCTTCTCAAACTTCACTCCATCTCGTCAAGATCAAGTTATTTTTAATTTCATAAAAGGCAAGATACTGTTTCACGTTTTAAGGATAAGTGGCAAACACTCGCACACTTCTTCGTGGTTGACTGCGTTACTATTTGTTGTTTGTTTGTGTTAGTTTTACATGTAAAAAAACTTTTCAACGAGAAATTGTCCATGCCATGTAAATATTTATTTGTCTCTAACATGCAGCTTAAATTTACAAGGGATACAGCTCTTAGCACTTATTTGTTGTTATTTGCATTTTATAACTGTTTCATCCGAAAAGTTATGTTACTATTTCGACCAAAAAGCAAGTAACAGGGCTTGAGTTCTGCCTCTTGCATTTGAAAACATCCCTTTCTAACAATTTCGTATGTTTTAGGACACACTTTACAGGTCCATCTTCCAAAGAAAATATATAGATCATATTAGACGTTTTAGTGTGCAGTATCGCTGGGTATTTTTACGAGTTAATCAGCGATACTACACACCAAAACGTCTGATAAGTTATTTATTATCCAACTTCTTTTTTTTTTCTGCTAAGTCTTTCTGCTCATTTCTTATAAGGTGGGAAAAGCAGAGTAGATAGAGAAGCGTATCGCGCGCAGCCGACTGGTTAAACAGGTTTTTTTTACAGTACAAAATAACCTACTGTCCAAATAACCATACAATATCGCAGGATATTTGTACTCTATTCGCGCGTTATTTCTACTCTGCTTTGTGCAGTTGGATAATAAGTGGTATTATGCAGTATTCTTAGCCGCGAACAAAGCTGAACCAGACTGATATATACTAATCAATATATATAATAGTAATAGGACCGAGCAAAGTCCAATTCTGTCTGTAATCATACGAGCGATTGCCAAAATCGAAAAACCGCAAAGCGGGAGTCCGATTTATCATCAGTACTATTTTGATAATAGTTTAACCTATTTGTACAACTCTGAGAGGTGAGTTCAGCCTATCACATATTCAAAACTTAACTTAATTTTTGTGAAATATATATGTGTTCCCCTGCGGGCCGGTGAACGAGCAACTGGGGGGAACCCAGGCGGATACAAATCGTTTACTAGAAAAAACCAGGTTAACTTTGGGAATCTAACTTGGCTGCATTTTCTAAATGAGTCAATGTTTCCAAATATAAAAAGGAATGGTGTAAGCTGACAAGGATTTCATACAAATAGGATCGATTTACGGTAGTGTTTAAAGCGTAGGGAATAGCGGGGGCCTAGCAAATCAGCGATACAAATAATAGCATGGACGTGCACAGGGTAAAAAGCCTCGACCGATTGGAAGTAATCAGTCGGCTGATACAGGCGTGGCCTCGTTCTCACGAGTCAAGCGCTTTCCTGACATGGCTAGGCAAAAGCCATACACCATTTAAAAGTCTGAACATGGACTTTCGCCTCCTCCCCTGACGACTAAAATTTCGGCCCTAAACCGGTTATTGTTCATTCGACTGTAGAGGTAGCTTTAAAAATCTCTTAAATCATAAAATTGACTCAGCTCTCGAGAAGTCAATTTTAGTGTCTAATAGAAACGGGAATGGAACACAGACATGGAAACGAGCTGAAGACATACCATTTTAAAATTTCCTGACTCGACATCGATGACTTGAACTTTGGTTTCCGTGCCACCAAACTTTACTTCCAACCTTAGTTCTCGGTCACATCCCTTGGCGGTATTGGGACTGGCAATTGAAATTTGGACATTTTCACTTTCAACTCCAGGATCGGTGACAAATTGAGGATCATCCTCTTCTGAGCTGTAAAACTTGAAAGAAATTTCAGTCGAATCCGGGTTGATGGGAAAAAAGCTGTAGGTTTTTTTCTCATCTATGTCTATTCGTTCGCCTTTCTTGGCTAGGGTGCAGAAAATGTCACAACAGTACACCTTCTCTCCTCGAATCTTTCGTTTCTCCAGCGGATGTTTTTCAGGATCGAACTTACGCCAGGTTTCTAGACCATATGTCTTACCCATGACTCTGGCTCGAAGTAAACTCGGATCTTGGGCAAACTCTACTGCGCCGCGAATAATGGCGAGTTGGGGATCCGGTGGTATGAGAATGCGTTTTTCAAGAAAGCGGCTGGAAATTTCTTTCCTTAAAAACTGAGCTTCAGAAAAACCACCGACGAGGAAAATTGTCTTCACATCTTGAAGACTTTCCTTGGCGAGCAAGCCTTTCATCTGCTCCGCAATCTTTTGCACAATTGGACGATGCAGGTTGCCAAGCATTCTCATGGTTATGTTTAAATAGTCGCTGCTAACACTCACATTTTCAGGAAAAAATCGCCGAATTCGCTCATTGATAGCATCATCATCATCTCCAATGTCGTGATAACAAGACTTTATAAAGTTTAAAGGGAGAGCGATACTAATTTCATCGTTGTCCACTTCCTCTTCTGCCCTCTTCTGCTCTTCAAAGCGGTTCATTATGACTTGCCAGTCACTTGGGAACTGTTCTTTAAATCTTTTGATGAAGTCTTCTCCAAATGCTTTTACCATCAGTTGCTCAAATTCTTGGTCAACATGAATGCCACCAAAGGTACCGCCAGAGGGACAGTGTTTTTCCATAATATGTCCGTCATCAGCATTAACTTCGTGAACGGTGATGTCTAAAGTTCCACCTGTGGAGCAAAATTGAGTTAATATCTCACCTGTAAATTAGTGTGCTTATCTTTCCTTTCTCCCACTTTCGATACTTTGTGAGAATTACATGACAAAGGCTTCACGTGTGTTTTGAATCCGATTCTATTTATTCTCTTCATGAAAATTTCTTCATTTTATACTTGAACGTCCCATCTCGGCTCTGTAACTGTTAAGAACACTTTGGCCCTTGTGTTGAAGGAGTTACAACTCACCTCCATTATCCACCACCATGTATGGAACTTTTTCTTTGTCCAAAGTGTCCTTCACCAGCTCTTTCCCCTTTTGTCCCTTAAACATATCGAAAGGCAACTTTCTACAATAGTACGAAGCGGCTTCAGGTTCAAGGGCAAGGATGAGTTGGTCAGGATCCTCCGGGCTTGCAATCCCAGCCTTAAAAGAAACAAACGAGTTAGAAACTTTTGAAGTAAGTGAATCTCCCTTCTTTTGCTTTATGTGCCACAATTTAGATAAATTTATAGGTTGTTAGCTGGGTAAGTTAAGTTAATTTGTATATGTTATTTCTTTGTAAAAAATTTTTCCCCTTTGAATCATAGGTTTCATTAAAAAAAGACTGCATCGATGTTTAGAGCATCAACTTTAAATCTAACTTAATACTGCAAAAAAAAGACTTGAAGGTATCAGTTACCTTATAAGCAGCTTTTCTCATAAATTCCTTGGCAGAAATTCGCCATATTGCTGGAATTGTTATCACCCATTGAATCTGTTCAGGCTTGTACATAACTTCTGTGTTTGGGTTGTCCTTTTCTGACCGCAGATGCCGTTCGTTAACGACATCTGTCGCAGTTTTCTTCAGGTATTCAAGGCACTTTGCAAACACATCCAAAGCAGGCCACTTTTTCCCATTCCTGGCTTTTACCTCTGTTCTCTCATTTAGGTCCTAAATAGATTTAATCGAGACAAAAGTCTATAGGTTATTCAAGAATCCAGAGTGATTCGGGCTTCCAGCTAATCCCGGGGGTTTCAGAGCCTTTCACATAAAATCCCTGGGATAAAAGGCTAAAATTAGCCCGAAAAATGCACTTCCAACGAATCTCTCTCACACCAAAAGTTGGAATAAATTATTTTTCCATATTAGTAGTCTCTTGTTCGAACAGAAAATTCCAATTGAGTAAGAACCTAGTGGAATTTTCGACCATTTCAAACCGGAAAAAATCGATCCTGCAAAGTTTCTCATTCGCAAAATGAAAATTCCGCAAAATCTCCCTCTTTGAGCTTTGTAAGTTACGGGGTCGAGCCTTTCCGCACCAGCGAAAAATTTGTTTATTGAGACAAATTTGTGTCATCACCAACATTTTATAAGTGCGGATGGTTTTCCGCGACTTGTCAAATTTTGGCCGCAGAAGACATATCTTCAGACGCGCCGCCAACAAAATTTGTCCTGGGTAAAAACTGTTTGAATGAACAACACCGTGATAAACTTGTCGATCATTTGTCAAAAAAGCCACAGCCAGCTTGTTATTGAACTAAAATCAGTTTACTAAACAGGCAAAAATTGTCTTTTGTTGCAAAACTCGAGGATTCTAAAATTTTTTGTATCATGTAATAACACACAAAATATATTATTATAATATAATATTTTATAATGTATTATAATGAACTTGAAGGATTTAAAATACCTAAGTTTAAAATTCGGGCGTGTTCCGTGTCAATTCTTTGTGTTATTTTACAACAATGACTACCATGAATGAACAATGAGCAGGAAAACCGCATTCATGAAATGCAGTCACCTGCAGCTGTAACTAACAGTCTATAATATGGCACGAAATCGATCAAACGCAAATCTCTTCAAAGCTCAAAGAACCCCTGGTCCAACGTCCTTCGTATGGTTGCACCATTTGTTGATGGCGACGATCATAACATTTCCCTGCAACTAAACGGGGTCTTTTATGGGAATGGAGGAAGATGGAAGGGAGTTATAGTCAGTAGATTATAGTTCTTTGAGCTAACTTGCGAGCGATAGTTAAAGACCTCGAAGAATCTGCCTTTGATAATGTCGCAAAGAAACTAAACAGTAAGACTGGGAAATTCTTGAAGCGAATAAAAGGAGAACAAAACGGCAAAAGGAGAACCAGGAAGAAAGCCGAGACTTGGACGAAGGTATTTCTCTATCTCCAAGAAATCACACAAAAATAAGTATGTGACATCGACACACAAATGAAGGAAAAGCAGAATCAACCACGAAAACAGATACTGAAACTTCAGGCCACGGTGAAAGAGAAAGCAGCAAACTTGTATAAACAACAGATAGACCAGAAGAGGGACAAACACAAAGCCAAGGATTTCTGCGACATAACCGATCGGTAAGAAGGATGGCAACTTTCGAACATACAGTAAGAGCATTACAAAGTTACTTCATATGCTTTATTTGGCTGAGCGATCGATACATATGATCTAAACCTGCGAATGGCCATAGCCAACACATCGCTTAAACGCCTTCGACACGGCCAGTAAAGCAGGGATCTCTTCGTCTGGGATGAAATCGATTTTGAGTTTTTTCTTTTCATAAAAAAAGAACTCTATGTTAGCGTATAGAGTGGTATGTTGCTCGCACCAATCAGATCGCGGCATTAGGGTATGTATTTCGCACCAATCAGATAGTCGTATTAGGGTTTGTATCTCGCACCAATCAGATTGCCGGTATAAGGCATGTATCTCGCACCAATCATATCATAGCATTTGAATATCCTGCACCAGGCGGTGTGCGCACTCTGATTGCGTTACATCATGGTTGTAAAACAAAAAGTGAGTCATTTGCATCCTGTCGCTGTCGAGTGAACATCTCTGGTAGCAGCAAGATAGCGTGAATAAACGTGGAATGTAATGAGGATTCACTGTCTGTTGCCGTTCCATCGAAACTCTTGTTATTCCTCCGTGACAAATTTGTTGTTAGGAGGCAACTGAAGAGATTCAGAAAGAATCGAAACTGCAGCCTTGCCCGAGAATCTATTCATTTGGCAGCAGTCACACTCACAGTCGATGGCTGTTTGAATAATATCAAATTCGCGAGTGATTTAACAGGGAATCGACCCTTGACATGCAAACGTATTACAAAGAGACAGCGACCTTCCAATACGCGAACTACTTTTCATGTCATTCACTTAAAGGTGTAAATACGGGATTCGCGAAAGGAGAAGCCCAAATTCGTCACGCTTAACATTTAACAGAGAAAATAGCGCGCACACATGAAAATATTACCTTTTGTAATACAATCTCATCCGACTTTGCCAAACCTCAAGAACATACAGACAGGGAAATGACAGGAAACTAACTAAAGGAAAAGGAAAGTCGTTATAAGATATCTTAATAACAGCTAAGTTTTCAGGTCAGAAGATTTAAAAGCGCAAGCGAATGGCAGGAGTTGCACAAGCCTATCAACACCTTTTAACGATCGACTGCCTTTTAATTTGCTTTCCGGCTTACCCGGCGTGTCGCCGTGTGCAATGTAGAGTTATTCAGTGGTCAAGTGACTTCTTTCATTGCTCTAATTCAACTGTCCTTCATTCAATGATCTAAAAAGTAGATTTGCCATACAACACTCGCGATTAGCTATTTTGCTTTTACTTAGGAAAGTAGATTTACAACACAATTGGGTATACAATAGTAACGCTGTGTAACGCAACAATAGGCCTTTTCCAGGTCATAATCGGTCTCAAACCGAAAAAGGAACGGCCTAACTTTTACGGAATGTTCAGTCAAAATCTGCCGAATTCTGCTGCTCTCACCGCCATATTGAAATTGAAGCTACCACAATGCAACGCAATCGGAGTGTGCACACCGCCTGATCCTGCACCAATCACAGCGTTTGGGTATTGTTTTATTGTAAATGATGTCATGGATTGCGGGGCTGTGCACAAAGAATGACATCAATTAGAAATTTTGGGCTCATTTGATAAGTGTAATGCTTTGTGGCCTTCGCGAGAGCCTCGTCGATTAAGGTCGAGATTTATCGGGATATGAGAGGTAAGTATCTAAATTTTTAAGTTAAAACGTGTTTTTTCCGCTCATTTACTCACAACGCACACGCCAAACAACTTACATTCCATCACGTATCATGAAAACAACGTCCAAAGGTCAATAAGAACACACTCATTGCACTACATGAACATTAGGCAATTTTGCACGTGCTTGAATTGTATTCCACTGATCAAATTCCGTCTTTGCTCTATCACGTGTCATTTTCTTGTAAACAACCTGCATTTTATCACGTATTCCAACTGCATTGTCCAACCCTACTGAATAAAATTCAAATGGGACTAAATGCTACTGATATTGAGTTTTCCACGTAATTCTCCCGCGTTTAACTTTTTCTACGAATTAAAGTCGCTTTAAGCTACCTTGGACTTAACCAGATTGCGTGTTCATTCCCGATAAAACAACCTGCATTTTATCACGTTTTTCACACACAGAGGGTAAAGTCCAGATAGGCAACAACCAACTAAGGGTCCCTCTTTGAAATATTAGCCTTTTCTCTTGTTCAATGTATCTTCACTTATTCGAGATCGCAATATATCTTTGGTTAGGGTCTATTAGAGATACAACAGAGTTTCAGTTTGCTTTTCATAGTAAAATTACGCGGAATTATATTTTTTTAAGGTAACTAACAGTAGACGAATAATTTTGAGTTCTCTCTGTTGGAGGAACGGCAGTTAGCGTAGTCTCTTCCGCAACCGTTATTTGGTCTCGTCACGCAACGCGCTCTCTCTTAAACGGGAAATAGAGGGTGCTGTTTGACGGGACCAAACAGTGGCTACGAAGGAGACAACAATGAGCGTGGCACAGATGAATTTCATTTTAATTTGGAAGAATTCAGATAATAGAGACAGTAGATCACATAATGTCTGTGTGAGTTCAGATAAATTAGGTCTTTTCTGTCCCTCTGCGATATTTTCGTTTTTTGAAAGTTATGCTCCTTTCGGTGACAAACCCACCCGGCCAAAAAAATAACTCTTGCATGCCACGAATGCCAATGTTTCTCAGATGACGTCAGTTTAGCTTTTAGGATGATCAAGGATCGAAATTATCCGAAACTTTGGTGTCATTGATCACAAAATATGGATAAAAATTAGGATCATTGAACTTAGTATTTCATTGTACATCGTTGTTTTGCATAATTTCACAAGCGAAATAAAGAGGCTTTCACGCACTCATGATGATATCTTCTCTTTCTGGTCGAAGCTGGAGCTCGCTGAGGACATTGATCGTCATTTATGTCGACATATCCTATTCTGAATTGAGCATTTTTACTTTTTTGCCGATGAAACAAAAAATCTGCAACTTCAACACCGAATAAAGAACCATCCTCTGACTCCTCCTAAACGTTAAGTTGGCATAGGCCTGCACAAAATTTTGCTGTGATGACATAAGGAATAATTGCGTCAACATAACTTGCTACTACTGCTTCTGAATGAGTGCGGTGGCCCATCGCTGTCTAAAAAAAAGGGTCATATCGTCTCGTTCTCGTTCGAAAATTTGAAAGGCACGGACGAAATTCAGTCGCTAGTTTGGTAAGAATATTCTATTTCATTCGAAAACTTCGTCGGAGTCACCCAACGAAACGACAAGTAGAACGCAACTGTGTCAGACAACTTGACACTGCTAGTTTCGATTACCCTCCGATGGTCTGAAAACCATTGATAACAAATGTTGACATGAAAGCAATTACTACAGAGGAAAAATTACGAACGGGTTCAGACTTACCTTTTTTGAATGGAGCAGCAGCTTAAATTTATCGAAATACATAAGCTTTTTACAATCCTTCTTTGACATCGCTTGTTTCCCGTACATCTCTACTGCTGCATGTCCAAACTTATATAATTCGCCTTTCTCGGTGAGGAGGAGAGCTGTTGGTGTTTTGCCGTAGCCCATTCCTTGTCCTCTTCCCCACTTTTGAAACACGTAGATATGATCTTGCGATGCGTTGAGGAAAACGTATCCAAATCCACTGTAGGTGGTGCCGAAGTCGATCGCAATAATGACATCTCTTTGAACTGGAGTTTGAGAAGCCATGATTTCCAAAATATCCTTCAAGTTATGAAAACGGAAACAATTATAAAATCGAAAGAAATCGCCTACATCTAGAGAGAAACTTGTCGATGACCACGGAACAAATGTTCCATAATATCATTTTATCCGTCTACATCAGATCAAAGACTCCTTGTCTATTGTTTTTTTAAGCATGATATATGATAATGATTTCTAGAAACGACACACCCAAATTTTATGAAATAAACAACGCATTTCCGATGTGTTGCTGAATTTGTTGAGACTCGATTGTATTACATGGGATCGAATCCCTCGACACCAAGTAAAGAGAGGTTTATTAATCCAGAAGTACGCTACGAGCAGTCTTCTGAGAATCGCGCCGAGCTATTAGACACATCGATGGGCGAAAGATTCAACGTAAGTGACCTCAACTCCTTTCTGGGGTACCACAATACTGCGGGAAGGATCGCTGAGCAGTGGTTTAAGAAGGTGGACGCACTGTCAACAGAGAATCATGACCTAAAAAAGCAAACTGAACAATTAGAAAAACAAAACCACAGTTTGCGACAAAGGTAGGTTGAAGATAATTTTTTTGGATTAGAGGGAACATTCGAGAAAAGGATTATTCGATACATAGAAATCACTTAGTGTCAATTCACGTTTTCGTTGTCTGCAAGATGCAGTTGTACTGATAGCCCATAATTTTAACTCTTCTTCATTAGGATTAGCGACGAATCAGAAATCAATCATCGTTGTTACCAGAGCAGTTCTGAGGACGTTACAAGCAAAAACAAGCGAAGTGACCTTATAAAAAAGTTCAAAAGAATGGATGGTGCTCAACGCAGACAAGCGATCGAGGCGTTCGGAAAGACGGATGAAAGGAATGACCTCTGGTACAGAAAGGATGTGACATGCCGCATATTTGTGGTAATAATAATCAGTAAATTAACCAAAGATCATTTAATTATTTACAATCTTTAACTTTGCGAAGTCAAGCCTCTAAACTATGCCGTACTTCTGTATATTGTTTAAATTTTTTGCCAAGTATGAATTCAAGCCAGAAGTACCAGGGTAAGAGTATCGGATAACATCGTTCAAAACGAAAGCCATGAATGATAATTCATTTAAAAAGAACACTTGTCTCCATTTTAACGAAAGATGTATTTTTTTTTCTACTCTCGATCCAATAAGTAGATCGAGATACAGCTTGGAAAAATCGACCGTCAATTTGACAACTCACTTGTCATAAAATTATGTTGACTATAATTGATTCGAATATTCTCGTAGATTTTCGTTCTTCTTTCAAATATCCTCAAAGTCGTTGCCGCAAAGATATATTCGCGTAAGTTACCAGCCCTCGTTTCCTGGAGGGAGACTGACGTTTCTACAATTACAGTGTCGAGAGAACTGTCGCCAAGATAGTGCATATTAGTTCTCCAGAAGAGATATTTTTCTGTCGCGTTAGGAAGAGTTGATGGGCTTGTTTACATTTTGTTTCAATATCTAGTATGCCGCTGTCAGTCAAAGAGTATATCACAAGGGAGCGAGCATCTTGTGTTAAAATTGAAATGATGTTATTTTCCCAGGTGGCACATGATGTTGCAAAATCAACAAAATCTGCATTCTCCAGAAGTGTTTTGCCAAAATTTTTCCAATGTGCACCATCCTTAGGTATTATTCACCAAACGAAAGGATCTAATTCCCCAGAGGTAAATCAGTTAAAAATCTGTTAGATACACTATGATTACAATTATCATGTTTGTGGCCAAACATGAGAAGCTTTTCCCATAATGTTAGTGACGATGATGAAGATAAAAATTCTTATTGGTAGTAGTATTATTATTGCCATTACTATCATTCTGCTTAATATTTTTCATATGTAGTACAGTCGTTTGAAGTGAATTCATTCTGGCTGAGTATGATGAGACAATTTATGGCAAATCCTAATCAAATCAACCTCAGTTAAGATAGCGAGACTAAAACTGACTGAAACTTAGCGTAGGTTATTCACTTTGACTATGACAGGATATCTTATTCAGTGTTTCAATAAAAAACTTTCATGCAAGATTCTCCTCAAAAAGCTAAATCTATATATCTTTAGAGTTTTTTTTTTTTGACCCCATAGGCATCAGAGCTTTTTGAGAGAGGTATGAAGCAATCTCTTTCAAGGGAAATGGAGTCCCTACTTTTAGGGGAGTCCTTCCAGGTCGCTTGTTCTTCTGTACTTAAGGAAATGGCAGTCAGCTGTGACTTAACAGCCCTGGAAGAGGTAATTCCATATCAGTTCAGTTGAGCAGAATTCTAGTTGGACTAAAAGAATCAACCAAAATAATTAGGAAAATAGATTATATTTTTCTACAGCCAAGTGGTTGCCCAATATTTCCATGATTTTCGAGTTTATTCTTCTTTCACAGAAAACGCTTGCAGAGTTGAAGAAATTTCGTGATCAATGGATAAAAGATGATCCGTTGCTGCCTTATCTAGACGACGATATTTTATCCAAAATGAAGAATTTCATCACAGAATGCGTACAGATTTCCTGGAGAATGGTAAACCAGCTTCCACCAATAAAGATTGTGCTGGCAAATAAAATGCATGGCGAAAGATTTGAGGAATTCTTTGAAAAAGAAGAAGAAGAACTTAAAGAAAAGGTGCCAGCCATGACTATTTGTGTCTGGCCAGCTCTAACTGACTCCAAGGGCAACGAGGTACTTGCCAAAGGAAAGGCGGCTATAATTCCAAGGCGCCAAACACATACGTCCGTTTGAATTCGTGGACTTTTTTCTTCTTCTTTTTTTTTTTTGCACACCAGTTATTAAGAGCATCTTCGCTAATGGCTGAAGTTTAAGGGATCTCAGGACCTTTTAGAGCAGCTTACATAGTTAACTTCAAAAGGCATGTAAAAATCAATGTAAATTGTAGTATTCGATACATTAACTCGGTTGAGTTGCGTACTCAGTCAACCAAGGCAAAAATGGATAGGCTAAAGCTAATCACACGATGAAGAACTTATTGTTCTGACACAATAAGCGCCAGTAAAATGAAGAGCAATGATTGACATTTGACTGTCTAAGGATAGAAAACAGTGACAAACATCTTTTCGCAAGTCTGTCATATTTTTGCTTGTCTCTCAGTTAGGGGGATACCTCATTATTACTTACATAGGAAAGGTTCATGGCCGCTAGTTTATGTCGTAAATAATGTTGTATTAGACGAGCAATATGAGGTCACAAGTTAGCAAATCGTAAGAAAAACAATTAAACTTTATTCCTATTGAAAAACCGTAACATGGATGACAATACTGTTTTACTTTTTTAAAAAGGTACATTCAATTTTTTTATATGTGATCTAAATTCTCATAGCCGATTCTTTATCAGCCAAGTTATTAGAATTGAACGACTTGGTAAAAGAGAGCACGATTTTTTCCTGTAGCTATATGCTTGTTATCTTTTGCTTAACAAAGTGTCAGGAAACTGTATATCAACAGAACTGGAAAACAACTCTCACTTCTAGTTCTAATGCAACACTAGTAATGCAATTAATCTGTGAAAAGGATTAAAGCGATTTACTCCGCATCAGACTGAACTCACTGCTTTGATCAATATAGCTATAGCCTTTTTTTTTTCTTTTTCAATCTATAAGTCTTTCGATTCTGGAAGCTGAGAGATACCTCAATTACTTATTTGTGAAGTGGATTACTAATTTATTTATCCTTTTTTTTTTCAGTGCCTTTGGTATATTGTTCTCGAGAATTTTCGATTTTGCACAACCCATACGGCTATTGTTGATGTATCATCGGGATGCATATAAGAGTGGGCTTAGGACCAGATTAGACCTGACTAGATTAGGTTAGACCTGACAAACTGAGACTGAACTGCTCAGGCAGATTAATCATTTTCTAAATTTCAGCCACTAGCCGGCAAGAATTACTTTAAAAACGAGAAACGTTGATGAAAGGCCGGTTAATTAGACTGATCTTGTCGTTGAGTTCTAAACAATTAAGAGAGCCTACAGAAAACTGACTAACGGATCAAAGTCACACTCGTTTTTTTTTCATTGTGAGGTCGTCAGCTCCAACTAAAAAGTCCACACAGAAAGGAATGCTTTATGTGTACCGAAGATAATTACACTTAGAGTTAAAATTGTGTTAACGTGGCATTAGTTATTGAGGGCTTTGAAAGCAGTCTGTGCAAAACTAGAGACGGTACCTACAGCTCCCAACTTTCAAATGTTATAAAAATCTATCATGAATTAATTTTAAAGGCTACCAACCTCCTAACCTGCCAAAAACATCTAAAAAATTACTGTTTAATTCTGTTGCTTTTAAAACAAACAACAACAAAGAAAAAAACAAAACACACAGGAAACTCTTGAGATTAAAATTGGGCACCAAGAGAAAATAACGAGACCATTCTATTCTCTTGTCGGGTGTCTAATTAGTGTTAGTAACAGTGACTGTTAATCAAACACTGGTTATGGATCATTTCGCTCCATTCTTCTTTCTCAAGTGGCTTCCTGCAGGCGCACCTGATCTTCCCAAATCTTCTCAAATGATGGGGAGGGTCTGAGTTCGAGACTGGTTTCAGGCGACACATTGACGCTTGGTAAGAGAATGATGGGTAACTTACGGTATGTGAATCACGCTCCCTTATGTCCTATGGTTGGGTTTAAAAAGAGTTTTAGTCACTCTTAATTGGTCATTTTTCTATTTGCATTACTCCACAATCTTCTTTCAACATTCCGCAATCTTTTTGATATTTTCTATGACCTGCGATTGACAAATTATTCCTGGGACACCGTGAAGACAGAGACAGTATTTTCTCCATGCTGCTCTTAAAATATCACAGTAGTTCATTTTCCAAGACTTTCCACGTCCCGCGTATATAAGTTACATGACGTCCTAGGCTTGGAAAATAACATAACAGTTCGAAAGAAGCAAGAGCAAGTAACGTGCGAAGAGAACCAGTAACACCGTAAGAAGAGTGAACATGAAATAAATTGCAAACATAAGTTGTCTGGTTTGTTAAAGATGATTTGTGTTTCGATTTTGAGCTACAAAAGTCCTGGCGCTTTTTGGGAAAAATCGCGACAATTAATAAATTGGAAAATAATTGCCGATTGTATACTCACTTCACAACGTGCACGGTTATGGAAAGTAAAGTTTGATAAGGAGAGTTTCCTGTGTGTCTTGTTTTTTTTTTTTTTGTTTTTTTTTTGTCGTGGTAGGATCTGCACATCAGGAATGCAATCTTAAGCTCAAACTTGATATGAAAAAAATGAAGATTCCAGTGGTTTTCCACAATTTGAGAGGATATGACAGCCATTTCATCACTGATGCAAAATATTGGTGAGATTGCGAGAAAAAATAAAATGGAGATCAGCGCTATCCCAATTGATATGTAGAAATATATGGCATTTATGCTTGGAAAAAATTTGGCGTTTATTGATAGTTTCCTCTTTATGTCAAACAGTTTAGCACAGCTTGATGATAATTTGCATAATGATTCTTTTAAATATACCGGTCAAACATTCAAGAAGGATCGACAATTCCAGTTGATGAAACAGAAAGGTGTTTATCTGTTTGATTATATGGATAACTCTGAAAGGTTTAAGGAAACACAGCTTCCACCTAAAAAGGCCTTTTATAGTATCTTGAATAATGAGCACATTACAGATGCAGAATACAAACATGCACAAAATGTTTGGAAGACATTCAAATTGATAAATATGGGGTTTATCGTGATCTTTATTTGGCATCTGATGTGTTGTTGTTGGCTGATGGGTTTCAGAACTTCAGAACAGAAGCGTAGAAATGCTTATAAAATACTGATGGCGATCAATATGGTAGTTTATATATCAATGCGCCGCGATTAATGAATGAGATGGTTATTAAAGCGCATGAAGGAGGTCAGATAGTGCATGAAGAGAACGGGGACCAAAGTGTGATCGACCTGCTGTACAAACGACATAATCCACAGAAAAGATATAGTCCAAAAGCTATCGAGATATTCAATAACCTCAACATGCTTGCCAATATGCCAAAACACGGATCGTCAGGCATAGAACAGTTCACAAATGCCAGAGTCATCTAATAGACACCAGAAGATCTGATGAAACGTCTGACATTGTTGACTGGCACACGACGTGCAGGTAATAACAACACGCAACTGCAGAATGAAGTCTGGTATATACTTGACCATCTTATCAAACTTCAAGTCATAACTAAATGAAAATAATGCGTATGTCAAACGACACCTGCAATAAAATTATCTAATCCTATAATATAATTATGGCGATACCAATATTTTTTAATTCCAACGATGGGATAAACAATTCCAAAGTTCATGATTTTACCATTACTTTTGAGCTAGCGTTTAAAATGGAGAAAAACACAAGATACAGTGTTGCCCTTGATTCTATCGGTATGAGTTATAGTTAGTAAAACATATCACCAGCTTTCAACAACAACACTTTTGAATACAGCAATGATAACGGTACAACATGGTACACAATAACAGTGCCGAGTGGTAATTTTCCTCACTCTGATATCAATGGTTACATACAACAAATACTCAAATCAAAGGGCAATTCAAAACAGGAATCTTTTTTCAGCTTGTTGCCTCATTTTTCAAAGTGTTGATATCACTTGAAAGTAATTTTCAAGTTGACCTGAGAGGTGGTGAAATCTGATGCATTGCTTAGTTTTGATAAAAAGATAATCACAGTTACATCTTATGCTGACAATCTTCCGAATATCACACGACCAGTTGACACATTATTGGCAAAAACAAATATCGTATCCGACAGCCTTGTGTCAGGTGGGTTCTAATGTACTTTATCGGTTTGGCGTTGATAATCTACCGCTCAGTTATCCATTTCGTATTGAACCAAAAAGATTGTTGTTTAATAAGGTCAACACAAACACAATCAGAAATTTGCATATCTATTTGACTGATGCATTTGTCGGACCTGTTGATTTGAACAACGTTGAAATGTGTCTCACGTTGGTTTTGCGTAATGATGGAGCAGAATAATGTACTGTTGTAATATATACGACGTCGTGTAGAGATAGAGAAGCAGGTTTGAGTACCTATTGGGATGTAAAAACAGGTGAAGGATTATTTGATGTTGCTTCCAAAGTTATATCAGAGATAGCATCAAAAGTTACTGGAAAAGTAGCTCAAGTTATAGAAACAAAGGCTGTAACAAAAGCTGCAGAAAAAGGTGCTGAAAGATTTGTGAAGAAACACGTAAGCTTGTTGGTGAGAAGATGTATAATAAGTTCAGGAAAAAGAAATGAACAGCAGTTGCAGAATACACCTTCGGTTGGAAATGAGTAAAATACACTTCCACGATAATTTGACAGACTCTTAAACATGTGCACTATGTGGATACAAATACAGGTGCTATTGCTAATGAATAAACTTTTAAACGAGCAAAGCATGTGAGGAATGATGCTAATGATGCTTTGGAAGCCTGCGATGTGATATTCAACGTGAATAATAATTATAAAGCAGGATTCTACACAAGGTAGAAAGTATTAGAGGCATCAACTTTTGTTGCACCTGCTTATGTCATCACACTACTTAACAGATTTGGATTCTTCTAGAGTTTTACCAGTGAGATCAGTCCCAATGGAAAGGTCAGCATTGATGTGACACTTAAAGTGTTGACAGTGTTATTTTCAGAGACAATACACCAGCAGAAGGAAGATACATTATTAAATGGTTTTTTTTCTGTGGGTTCCAAAAATGACTTTCAATGCAAAAGGTGAGCAAGTGTTTTTGCAGAACTATTTGAAACTTTATAAATGGAGCTACATGAAAGAACGTATTTAGATCAGCCCAACAACCCAACAGCAGGTAGGCGGAACATTCAAACTGACATGAAGCATCGGAAAACCACTTGCGTTCATATGGGTGCTCAATACAGCTAACCTGGATTGTCAGGAGCAGAAAACGTTTGTTTAATACATGAAATGAAATGAAACTTCATCTTGATTCAAGTAAAAGGTTTTATAGCAGTCGTGTAGGTCTTAATATGTACTCTCTTCCAACTGGTGAATATGCTGTCGTTTACGAACTGTATTTCCCATCATCAATTGATATTTCTAAAGTCCAAATATCTGCTGTCGGTAGTGTTGAGACAGTTTCAAGAGTGTCGGCTAATGTATTCAGTGATCATAGCCGAAGTATTATCCATACTCATAGGTATAATAATGTAACTCCAAATTATCTCATGATTGATATGCATCTAGAAAACAAATCAAGTATTAGTTACACACAAGATTTACAAATATTTGTTGTTGTATATGGTGTTTCAGTATATCAAAATAATGTTGCAACACGTGTGTGCGATAACGTTTATGAAATAGTCAATAGCACTGTTAAATTTCAAACACCTGTGGAAATGACAGGTGAGTTGATAGCGCTTGAGCACTTGATGCTGTCTGTGATAATAATCCAATTACAAAGATGATAGGACAACCAATGTTTCTATTACTGTAGGGCCTTCCACATAAAAATGCAAAAATAGTACAATCTGGTACGATTATAAATAGTATGGTGTCAGATAGTAATCATTTCAATGTTGATTCAAACCGTTTTTCAGAAATTCAGGGAGATGGCTATTATGAGATTCATTTAAAAGACGCTTACAAAGGTTCCGTAACTTCCATAAATCTGATTGCACAAAAACCTGGCAGTTGTTTTGTAGCCACATTAATTGCAAAATATGAATACACCAGTAGTAAATTGGTCAATATACATGTCTTTTGTATCGCATCATTGACAAAAGGAGAAAAAATAAGCATTTCTTTGCTTCAAACGGACAATTAGATGGAGGTGACTATTCAAATATTCTGGTTAGAAAACTACAAATAACTTTATGTATTAACATATGGGTTGGCATAATGGTGATAATCATTTAGCAAGCATGGATGGTGAACAAGGACCGCCAGGTTTGCCAGGAGTGAAAGGAGAAAGTAGTGATACTGGACTTGTTGGACTGCAAGACCCTCAAGGTATACAGGAACCAAACGTTGACGAAGGTGGTAAGGGAGACCAAGGTATCAAGGGTGACAGAGGATTGCAAGGGGCGAAAGGTAACAAGGGAGATATCGGACCCCAGGGTTAACAAGATAATGCTGGACCACAGGGACCAAGAGGAAATACTAGTGTACAAGGCCCCAAAGGCAATACTGGAAACACTGGACTACAGGGAAATACTGGTTCACAAGGACCTGTAGTAGCTTCGCAAGAGAAGAAAACACACGAGGCTCCAGGAACACAAAAATTCTATTAGCGAGATGGCCGACTCTCAAAAACACATGGTTGCAAAGGTCACGTGACATAAACGTCGCTGCCACTACACTACATCCCCCTTCACTTAATACAAAACTCCCTATCACGCAGATAGCTGATGCCCTAATAATCAGTGTCCAATGTCCAGAAATTACAAACACATTGTCAACTACTTAGATCTGCATCGGATGTTTAGGGGTTAAAGCACAAAAGGACAAAAAGTCATTCATCCATGCTGGAGGGTGCCTAACACGAGTTAGCCGTGAAGGAAGGGGCTTGCTATGAATTCAGGAGGTAGGGTAAGCTGTTTATCAATATGGGGAACACTAGCATCACAGATCTTCTGGATCCATGATCAAGATAGATTACAGATAGTAATGCGGCTGTCTTAACCGCTTATTTGAAGCATGATGGATCCCAAGCAATGACAGGAAACCTTAATTTAGGAAATAATAAGGTTGTAAATGTAGATACACCCACAAGTAGTGCAGATGCAACAAATAAAAAATATGTAGACGCACATGTGAATGCATTAGTCAAACTTGATGGGTCAAAATCCATGACTGGAAACCTTGAAATGAACCTTAAAAAAGTCATCAACTTTAAGGATCCAGTTAACTCAAGTAATGCTGCAACAAAATCCTATGTTGATTTAAAAAATACATTAAAAGCCTTCTCTGAAACCAAAAACTTCAAAAGAAAGATTGACATGTGTAGGTTTGCCTTCACATCATATGAAAAATATTGAATAAATTAACGTCCTTCATGAGAGGCAAAATAATTGAAAATGATAAATTCTTGGACAATTTGAAGGTCGTTGATGATAAAATCATCGATATGTGCCCATCGTTTGACAAGTTTGAGAAAGAATACCGTCAGAAGTTCATCTAAAAATCTTCCTTATAACATGACCTTTCTCCCGCATAACTTTTTTCCAGAACTGTTCGTACCTTTTTAATGTTCTTTTTGATTTGGTTGTGTCAATCTCAACCTCAAGATTCATCATGGGAAATAACTGTTTTATAATGAGCCTCATATTTACCATTCTTTTTCTTTCTGTTTTTATACCATTAAGCACTTCAAATACTCTGTTCACTTTTCCTATAACGCTTGGTTCTACATCCAAACTTTACCTTTTTTCAAAGGCCGCAATTACCTTTAATATATAGTACTTGCAGTGATAGACAGACTTTTAGTGAAATTTATATTTATTCTAAAGAAAGTTAAAAAATTCTGACGCTGGATTGTATCCTTCTATTGCATAGCACTTGATGGAAATCAACACATCGTCAGTATTACAGATTTCCATTTGATCGCAACATTGATACTTTTCTTTCTTTTTATCAGTCAAAACTTCATCACAAAATAAACACTGTTCATGGTTCATATCAATAAGACCAAGATGAATATCATGATCACACATACTATATGGTTGGTTTATTTTTCTCTCATTTTTATGAAGCGATTTGTTTTTAAACCTTTTTTCTGAAAATTTAGGTCTTGAGATGGTCTTAAATGACCAAAATTTTCTCTGGGTATTAAAAAAATTGCAATTTTGATTTTGATGTATTAAAAGCCAAAAATTGAAACCGAGAAAATTTACACGCTTCTCTGTGACATGAGTCTAACTTGAACGAGAAAACAGCGCAGCATGTAAATTATTACTTTACTACATACGACTCAGTCGCCTTATTAAGGAGGTCAGTCGATGAAAGCTCCTCTTAATATTCTTTCAACCTTTTTTGACAGGAATGTTCGGGTGTCACCAAACTGCGGATCAGCAGAACATAAAACCTAATGAAATAAAATAAAAGCTAACGCTACCTCAACACTATTCGAAATTTCGTTTCCAGGTGTAAGGAAGACAACGTTAAAAGAGAAATATATTTTTTATTTACTTTGATGTCCAACCACAGGACACCCAAGCTCACACAGTGAGCCTCTGTTAGCATGCAAATCTGTTCACGTTACGTAATGGGTGAAGTCAGGAGCACTGGGCTCCTGGTGAAATATAGGGATTTGCACGGAAATGAACATTTGCGCTCTCAACCTTTAAAAGATCTGGGCTAGTCTTGAGTAAAGGTAAATTTACCCCGCTCAAGTGGTTGTTCTTTTGCATCGTGTGAATTTCTTGGGCTGATTTATTAGTTCATTTGCTCCCAAGATACCTCTGTGAGTAACGCCAACCAAACCACAGGCGGCCCAAGCTTCAGCTGTGAGATGATCATCTTACGCAATAACGGTCATGGCGGAATTATAAGAGTTTGTATGGGCATATTTACGACCGCCCTCAGGAATAAAAAAAAATACGTCAAATTCTCAAAAAAAATACCTCACCTCGCTTCCACAGCGTATTGCTTGGGCTCTTTTCATCAAAGTAAGCGGTCAGATAACAAGCACTACGCTGTGGAAGCGAGGTGAGGTATTTTTTTTGAGAATTTGACGTATTTTTTTATTCCTTAGAGGGCTCGTAAATATTCCCATACAAACTCTTAAAATTCCGCCATGACCGTTATTGCGTAAGATGATCATCTCACAGCTGGAGCTTGGGCCGCCTGTGACCAAACGAATCTACTGAAAGCAAAACGCTCTGATCTCGAGAGTCCGAACGCCCTGATCACCCGGAAATTCTACAGGCATGTAACCGAAGTCACGCGTAATTGGATTCATCATTGCTTTAAAAACATCCAAACGCCTACGGTACTAATAATAAATAGGAAAATACATATTAGAGAACGAAAACTTACAAATAAGCTCACACTAAAGAAAAATATTTACCTTAATGATGAATAGCTTTACAAGCAAAAAACGACGACGTTACTTCTTTAAAAGTGGACATAAAAATTGATCCAGAGGACTTAATTTGTACACAAAACCTAACAATTTACTCGACATAATTACGTAACATCACACAACGGTATAAACATCAACCACGAGTACAAGATACAACTAAAGAAATGTAAAGACACTCGTAAACACAATACAAACAGAAAACAATATGACGATATTAAAGGGAGTAGGTTTCTTAAGAAACTATGGTGCTGCGTCGATGGGAGAGTCTAACAGGGTAATTTAGTATTATCAACTCAGTTAAGAATTGTAAATATGACAATAAGTTTCGCGATAATAATGCATCACAAGTGATGATGTTACTCTACGCTCGTGTTCCTCATTCCAGCGTCATGTACAATGAAGCGGAATTGAAGGCCTCTAATTCCAGCATAAAGGTTTGCTTAGAGCCTTCGGATGAGGCTTTACTCGGATATCGCGGTACCCAAACCGTTAGAGCTTTCAAATTATGGTTCAATTATTAACACTAGGAGTAGGTGACAGCTGATTGCTCCTCATGACATTACATACCGCCATGACCGTTGAATGCTACCACTGTTAAAGTTTGACGTCAAGCACAATTAAAACGTATTTTTCTTTTGAATATTCTTTACACCCGAAAACGAACTTTCAAACAGTTTTGAGGTCTTTTCTGGTTTTATTTCATTGCTATTCTTTTGCAAAAAATATAGGGTTCCGTAGCTTCCGGAGGTTCTGTAGCCTGCTGATCCGCAATTTAGTAATACCCAGAATGTTCCGCAATAATTCTCAATCAGTTATCATAAATTCTAGCATGCATCTAGAAAGTTTACAACATATTAAGTCATATTAGTGGTTGCGTTGAAAAATGCAAGCGGAAGGAATATAAGTTACCCCAAGTAAGAGTGAGAGTTGTTCATGAACTTTTGTCGCGATTAAATCTATTTAGGACCTAAATGAGAGAACAGAGGTAAAAGCCAGGAATGGGAAAAAGTGGCCTGCTTTGGGTGTGTTTGCAAAGTGCCTTGAATACCTGAAGAAAACTGCGACAGATGTCGTTAATGAACGGCATCTGCGGTCAGAAAAGGACAACCCAAACACAGAAGTTATGTACAAGCCTGAACAGATTCAATGGGTGATAACAATTCCAGCAATATGGCAAATTTCTGCTAAGGAATTTATGAGAAAAGCTGCCTATAAGGTAACTGATACCTTCGATGCAGTCTTTTTTCAAAATATCGAAAGTGGGAGAAGGGAAAGATCAGCACGCTATTTTACAGGTGAGATATTAACTCAATTTTGCTCCACAGGAGGAACTTTAGATATCACCGTTCACGAAGTTAATGCTGATGACGGACATATCATGAAAAAACACTGTCCCTTTGGTGGTACCTTTGGTGGCATTCATGTTTGCCAAGAATTTGAGCAACTGATGATGAAAGCATTTGGAGATGACTTCATCAGAAGATTTCAAGAACAGTTCCCGAATGACTGGCAAGTCATAATGAACCGCTTTGAGGAACAGAAGAGGGCAGAAGAGGAAGTGGACAACGATGAAATTAGTATCGCTCTCCCTTTAAACTTTATAAAGTCTTGTTATCACGACATTGAAGAAGATGATGATGCTATCAATGAGAGAATTCGGCGATCTTGTCCTGAAAATGTGTGTGTTAGCAGCGACTATTTGAACATAACCATGGGAATGCTTGGCAACCTGCACCGTCCAATTGTGACCAAGATTGCGGAGCAGATGAAAAGCTTGCTCGCTAAGCAAAGTCTTCAAGATGTGAAGACAATTTTTCTCGTCGGTGGTTTTTCTGAAGCTCATTTTTTAAGGAAGGAAATTTCCCGTTGCTTTCCTGACAAACGCATTCTTGTACCACCAGATCCCCAACTCGCCATTATCCGTGGTGCTGTAGAGTTTGCCCAAGAACCGAGTTTACTTCGAGCCAGGGTCATGGGTAAGACATATGGTTTAGATGTCTGGTGTGTGTTCGATCCTGACAAACATCCGCCCGAGAAACGAGTTGTTTTTCGAGAGGAAGTGTACTGTCGTGACATTTTTAGAACCCTAGCCAAGAAAGGGGAACGAATAGACATTGACGAGAAAAGAACGTACAATTTTTGTCCCCTCAATCCGGATTCGACAGCATTATCTTTCGAGTTTTATAGCACAGCCGAAGATGACGCTGACTTTATCTCCGATCCCGGAGTAGTAAGTGAAAACGTCGAAATTTCAATTTCCAGTCCTAATACTGCTAAGGGATGTGACCGAACATTAAGGTTGGAAGTAAAGTTTGGCGGCACGGAAACCAACGTTCAAGTCGTCGATGTCGAGTCAGGTAATGTTAAAATGGCATGTCTTCAGTTTGTTTCCACATCTGTGCTTCACTCCCGTTTTCATTAGACCTATGCTGAGTTGGATCCATGTAGGCTAATCAATATTCTGATTTCAGAGACTTATTAACCCACTTCTATAATCGAAGGAACAATGACTGGCTTAAGGCCGAAATTTTAGTCATCAAGGGAGGAGGCAAAAGTCAATTTTCGAACTTTTAAACGGCATGTGGCTCCAGCATTGCCATGTCGTGGAAGCGCTTAAATCGTGAGCCAAAGGTCCGACCTGGGTGGCTATAAACAGGCGTGGCTTGGTACCTGAAATTGATTGCCTCCCAACGATCGGGGTCTTTACCATGTTTTAATACGTTAGATATGAATTATCTGTAATACAGATTTCTCGGTCCCGTTAGTCTCTATGCCTTAAACACAACTGAGAGTAAATCGATCCTATTTTAGTGAACATTTTTGTCACCTTACATTGCATGTGATATTTGGAAACACTTATTTAGGTAACGCCGCTGAGATCGATTCACATAGTTAAAGTCGTTTTTTAGTAGACGGCCCTTAAGGGAACACGTATATTTTCGCAAAAAAATGAAGTTAAATGCAATACTTTTAAATATTTGATTAGCTCAACTCATGCACCATTTACAATCATGTGTAAGAGTCACACAACTAGGTTAAATGTAATATCAAAACAGTGCTGATTGCTATCTGCAGTCAAGTTGGTTATTTTTCACTATATATTGAGTAGTATGTTTTAGTCTGGTATATCTTTGTTCGCGGTTAAGAATACTGCATAACACCACATATTTTCTTCGGAAGATGGGCTCGTATAGGATGTCCTTCGATACGAAATTGTTAGAAAGGAATTTTTTTAATGCGAGCAAAACCCAAGCTCTATTACTCGATTTTAGGTCGAAATAATAGCATAACATTACGGACGAAACAGTTATAGAAAGCAATGCCAAGAACAAATAACTCCGAAGAGCTATATCCATTGTAAATTTGAACTAGATGTTACAGACAAATACATATTTTTAGAATGAAGTTCGGATATAACGTGAGCTTTCATTGGTTGAAAGAGCGTGCTCTATCAGAGTACAAAGCAAAGAGCTGAGCTAAAGCTGTCACGCCATCTGATGCAAACCTCCGAAGTTACATTGGCCGCGTTTCCAGTGAACAACTAAGAGTTTTCCGCGATATCCTTTCTGATGCGTTGAGTGGAAGGCCACATCATACACAGCCGCCGAGTTTTACGGCGCCGTCGTCCCGAGCAATCTTCATGTTCCGGTGAATTTGGCTGTCGTGCATTCATATAACACTCGCCTTGCGCAGTCTCTGTTCTAGAGACTTTTAGATTCTGTAGTAGAGACTAAAAAACTTCAGGCAAAAGTGTTAAATTCGACCTGCCGAACTATTTCAGTTTGCAAAGTATTGCAGATTGTGGACTTTGACGTTTTGTGAACTTTGATGGTTTGACATTTTTGACAGCTCTGGTCTTGTTCAACCGCTCAGATTATTTGGACTATTCTAACAAGGATTCTGATCAGCTTATTGTAACGTGCTTGATGAGAGTACAGAGCATGGTGACAAAGCTGTTGTTTGCTTTGCAAATAAAGTTTGTTTTGAAAGTTGAAAGTAATGCGTGGGCAATTTTTTGTTATAAAAAAAATAGAGACTTGACTGTACTCTCTTCTGTTGTAAAGCACTTAGGAAGCGGCTAGAGCACTCAAGAAGTGCTTCTTTCGTGCTTTAGCCGTTTCCTGCGTGCTTTACAACAGAAGAGAGCATAAAGATGGCATGGACAATATGTCTCTTGTTAAAAGTTGCGTTACATGTAAAACAGACACAAACAAACAACAAATAGTAACACAGTCAATCACAAAAAGTGTGCGAGTGTTTGCCTCTTATCCTTAAAATGTGAAACAGTATCTCACCTTTTGTGAAACTAAACATAACTTGACGTAGTCGAGATGGAGTTGAGTTTGATAGGGCAGCCGTTCGACCGACATCAAGGTAACAAATTTCGAATCAAAAAGCACAGAAACTAAACTGTACGCCGATGGTCCGCTGAGGGATCTTCATCGAAAGTGACGACATCGTAAGACAAACGACATTACGAGTGCATTTACCGGGATGAAGAATTGTTTCATTTGATCGTTTAGGTTCTGTTCTAACACATTGGCAGCTTACAATTTTTTCCCGCGCGAACCAACGCGCACCGTTCTGACCACCGGTCTAATGCTTTCCCGCGCTTTTTATCGGTGGTTACCGCTCACTATCGCCAATTGAATTATGGAACGAAATATCTCCACATGCAGTTCTATTGCTATCGTGTAAAATTCTGCGCAGGCACGGAAAGAAAAAGACAAAACAAAAAACAAAACGAAACAAAAAACAAAACAAAACAAAGATAAAAAAAAACCCACAACTACAAAAGCAAAAAAAAATTTTTTTCGTAACCCAATTTCCGATAGGTATATTGGTATTCGGCTAATTCAGTGCAACTGGAACCAAAGAGTTGTAAACAAATCTCTTTTACTCGACATACTTAGATATTACTTAGTTATGCACTTTAAAATTTAATGTTGATATTTGTAATTTAAAAGTACAGCCTATTGATAGAATTTCTTCAACATAATTACATCGGAAGAGAATATGTCTGGTGATATGATACACGATAAAAACACAAATGTTTACTACATAACAATCGAGGTAATGATTGGACACCAAAAGCTTCTCTCTTCCGTGGTCCAAACAACGTGGAAGAAATTTTTCACTTTCGCGTAATGAGCCATAATGAGAACTGGTAGTAGTTAAAGTGAAGTTTGAAGCGATTTAAGTATTAAGGTAACAAATATTAAAAAAGATTATCATCAGAATTAATAAATACGCGTTCTTGCGCAGAACTAAAGAAAACTTTCTACAACGATGAAAATGACAGAGGTTGAAATATTCATTGTTAAAGTTGACTAAAATTAATGTAGGAAAAGTTGTCGGTCATTACAATGTCACATGATATCGATATGTTACCGACTTCTTTCCGAACCCTCTTGCTATTTTCCTTTAGGAAAAATAGCCGAAAACTCTTCGGGTATACGTCCTCTGCTGGGGCCAGCACTCAAAAATATAAATACGTATCATCCCTTGAAAATAAATTTAAAAAAATCGAATTTTCTCAGTCAACATCAAGCAAACAGTAGCGATATTTCGATAGTGAAAATCAAAATTGGTTTTTTGGTCCGTTGGTTCTGTAAATTGACGCATTTCATGGATTTTTAAGTTATCACAACTAGCTGACAGTTGCGAGTTCTCTTGCGTTCGACTTCTCTGTGGTGGACTGAGTGATGGAAAGTTACTTTTGAAGTTCTCCAGGAACATTTGTACATAGGATGAGGTTTAAAAACATCAGAGATTCCGGACGTCTAAAACGCACAGCTGTTAGGAAAATAGAAGAAAATCATTAAATTGATTGAAAGAAAACTGCCAATCCAAACCAACTCATGATTAGTCTTATAGAACTACCGCTTCGTGGCATCCAATTTTGTTTTTTATCATATCCACTTTGAAATCACAATCTGATTTCGCAATCCTTGCAATCTGATTGGCACTCAGCAGTGCGATTTGTTCACATATGACACTGTCTTTCTTCAAAACAACCAATCACATTTGAAGACTTGTCTAAAGTAACCAAATAAATTTCAGGTAAAAGAAAGACAAAGAAGCCATTGTGTGACGTAACTGAACTTCGTTTTGTGCAATTTTAGTCTGAAATCATACTTGTGAATTCAAATGGAACTCGCGCCGCGCTCTCATTCGATTTGAAATATATGGTGCATTTGAACTCACACCAAATTGCACTGTTACTTAGTTCAATTGCCTTCATCAATCATGGTAAAATTACAGACTGTAACAGAGCTTCAATCGCTAAGGTACACGAGCTGATAAACAGAGCTGAATGAACTGATCATTAGAAAATGTAATATTCGGAGTTTTAAATTTGATAAATCACCATTAAATACCATTGGATATCCCACCGTATTGTCCTGCTAACTCACCGTATTGTCTGAAAAGCACGCAGCTACTTTGTCTCCTCTTGGACTCCACTGTACTTCAAATACACCCCCATTACCATGGTAACTATGAACTAGCGTGCCAGTCTAAAGAAAAATGAAAATAATGTATTAATAAACATATGCTACTTATCTGCGACTGGCTGACATCCAGGTTCGATTTTCAGACAAGAATAAAAAAAGGCGCGGTTTGTGAAAAGAACACGCGAGGAACTCCTAACTTTTCCTGGCGTGTCTAAGGTGCGTCCTTGTCCTATTCCCATCACCCGTTTGCGTGTCTCCTCGTTTACGCGCACGAGATTAATTCGCTCATATTCACTTTTCTAAGGAGTCTTGGGTCGCAGTTCATCGTTACTTCTTTCCCTTACAGCTCTTAATTTCTTTGATAAACTGGAATTAGATCAAGGTTGCACCCTCTTACCTATACGTTCTTCTATTAACCCTTTAATTTCCATGAGTGACCAAGACAGAATTTCTCCTTACAATATCAATACAATATGAACCAGATAAGTGATGAGAATAAAGAGAAATGTGAATTTAGGGATAATTAGTTGATCCAACGCTAAATTCTCTGAACTAACATTATAGGAATTGTATGGATTGTATGGTTGATAGTAAGGAGAATTACAAATTTGATCTGGGAGTTAAAGGGTTAACATCACCCATTTGCTTAAGATGCCCTGGAACTGTGAGGAAAAGTAGATTATTGATCACCAACTGAAGTTAAAGGGTAAAAAAAAAAAAAAAAAAAATTTCATTATTGGAAAAAGAGTGAATATATTCCCTACCTGTGTTGACCAGACATTCAGTGCCCTGTCAAAAGACCCTGATGCAATGTATCTGCCATCAGGACTAAACGACAAAGAGTGTACTGCTTCTTGATGTTTGGAGAGAGAAAGAACACAGGAGCCACGCTCCAGCTCCCATAGTTTGACTGTTGTGTCGTATGAAGCACTAAAACACAATAAAAACATCACGGTTTAACCACAGTTACATGAGAAGTTTGTTATTGAAAAGCCAAAAGGTAAATGACAGCCTAAACAAATCTCTATGTACAACTGTTTTACATCATAAATTATCAAATCACAATTGGTATTCTCTTGATGAGAAAGATTCCATATCACTAGGTGATTTTTTTCTCATTGTACGGTTACTATAAGGAATTTTCAAGGGGTGAATCCTCCATTTGTGTCTCACAGGTATCTGGACATATTCCACGTGGTTTATTATCATAAATTATTTCTCTGCCACAAACAAGGGGTGGATGTAGGGGGTGGAAGGGGCATAAGCCACCTGGGATCTTAATCCATCCCCAATCCCCATTGTACTTTTTACCTTAACAAGCTTATGACCAAAACCATTTTAAGAGATACACAAGCCTTGGTTGTTTAATATCTGGATCTTTTAATTTGATATGTTGTGAACTGGTCACCAAACCCTTCAACTTCCAAGATCTGGGCCCAGCTGTTTGAAAGCTAATTAGCATTAACCCAGGGTTAAATCTTAATCCAGATTTCTTTACTCCTTTATTCAAAAGCCTTTTATCAGATAGTTTTCTCTATCATTCATGGAGCACCCAGTCGTCAAATTGTATATAAAAAGAATTCTACTGAATTTTTTTTTTAAGCTTTCAGATCTGAAATCAAATTCCTCACTAACCCAGGATTATCCTAACTCATCTTTGAACAACCTGACACAGCTTGTGAATTCTCCCCACTAGCTTCTACAAATTTCTTTGCAAAGTAGTTATGAGAATTTGGTGTTCGATCAAGACAACAGTTTCTACCTGATAAGTTGGAGAATTCTTATTACCTCTTTGTTGGATTGTGTATTGATGTTATAAGGAGGGAGGAGTTACACATTAAACACTTCCAGGAGTTGAAGGGTTAATTACAACAATTTAAACACATATAATATTTCAACTTGTAAAAGAACAAAAAAAGAAAAAAAGAAAAAAAAAAAGGTTACATTAAAATTTCATGCAGCATACCTTGCTAAGAGAAGAGGTGCGTTAGGAAACACTGTTGTTGGTCCTGTTGGACTCCATGTTACTGTATATATTTCTTTTTTATGACCTTGGAGATCAAACAACCAGGTATCTTGTTTGGTGCTCCATATCTAAACAAATAAGAGGTTTGATCCATTTAAACCCAAATATCAGTATGCATATTCTACATAATGTTCTCCATACATTCACAAAGGTGCTGGCAAAGAGAATTTGTTGAACAATCAAGACCTCCTTCAGATAGCATCATTTCCTGTATTCTTGTGACCTTCATGATGAAAATGTGTGATTCAAGGGTGATATTGTAGGTAGGAATTAGTCAGTCCCAAGGGTCTGGTTAAATCTTGAGCTTAGAAAGCTTTGACAGTGTTCTTGGATGCTTAAAGGGATTCACATTTGATCATTATTGAGAGTCAGATACTTAAATATTCATTATGAAAGGGCTAAGAATAACACCAAATAACCCTTTAACTCCCACGAGTGACCAAGACAGAATTTCTCCTTACAATATCAATACAATATCAAGCAAACAAGTGATGAGTATAAAGAAAAATATCAATAAGGGGATTATAAGTTGATTAAATACTAAATTCTCCAAACTAACATTACAAGAACTGTATGGTAGATAGTAAGGACAGTTACAAATGAGATCTTGGGAGTTAAAGGGATTAGTACTGTTATTCTCCTCACTTTTCTCTTAGCAGTTCATATGGCACTGGCAAAGAGAATTTGTTTGACAATCAGGAGCTTCTTAAATTGGTGATTGTGGCCTATATTCTCTTTTCCTTTACATTTTATTCAAGGGTGATACTGTGAGGAGAAATCAGAAGCCAATCTCTCTTAGAGTTTAATCACTTACCTTAGCTGATAGATCATCTGAACATGATGCTAGGAAAGACCCTGATGGATCCCATCTAATTGTATTCACTTCACTCTGTTGAAAAATCAATAATGGACAATGGCGAATGAGTATGGTATACATTTACATGTTAGATGTGCATCTCTTTGACGAAGTTGCCCTATGTAGACCCAATACTGGGTCCTTTTCTACTAAAACAATCATTAAAAAGCACAAAAACAATAATCAAATGGCACAAAAACTACAAGCGCATGCAAACTCACAGTGTGTCCTTGAAATGATTTGACAGGTTTTTCAACTCCTATTTTACAGACATGTATGATTTTATCGGTTGAACAAGATGCAAAACTTGTGTTGTTTTGCCAGTCTACATCTAGTATGGGGGCTATAAAAAAAAAAAAAGTAAACAAAATTAATTTATATTAGTAAGAACAAGTTGTACATACATTCATGAAAAAATCAAAAGAGAGGAGGTAACAAAGAATCTGTGTTGTTTACAATCATAAACAAAAATTCAAAGTTTTGTGGCAAACAGGGTTAATTAATGTTTTAAAAATAAATTTATCTTCTTTACCTTGATGGAAAGAAAATTGCTGTTTAACTTCCCAGTTATTTGAGTCCCAAACAAAAGTGCTCTGGAAATAAAACCACATTTTCAGTAATATGTATGATTACCAGTACTCTATCAAGAGTATTACGTAAAAATACAATAATTTTTTGATGGTTTTATAGTTAGGACTTTTACCTTATCCACTCCAGCACTTATTAGATAGTTTCCTTTCTTGTTCCATTTGATGGAAAATATTGGTCCTTTGTAATCACCTAGTGTTTTCACCAGTTCCCCTGTAAAGAGAAGAAAATTACTGAATGTGCTTGTTGCACAACACAGAAGTAACCCTTTAACTCCCATGAGTAATCAATAAAAGTGATTGACAAATAAATTCTCCTTTAGAAATTGACAAAATATAAAGCAGGGTAGTTGTGAGAAGAGAGTAAAACATCAACAAAGGGTTTTCATTTAATTTACCATGTAATTCTTAAAGCTAAAATCATAATCAACATATGGCCAACAGTAAGGAAATTGATTTTGAGATCTTAGGAGTGGAAGTATTGAATATCATGTTTAGGGAAAATAATTAAATTGTTAGATGGTGTTACCTTCTGGAGACCAAATCCTTGCCTGCCCATCACATGAACCTGTGGCTAGCAGAGTTCCATCATTCTACAGAAAAAGAGTTAGGTAATAACCATTCCTTGTTCTAAAAAGGGGTCACCACATTTGTCTGGGTTAAATAAGTTACAGTAGCTGTAACTCTAACAAATGAAATGCAAAAAGGGGGTAAGTTTCTGAAGAAACTGTGGTGCTGTGTCTGTAAGGGAGTATAACAAGATAATTTGGTTTTATAAACTGAGTTGAGAATGTAAGTTGGCCACGGTAAAGAGTTGCAAAGCTGATGTTTCAAGTGTTAGCCCTTCATCAGAGTGCATGGAATGCAAGTAATGAAATGCAAGTTTTGGTGGCTCCATCACAAACTAAGGATACAAAACATGGGTAAAAACTAAGTGCACAACTTACATTCCACTCCAGACACGTTATATCCTTGGTTGTATTTTTATGGTTTTCTAAATCTTTGAATTGATGACGTAGAATGATAGGTGTTCCTATTCCTGTCTCATTTATTGGCCACAATCTTGCTGTACCATCTCCAGATCTAACAGTGTGAAAAATGTGTAAGTATTTTTTTTTTTATGAAAAAAATATTTGGCTAAATAACTAATGAAATTGCCACAACTTCTGATAAAAGGGCTGAGATTGTTTGTCCTAAAAGGGATTTGGAAAAATTTTACAGAATAAATCAAGAGAATCAAGACACCTGCACCTTCAGAAAAAAGCCACTATTGTTTATTGGAACCACAATTTGCCACAAAGATGAAACACCACAAAATATAAAAAATCCATAAATATCTAAAACTGTCTCTCTTCAAGAAACTCTGACTGTAGCTGTGCTTTTTTGCAGCTTAACATTCTTTTGAATTCTAGAGATACAGTTGAGGATAAGATGGTAAATAAATAAAAAAGCAATGTCACATAATTATAAAATGTCCATATTTGTAAAGAAAGTCTACAACACGACGTTTGAGCCACTTAAGCAAATTTTCAATAGTTTATATCGTTCAGTTCATGCTTTGCTGATTTCAACTTACCCAGATGCGAGTATATCCTGAGAGGGATTCCAAGAGCATACAAACACCTACAGGAGTTGTTATGCAAATGTTAAACACAACACGTTTTTGAATGAGCATACAATGAAACATAGTATTACAGCACTGGATGCTTAGAATACATGTACATGTAACCACAGGGAGCTAACAGAGTCAGGCAGTCAACTGATACGTATTCAAACACAAAGTACAGGTAAATTACAGGACAGCAAGATCACACAAACTCACACAATCACGCTAAAGGAAAAAGAAAGAAAATAAACAGAAATATCTGCTGATATTCCAGGCCTTTCCTTATTAACACCTTGAACAGATAATTTGGTGAGTATTTTTTAACAAGTTTACCAGCAAATACAAGCATTTCTACCTCATGTTCATGGCCTTTCAATATCAATGCTTTGTTGCTCCCTGCATCATTAACTGTGCCATCGATCTCCATCATCTCACCATGTCCCATAGAATTGACATGAGCGTAATGTCCATCCTCAAGTTTTATTCCAATTTCTGGTTTCATCCCTCGATTATGTAACAATGTATGTCTTGTGGTTACTATGTCTGGTAAGACAGCATCAATGAGGGAAACATGATCTAGTTCACTGCCGTCATCAAGTATTGTTCCATCCTGAAAAAGGGAAGCATTGATAGAAAAATCAGGCAATAAAAAATACGAGGCACCTAGTTAAATGGCATCAAACCTCTCTAAAAGACTTAATCTGTTGACAGGTGACACATGTTGCCTCAGTAAGGGATAAACTGTCTCCTTATAGCAAAGCTTGTAGAGCGTAGCCCCATAATTATACAAAATAGTAGTAACCCATCAAGCTGAAAAAATTTGGATGTATGACCATATGACCGTACAAGGTGCTACTTTTAAAATGCACAGTCAACTGTACCGCTGGCACACCAACACCATGGCTTTGTTCAGTAGTCCAGTGGTCAATGTGCTGGGCTCCAAGTTGGATGACCCGGGTTCTAGTCCTGGCCAGAGCAAGGCATTATGCCCTTGAGACGTGCGGGAAAAAAAAAATGCGAGCTCTGCTTTTAGGCTTGGCTAAATCTATGTATTAAGCCCAAACATCTCTTAACCCTTTTACTCCCAGATCTCAAAAGTGATTCTCCCTACTGTCTGCCATACAATTCTTATAATGTTAGTTTGGAAAATTTGGTACTGGATCAACTTATGATCCCCAATTGATGTTTTCCTTTATTCCTGTTAGTTGTCTACTAGATATTGTGTTGATATTGTAAGGAGAAATTCTAACTTGATCACTAATGGGAGTTGAAGGGTTAAAAGGGCACTTTTTTCTAGGCCTGATGGTTTGACCAAAGTGTAAAGTATTTTTCTATGGTAATATCAAACTAAAATTGAAGGAAATATAAGTCTTCTCTATTTAGACCAACAAGGAGAAAGTGATCAAAGGAATATTCCCCAAAGGCTTTTTATTTTTTTGTTGTATACATGTACATATAATGTACGATGACCAGTGCTTTAGAGATACGATGCAGAATCCTGCCCAAAATTTTCAACAAATAAAAAAAAGCAAAAAAGAAAACACTTTTGTAAAGGAGTTATTTGTAGATTTTCAATAAAAAAAAAAACCTTCTCAGAAAGAACTCTATCGCAAGTTTGCTTTGTTTAGCTCACCTCATTTAATGTCACCTCCGCCTCGACATACTGTACACCTTTCTGAATGATTGACACCAGAGCACCAGGTGGTACAATGGATCCATTAATATTTGATTGGTCTACATGGCTCTCCACTCCAAAAGTAAAAGCAGAATGCTGAAATCCTAATGGTGAAACAAAGGGTACATACTCAATTTATAGTTAAAAAGGGTAAAGTTGGCACTCCAGCAAAGTGCCCTACACTGCCACTGCTTATTGCTGTTTCTATAGCGTAAAAACTCTTAAAGTGCTGCTCTCCTAAAAGAGAGCTAGTCAGCCTTAGGTTACCCTTCTCCCCCCCTCTCAGAAATATGTACTTTACTTTTCTATTTACAATCTTATATGTATTACCGTACTTACAGTGCTAATAATTACAATACTCACTAAAAGTACTGGCATGAAAGACATTACTACTGATACTAATTCTTAGTACTAATAATCATCTCTGCTCTCATAATTCAGACAGACACAATATGCATTAAAGTACTTAAAACAAAAATAAAATATAACAGGTACAACAGAATACTGGCATGAAGATAACCCTAACTTGATGGATCAAATTGGCATTTTATCAATAATACATGTATTTAGGATTTTTGACTTGTAAAATTCATGATCAAATCAAATTTTTCCAATAAAGTCAAGTAAAAAATCTGTAAGATATTTTAAAATGCAGAATTAAACTGAAAATGGTACTAATAATTAAGTGTCGTCTTAACTCATTTCCATAATTCGTAATATTAGGCTCAATCTCAAGCAACAATTAGTTTTTCGCATGGGGATTAATTACTATTTCTTCGGGATACTAGCTATACTAACACTGGATGTTTCAAATTAAGCAAGAGATAATTTTTGAACGAGAAAATCATAGCCACAAAGCAACCGACCAATCGAAACTCTATCATTTCTCGATTTAATCGTATCGTTTGAACAGTGCAGCTGGTCTCCAACAAAGAAAATATTGTCAAGAGTTTCCAAAGAGGGTCCGATCTGTCTAAACACCAGTAGAATCTAGTAGCTGAATATATTTCAAATAATTTTCATTACTTTGGGCGTAAAGAGCAGTAATTAGAATAAATTTTGTTCACAACGTGGGCTTGGAATAACACTCAATGTGATAAAAGCAAAATAATTGCACCCAATGACGGCAAAATCTCTATAGAATCTTACGAAAATTTGTTATCATACAGATGACTGATTGATACCGGGAACTACAAACTCACCTGATTCTTGAAGATATCTGTAAACTAGAAAGTTGACCTCATCGCTGCTCATAGACATGATAAATAACACATAATCTAAACGATGATTGTAAAGATTATGTTTCACTTTGTTCAGACATTGATCTACGGCACGCGGGAGATTCAATAAAATTGCGGTTAGATCTCCAACCAATGCAGAAATAAAGCAATCAAGAGGTCTACAAACACTTTAAAATTAAACTTTGATGAAGGATGTCCACAATTAAATCGTAACCAGCGTCCTACGCAGTAAAAACTGGAAGAAAATTGCAGGACAACTTCCAGTTAAGACTACTACTAGTCCGCCATGTTTGTTAAGCGCGAAATGTCACGTGATCAATGACTTTGGAGTGACGTGATGTCATTCGTAAAGACACTGTATTTTATTCAGCCTAATTTTCTCACGAAAACAAAAAGTTAAAACTCACGGTTCCAAGTTTTTTTACTTCTAAACGACATGAAAGTGCGTAAAATAAACCACTTGCTCTAAAAATTTATTTTGTTTTAAGTGCAGACACTTTCTCATAATCAGAAATGAAGAAAAAGCTTGAGAGAGGCTTGGGCACGAACAGCTTTCTTACAGCCTCGCTTTGACGCATAATTTTGTCCTCTTTGCCATCTGTGGCCATATTGGTAAGAATTATCTGTAACGTTTGTGGAAATCGTCCCCACAGAAGCCGTTAGAATTGCCATCGGTTGTGCAATATACCTTTACTGAAAATAAGGATAACTTCTCTATCAAGCCCTAGGGTTATTTTTAAACGAATCTACATCTTTGTAGCAAGGGAGCTCTGACAAAAATGACTGTCCCTTTGGAATAATGATGTTTTGCGACATATCGTCTATTAGAAATAGCGAAAAACCCGGAAATCTTTATTAGACGATTGCTTTATGTTTCATTCCAAAGTACTCCTGTTCGATTAACTTTCAATGGCATAATCGTCCATCAGTGGTCTCCATTTTACTAGTAATCACATGAAAAAAAAATAAACATACAGTTCTTGCACGTTTCTTCAAAATTGAATTTTTTTGCGCTAAATTCTAATTATTTTGGAAACATATGTCTGTACGGATTTATTGCCATCGTGACTTCTGAATGTTGATGTGAAAAGAAAAGACCTAGACACATCATGTGAACAAACCATGTTGTACTGGGTTCTTCTCAGTGTTCTACAATATGAGTGTACTTAATTTCGACCTACTCAAAGCATTGAATTCTGGAAATTACAAATTATCATGCTCTTCTTTTGCTGTTGCAACAGATTTCTCTGATTGCTTAGCTAGAGGGATTGGCAGAATCCTTATCAAGACAATTTTCTTAAGCTTTGAGTGTTTAGGGTCATTTATCTGATAAGTAAAACAAAGCCTACTAAACATTGCATGTATTCAAATTATTAATACTTGAAGGTATCAACTTAATTATTGCAATTTACAGAACTAAATTTGTATTGTCTCTAGCTGGTAGCAGAAACAGACATGCAGTCAAACTCAAAATCTTTAAAATATTCCTCAGTACTTTTCTGCTGCCTAGGATTATCTAAAGTGAAGGTTGCTGTTTTTTTTGTTTTGTTTTTTTTTGTGGTAGATAACCAAATTCCCTAAATATGAGCTTTGTTTAATAAATGTTGTTATTGAATTGCAGTAAATACAGTATGGGTCGAGTTATCAGAGGCCAGCGTAAGGGCGCTGGGAGTATTTTCAAATCCCATACAAAACACAGGAAAGGAGCTGCAAAGCTCAGATCTCTCGACTACTCTGAACGCAATGGTTACCTTAAGGGTGTTGTGAAGGAGATCATCCATGACCCTGGACGTGGTGCACCGTTGGCTATTGTTAGCTTCAGGGATCCATACCGATACAAACAGAGAAAGGAGGTTTTTATTGCCACTGAAGGCATGTACACAGGGCAGTTTGTGTACTGTGGAAAGAAGGGTAAGAATTCTGTTGCCATGAATCTGGCATAATTATGTTTAATTATACTAGTAATAACCACAGGTTAGGAAGTGCGTGCGAGGGCTATGCATGATTTGTTTCACTGAGGTTAACGATTTCATTGTAAAACAGTGGCGTTGTGTTCTTTTTCCATTTTGGGCATTTATATTTGCAGCGCGATAAAGGGTTGCATAGTGTGGGTGATTGTTTTCCCATAAACGAGACAAAGGGACCTAAGAGTGGTTTTACTGACCTTGTGAAACAGTAACACCAGTTTGATTATACACCAGTTCTATTTTGTGTTGGGTTTGACAAAATGGTTGTTTTTTCACGTTGTAAATAAAAACACTGTTGATTATAAAATGGACATATTGATTGAGTCAAGGAAGATTTCGATACCCGACAACAACAGACACGAACAGGAAACGTTCGATCACAAGTTCACACAGTCGATTTTGATTGGACGGCGCGCCAGCTATGCATGAGCTGCACGTGATTCTTCGACGAAATAGATGTCGTCCACGTGATAAAATTGTGTTGTGTGCATTCCAATTTATGGACCGCCACTTCTGCATGAACTGCACGTGATTCTTGACATTCTTAGCTTCAAGAAGGCGAAATTTACATATTATTTGAGCCCTTCAACTACATTAAAGATCATTGACTATGGAACGTGAAACAGCTATGCTTTGGTGAGAATTGTCTTCTGCTTGGTGTTGGTTTCTAGCGGTCAGAGCGCCTGTGCTCAAATTACTGCTGCTTCGTGTTTGTCTCGCGTGGTCAAAGCGCCTATGCTCAAATTACGTCCTTTCATTTCATTGGTTCTTAGTGTCCCTAGGGACAAATATTTGGAAGGACGACTTTTTTTGCTAAATTCGAGTCACTGCAAGGCTATATAACTGCCGCGCATGCGTTTGTAACCAATGTTGAGATTAGGATTGCGGGCTCCGCTGGTCGCCCGCAATTAATTATATTTATTTGAGTTCAATTATGTTCAGATATGTACCATGCTGGAAACAAATTCCATTCTTGATGTGATAGCCCTCTCTGCTTTAGATTCAGTCACTAAATTAGAGGCAGTGTGCATTCAAGGGATGTGATTAAGTCCATGCAGAAATTAGTTCCTGAATTTTTCAAGTGATGTAAGAACTAATTGCAGGAATGAGCAGTGAAAAAAGTCTGTCTGGACAACAAATGCTGGGAAAACTGCCTGGTTATATCTTTCATTAGCCTTTTTATCTTTCTTCTCAAGGCTTCTAATCGCTGCAGTGTCTTCTAAATCTTCTTTAAAAGTGTAGGATTCTTTTTACCATTTAACTCTTAAGCATGACCAGTATTTAATTTCTTTATGGTCACAAGAATAAAGGAAATGATCACCAACAAAAGAAGCTCTTAATTGTTTGACAAATTCTCCTTTTCAGCACCTTATGAAATATATAGAGAACAATTTGAAGAATATGCCTACCAGTGTTAGGTAAAAGGTTAATAAAAACCAATTAATCTTCAGTGAGAAAGGGGGGGAAAGTATTATGGTAGCAAAGTACAAGTTGAAAGACATTCATTGCTTTGCATTTTGTTGTTTGGTGTGTTTCAGCAACTCTACAAATAGGCAACTGCTTACCCATTGGTGCCATGCCAGAGGGAACTATTGTCTGTAATGTGGAGGAGAAATCGGGAGATCGTGGCAAACTAGCCCGCACATCAGGAAACTATGCCACTGTTGTATCACACAACCAAGAAACTAGGAGAACCAGAGTGAAGCTTCCCTCTGGAGTCAAGAAAGTCTACCCTTCTGCTAACCGTGCCATGGTGGGTATTGTTGCTGGTGGTGGTCGTATTGACAAACCTATGCTGAAGGCAGGACGTGCTTACCATAAGTACAAGGCCAAGAGGAACTGCTGGCCACGTGTCCGGGGTGTGGCTATGAATGTGAGTATATGTAACTTTAAGTATTAAACACTCTTTTAAATGTATTTTGCAGAGGACCTCAGGAGAGTTCATGTACTGCTGGTGACCAACTTTTGTCTTAAGACTATGGTTAGACTTCTATGACTTGACTTTTGTGAAATTTTTAAGAGTTTTAAGATAAGGACTGTTACTCTTTAGCTCCCATGAGTGACCAAGACAGAATTTCTTCTCATAATATCAATAGTTTATCAAGCAGATTATTGACAAGAATAAAGAAAAATATAAATTAGGGGTTAATTCAACAACAAATTCTGAGAACTAACATCATAAGAATTGTATGGAAGACAGTGAAGAGAATTACTTAAGAGATCATGGGAGTGAATGGATTTACATTTCATGGGCACCTTGAAACTTTTCAAGGAGCATAGTCATAATGAATTAAACATTTTCCTTTTGGCATAAAAATTCTACATCTAGGCACAAACTGGATCAACAAAATTCTAGCTTTTTAAAATGCCTGTGTCTGTTTTACCACCTTCATCAAGTTCTGATTGATAACCAATGTAGGAAATTCATACAAAGTGATATTTATAGTCTGGATATATACCTCTCACTAAAGAGACCTGATTGGTTTTTGTGTTTGATTCCTTAGTCTGTTCAAACTATGTAAGGAAACAAATAGTTGTGTTTTCAATGTCAAATTTTTTGAATGACCATTTAGACAAGTTTAAGCACTCTTTTAAGTGAACACTTGTTGCTGTTGTTCTTATTCGCTTCTTGCATTTTATCCACAGCCTGTGGAACATCCTCACGGTGGTGGTAACCATCAACATATTGGTACTCCTTCAACTGTGCGCCGAGACACATCAGCTGGAAGAAAGGTCGGTCTTATTGCCGCCCGTCGTACTGGCCGAATCAGAGGAGGAAAGAAAACTTTCAAGGGAGACAAAGAAACAGATTAAAGTGTACTTTGCTCAGTTGCCCAATAAAATTTACTGTAAATTTGGTTTTGTGCTGTGTCTCTTTGTCAACATGAAATTTTGCATCCTTGTCTCTGTATTCTATACAAAATCAATTAAAGGAATTTGGTTTCATAAATTGAGTTGATTCAACCACTCAGTGCAAATTGAGGAACTTTGGGGTTGTGTATGATTTACATACAGAAATATGCCATTGAGAGAACATGGTAACATGAAAAACACAAGAAGAAAGAAGTTGAATTAAAAAGCATTAGTTGATGCTGTAGGATTTAGTGTGCCGAATTGAAAGAAATTTTTTGGCTAAGTTTTACATCTCTCTGAACTGCATACATGTAAGGGAAGGATGCAGGCTGCTGCATGCTGCTAAGAGTGACTAGAGTGTCTAGTGACAGGTCTGGCACACTTCGTCATTCCGTTCTATGTCACAATAATTAATAAATGACAGCATTGGCTGTAGCCCTTCATTTTTATGACAAAGATATTTGCGGAGAAATCTTAAATCGGCCTTTTCGGTGTGGCAGTGTGCGAGTAGTCCTGGGACGAGGAGGATAGGGCGGACTGATTCCCAAATCCTCTGTATAGCTCTCGATCAATATGGCGACTGGTTGGCAAGTCCTTCTTTTCGTTTTACACGGTGACTTTACCAGTTGATTGGTGAAGATCTGCGGATGAAATGTCAGGCAATAAAAAATTACCCTGTCAAAAAGAGGCTTGTGCTATCCAGAAGTGCTTGCAAGGTAATCTCGTATAATGAATAAAGGGGGTAAGTTTCTAAAGAAACTGTGGTGCTGCGTCGGGGGAAGAGTAAAGCAGGTAATATAATTTAGTGTTAACAACTGAGTTGAAAACGTAAATTGGCCACCGTAAAGGGTAAAAAGCTGACGTTTCGAGCGTTAGCCCTTCGCCAGAGCGATTGTATAATCTCGTATATAATCTCGTATATAATCCCGTATATAATCTCGTATATAATCTCGTATAATTTCGAGGCGCCTAAAAATTAGGCTACTCACACGTAAACGGGCAATTCATGGCTAGGTAATTCCGAAGTTTAATTTTTCTCGTACTTTTGAAATTACGTCAGCCACGAGTATTGCTCCTTTTTTTTTTAACACAACTATTAATGCCGATCATGAACATTTCTACTCGCTTTGTACAGTAGAACTGGTTTGAATCCAGGAGTGATATTTGATAGTGTACTCTAATCGTCCAAATAGTCCTGGAACAGGAAGGACTGTGTCGGTAATAGTACGTGACTTTGATGACGAAAATTCACTACTACAGATAACAGTCCTTCCCAGGGCTTCTCCGGACGATCGCAAGACACGATAAAATTGACTAAGAAAATGCCGTGAATTGATGGGCTGTAAAGTTTTGGATGTGGGGGAGGGGGTGGTGGGGGCAGCAGTGGGGGGTAGGGTTTGGTGTGGGTTGGAGGATGGAGATGTATGGACCATCAAAATTAAACCATGCCTAAAATATAATAGTTTGATAATAATAATTATTAGTTCATATCTTTATTTTCCACCAAGAATATAATTATCAAGAGGACAGATGCCAACATGTGATTAACAACATGAAGAAATGCTGTCAAAAGATTTCAGCTATAAACACTGAACTGTGCTTGGGCTTCAAACAGAACTTGAGCAGCAAAAAGTAATGAACAGAGAGAGGTAGTAAAGGACTTCACCCAGAGAGCAAGAGTGAACAACTGAGACACCTTCATAGGCTGAAATAAGTTGATCTCTGCACTGTCAGCTAGCAAGAAAATCAGCAGATAAGAGTTGACTTACAGATGTTTTGAAGTCTGTTTATGCACATTGTGGCTGACTTGAAGACAGAAACTTTACTGAATAATTTAAACAGTTTGTGATATCATAATAAAATAAAATTTCTACATACACAGGTCATATTTTATGATGTGTACTTAAAAATCCTTTACTGTTCCTTAACCCATTTCACCAAATGTCAGTTCCCAAGGTCTCCACACTGTTCTCTATATGTTTTCCATATAGTTTGATTTAGGGGTGATACTGGTAGAAGACATTAGATGCTTATCACTCTCAGGGGTGAAAGGGTTAACAGTTTTTACCTGAAGTTGGACAAGAGTTTTCAAGAATTTATGAAAAAGTCATTAGTAATATTTTAAAAAATTATTTTTAAGTTACTTCAACCAAAATACTGTTTCAGTTAATTTATGCACTGTTCACACACAATGACTGAGGACATAGTGATATACTAGTTTGACGTTCAAGCTGTAGTGAATAATTTTGTGTTTAAAGCAAGTTTTTATTTCAAGTACCTATACTATGCTATGCTGTCCCATTTACTTGGTGCTTGTTGACGAACTGAATGCATGGATCATGTTACCCTCTATCGTGACCATTTATAGTGTGAACATGGAGATGAGTCTTGATCATGACCCTATGAAAATAGGACATAGAGTAAAGGACTAGAGGAAGTGAGTTTTATGAGTACAGAACCAACAAGAAAAATTGAAACAAAAGAAAATCATGATGTCCATTGTTTTTTGTTTCTGGCCTTTTCACTCAAAGATTGGATCCACTTCTAAATATCTGAACCGGATATTTTCATTATTTTTGACTGATTTCTTGAGACTGCCATAAATCAATCTTTTAGTAATGGAGGAAAACACTTTGTGTTGTTTGGGCTAACAGTTTCGGATTCTGATCATTACTTTTCAATAGTCATTATTTTACTTTTCTTCACAAATTGAGGTAATTGTGACTATAAACAACTTTCCATGCCACATGTTTATTTTACTTCAGACGCTCCTCAGGCTCGGTGCAAGCTTTGCTAAATCCTTAGTCCTCTTCGCTGTCCTTCGATTTTGTACAGCAGCCGATCTGACGGGTTTTTTTTCGCGGCTCATTATGTGTACATCCTGGAGCTTGTGGGACCAATCTACCACACGATGGCTTCAAAGTGTTGTGGCTTCTTTTGGGCCGCTGGTTATGGTGCTATTGCTCTCATGGGTTATTACATCAGAGACTGGCGTACACTGCTCCTCGTTTCCAGCTGTCCTCCAGCTCTTTTCCTGCTTTTGTGGTTGTAAGTGATCGGATAGCGCAGTTTTCTATGGAGTGTCGTAAAACTTAAAGCAAAGCTATCACAAAAACCATTTATGCAAAAAAAAATGTGTCAAGGTGCTAGCTTCTGGACAAATTGCAGAGCGTATAGAAGCAAATTCAATGCAAATCTGCATTACTTTCGACACTCAGTTGAAAACTCTTTCCATTGCACGGCTGGTTCCCTCCTCATGTTTGAAAAATAACGCGAATCCTAACGCAAATCGCTATTGATTGTCTGGCTGATTTGTTCCCCTAAAAGAACAAACAAACATAAAACTTGAAAATGTACAAAGAAAGATGCTTTTTTTGTCTTTTTAGTTATGAGCTGCTGTCACGAGGACAAAGAAAAATCCTAAGTCCTCATGAGGCATCAAACCTCTTACGCTCTACCACTGAGCCACAGAGACTCTACGGTGAGTCAGGCCATAACCAGATTCAAAGATGACATGCTTCCCGCTTGAACGCCTCGTTTGAGTCAGTGGACCAAGACAGATGGTAAATTTTAGGCTTGGTAATAGGGGTACAATTGTAGCTCGGAGGTTGTCGCATTTGCTTATCATCTGCAAGCCAACCAATCAAAGTGCTATAAATGCTCCATTCACTCTTTTTATGAACATCATACCTCGAAGCCAAGGTGAAAATTAAGCTCTCGATATGTTATGATTGCAGAATTATCCCAGAGTCTGGTAGATGGCTTCTTTTCCGAGGTCGTGTAGATGAAGCTGGCCAGGTTGTGAAGAAGTTTGCAAAGAAAAACTCTATAATGTCAGATTACTTAAACAGAGCACTGGCAAAATGCAGCCGGGGGGAAATTCTCGCGCGCACATGAAAAATACGACATTAACCCCTCGACCTGTTACGGACACCACGCATGCGTAAGAGAACTCTGATTCTCGATTCTCTGGTTTTGCTGGTGAGTTGTTGTTTCTTACCATAAAGGGAGAGAATTGAATAAAGAATCATTTATGCATAGCTTTCTGATTACGCTCTTTAGGAAGCTTTCACGCAATCACTAAATAGCTAAGCCTTTCCTTCCTTACATCCTCCCAGGAAGAGGCGGTACTCTGTTTCTAGTAATCTTGCACTCCACATTAGTAAATACCAAATCGACTGATTGTTTTCTAATTGGCCTTCTTCAATTATTTGAATCTCTCAGACCAGACCCTCCCATTGGTACGGTGTATACGTTAGTAGTAAAGCTTTTACTTGAATTCGCTTATTGTAAAGCACACGGGTGCTAGTTTGAGCGAATATCTACATAAATAAGTCACAATTAAAAAAAAAAAAAACCTAAATATACTATATGTACGTAAATGAATTAAAAATATAAATGATGTATTTAAGGATAAAAAATTACATTTACATATGTAAAGATATTGCTATAAATTCTCAAAGTTGATGTGCTGTATAAATTTCTTAAAAGATTGAAAATCAGGTGGAGTTCTCAAATTATCATCCACGAAATTCCATATCTTGGGTCCAAAGTACCTAATGGATTTAGAACCATATGATGTAGTGTTTATTCTAGGTAAGGATAAAATATTAGATCCTCTAAGTTGATAATTTGTGTTACGAGTTGTAAATAAGTCCTTAAATAGGATGGAGCAATATTATTCAATGCTTTATATATTAGTATAGAGATATTTTGGAGCCTATGATTATAAAGTGTAGTCTTATTAGCCCTATTTAAGAGGTATTGATAGTCGTTTTCCTTATCCTGAAAAACACTTCCAAGAGCACGTTCATGTAGTTTTTCAAGCTTATCTGAATCACTCTTTAGACAAAAGTGCCATACCTTAGAACAATTACTAAGATGTGATAAAATGAAAGAATGATACAACTGTAATTTAGCATCAAGTGGAATAAGACATTTAAATCTATTAAAAACACTTATTTGTCTGCTAATTTTGCGGCAAAGTCCAGCTATATGTTTATGAAAGTTTAGTTTTTTATCTATAGTAACATCTAGTAGCTTGATATAATTCACTTGTTGGAGTTCCTGACCATCAACTTTGAACCTGAAATCAATGGAGGATCGTCCAGGGGCCAGGTCAAAACCTTAGAATTTGTCTGGATTTTCTTTAAGTGAGTTTTTCCTTAAAGTTTTTCCTTTTTCCTTAAAGCTTTCCTTTCACCTTATCGAGGTTTCATTCGTTTCTCGTATTTCATGTACGTGACGTGTTGTCGTTTCGCCTTATTTAAAACATTTATGCCTTGCTTTAGATGGTTTTAGATAGTTTGCGAGTGGCTGTAGATGTTTTTGAAATGGTTGTAGGTCGTTGTTGAAATTTTTGAGGTGGTTGTAGATGGTTGTAGGTGGTTGTAGGTGGTTTTAGGTCGTTCCATGTTTTACTACTTACCTTTCGTCTGCATGATCAGTGACAGTTTAGAGTAAGTACCGAAGGTAGGTAAGGTTCTCTTACTAAAATGTCGGTGGTACTCATAGCTTAATCTTAATGAAGCTTGGCTTCGTTTGACTCCCCTACAAAGCTTAAGTTTTATTTAGTTTAGGCTCTCATTCCGCAACCGGTTGCAAATATTTCCTTTTGCATGTCAATTGGGTGGCCAGACCACAGACTTTCGTAATTCTGAAAACATGAACTACTTCAAATCAACATTTCCAATTTTCTCACCCTCGCGGGAAGCCATTTCTTCGCAGTGACGGTCAGGCTGGATCTCATGCAGTATAAAGGTTTGCAAAGGGACTTGATCCTGTACAGACGAGCACGACAAACCAGGCTTATTTCTAGAATTCACTTTGATTCCTGATTTATTCAGATTCTCTAAAAAACTGGACAATAATAATAACATGTCTCGTGACATCCAGACATGCAAGGGAAGATTGGAGTGGACTCGGAATTTTCTGGTACGGATTTCTTTTTTCATTGACCTTCCCCTTCATTATAAATTTTTCTTTGTACACAACTTTGCTATCATCAGCAACTTGTCTTTTTGTTTTTGTCTTTGCTCTTTCTTTTTGTTTTTGTTTTTTTTTTTCCTGTTTTTCTTTTATATCAATTTTACCAGTCAGAGCAGGGGATTCACTAGCAGAATTGAACTCAATTTTCATCTAATTCAACCAATACTGTCGGCCCTCGCAGCCGCCCAAGACGAGATGAAAAGAGCAAGAACTTTCAAGCTAACTGTAACTGTAATGGATCGTTGACGGGAAATACAGGATAGCCAAGAACTTCCCAGATTATTTTTGATAGGTCTGTCATTTTCGTTTTGAATCGCTTACTATCTTTAGTAAGATCCAACGAGTAACGTTCAAACTTAATAAGGAAATCTTCTGATGGAAAATTGAGAGTTTTTAAATCATGTCATAACAATTGTTATAACATGATGTAACAATGAGGATTGGTATAGCAAGACACTGCGGACGGTGTGCTCCAGTCTTCTATCATACACGAGTCCGTACCAGATTTTTAACATTTCATCTAAGGTGATCGATCAATCTCGTCGAGTCGTCGAGCCATGGCGCTTCAAGACGTGTTCGAGGATTTCAAGAAAAGCAAGGCTGTGCTGAAAAAAATTCACGATGACACAGTAGAATACTTCGGTGAAATCGTTCGAAAGCTTTCCGATAAAGGTACTGCAGATATTGCAGAAGAACTTCGCTACAAAACCTTAGCCGTGCAAGCTTCTCCAAACGAAGTTCAAGTAATGGTTCAAACAGCGGCAATGGCGGATGCTCATCTGGAGTTCGATAACGCCCTTGCTGAACTGCTTTACACAGCTAAGGAGAAGAAGAAAGTTACCGATTTGTTTGATCAGGAGCCGGCACTCATTTTTGTCGGGCAAACCAACTGCGGAAAAAGCTCCATAATCAACGAGCTCCTAGGTTGTAAAGCGCTTCCTACATCAGATCAACCGAGCACCGCGAGAATTGTTCGCGTTTGCCACGCCGAGGAGCCTTATTGTCGCCTGGTTGACATAGGTGGTAAAACCTTAGAAGAGATAAAGATGAAAGGCAAGAATGGAAACATAATCCCTCGAAAGAAGATCGAGCTCAAATCAGAGGATCGTGGTGACCCTAGTAAAGTGGGAGCGATCGTGGAGACCGGTTTAAATATCGAGTTCTTGAAGTGTGGTGTAACCATCATTGACTCCCCTGGAAGAAATGAAAATAAAGCGCTGGACAACTTGGTAAAAAAGCAGCTGGAAAATCCCCAGGCGTTTGTTATTTACGTGGTGGATGGACATGATCTCTTTACTGAGCAGGTAAGGTTTTTGTTGTTAACACGATCGATTCCTCGATTGGTATTTCCGGGTTGTATTAAGATCGAAACTATACCAAGTGCCATGTTCTGTGAGTCACTTGGACTGTGTCCTTTAAATATTGAGTCATGAATCAGTAATGCGATTAGAGAAGTTTGTAAATACGAAGCTTATCAAGGCAAAAGTTTGCTCTTTTCGAAATTAAACAGTCGTGGTTTAAATTTACACGAAAACGCCGTGCAACGACAAGAACGTATACACCACAACATCAGCATAGCTTTTACTCTGGTTTGCTTGCTGTTGCATTTATTACGAAATAAATTCGGTATTCGGAATTGGCAACCCAAGGCAATCACTGTCGTCCGCAGGTGCGGTCGACAGTGATTGCCGTGGGTTGCTAAATCCAATTGCTGCAATCTGATTGGCTACGCTATTCGCCTGATATAATGAGTAAAGTGAGTTGCTTACTAGTAACATTGTGGGATTGTAAACAAGGTAAATTAACTATTTGAGCTTTTTTTGTTATAAAGTTTTGAATAATTAGCAGATTTATAATAAAACGATTAGATTATTCGCCCTCTATTTCTATGCGTGAAAAAGATCTAATAGTTGATGGTGATTTTTCTTTACACAGTCTTATCATCAATTAATACCAATTGTTATTTGTCTCCTTGCCAGGATAGAGAGGTCCTGAATGAAATGACACCCGCAGGGACCGATTCATCGATTTTTTTCGTTGTTAGCAAACTGGAACCAGAAGATCGTACCGAATCATCAGATGAGGACGATGAATCAAGCCGTCATGCAGCATCAGCGAAGGCACGGAAAATGCGAGAGAAGGAAAGAGAATTACAGGAAAGAAAGAAGAAAAGGGTGTACGAGCGGCTTGTCAAAAACGGCCATTTTTCTTCTCAACAGCCCATGAATCAAAACGAGCAATTCCATGGGTTGTCAGCTTGGCGCATTAAGAAGTACCACGCTATGAAGAAGAAAAATCCCAAAGCTTCTTTAGAGGAGTTTACGGATTACACGGAAGCCTTTGAGAGATTTCAAATTAGCTTGAAAAAGTTCGCTGAAGAATCTCTTCGTGCAAGGATCGAGTGTGGGTGCAAAACCCTCGTGCGTGTTCTATCCAGATGCCTGGATTTCTTCATTCAGAAAGCCAACGTCTTGAAAAGTGGAAAGAAGCAAATATTGAAGACGTTGGAAACACTTTTGCGCCAGGAACAGCAAGTTCACGAGAACGTAATCCGCGATCTGCAGGACGAAAAGCTGGCGATATCTCTACAAGAACTGCTCAGTGATGCCATAATTGGAGCTAGAGATGACATCCTAAAAGAGGCAGGAGATTTTGAATACGTTTTGACCGAATTTTCCATTCCGTCAAGTGGCCATGTAAAAGGGAAAGCAGCTGTGACTTGCTGTCGGGACCAGATTGCGCGGATGGTGGTCAACAAACTCCAGGGAGAGATCAATCAAACGTTAACAATGATTTTCCGCTCCAGAGATCTGTTCCTTGTTCACCTCAAAGACGACGTAGAGCAAATTCAAAGAGAAATTACCAGAGATAATGAAATTCCATCGGCAGCAATCGCTCTTGGCAAAAGCCTTGTTTCTTCTTATGAAGCTCAAATCACGTTTTCACAACGCGACAGAGCTTTATCCCGTTTAATAAAGAAATCAATCGGGCAGTTTTACAAGGCGATTTGTAATCCGATCGACACACTTACCAAGGCCATCAGTGGAGAGGTTCCTGTTGGCTCGAAGAAATGGAAGACAAATGTTGCTTCAGATGTCCTCGCGGAAGTAGATCCATCTGACATGGCTCAGAGAATCACCACCAGCTTGAAACAGCACTTTTGTAAATGCCATAAAGAGTTCACCGGTGAAATAGAAAAAGTCCAAGGACTGTTCGATCGCGGACAGACCATCAAGGATATGCAAAGGAAAACTGTTCTTGGCTTTGCTCCCAGTCTTGCACTTCTTGAGATGCTGGCATATGGTGTCATGGACAGGTTCAAGTTTGGATTTCCAGCTAAAGGAGAGCGCATTGGGACTGGGGCACAGGGCGAGGTCTTCGCCTGTGACAACATTAAAACTCCAGAAGGAAGGTCCTGTGTTGTTAAGGTGGTAAGTGTCGCTTCAGAGGAGGTGCTCAAGGACTTGACCCTGGAACTTCATAATACCAGGTAATGTGCAAGATCAAGATGGTAAAGTAACGTAACGTTTTGAAATAGGTGCGAAACAACGCGCGGTCTCATTGGTCGATGGGTTTGTTTGGAGTTATCGATACAGATTCGCCCGTATTTTGAGAAATCATTTCTGAAGGGCAAATGGGATTCCTTTTTTCCATGTTCACAGGGGTTTATCTGAACACTCGGAGGATTAAGGAAATTCTTGAAAGCTATTCAAGCCCTCGTCTTTTCTTATTCCAACAATTTACTGAAATGAACTTCTTGGTTTAAGAGCTCTCCACCATCCGAACATTCTACCAGTTATGTGCACCGTAGTGGAGTCCAACCCAACTCGTGGCCTTTCTGTGCAACTTGTCTCGGAACGAATGAGATGCGATCTTCATGATGGCTTAGCGGGTATACCCTCCCTGAGAAAGAGGCTTGAGATAGCTCTTGGCGTTGCCAAAGCCTTGCAGTATCTTCACGGAGAGGAGCTGATCCATCGCGATGTTAAAATGCAAAACGTGTTGGTGAGTACCGTCAGACTGCCTGTTAGCCTTGATTGTAAAATAAATGGGGCTGTGTTGGGTGTTTACTATGTAAGGTTTTGCTTATGAAGAGTTCCATAAGAGGAGCCGATTATTGAACCAAAAGGGGACTTAGAAATAATAGTATTCTGAATTTATACAGCATATAAGTGGTACAATACATTTTTGGACCAGCAAATTCGATTTTATCCTTTTCTCTCCTTTCAGTTGGACGAGAAAAACAACGCTAAGTTAACAGATCTGGGTCTCTGTAAACCCGAGGGTCTCATCAATAACTCGTTGGTTGGTACTCCTCTCAATATGGCGCCCGAAATGATGAAACAACAGTACGACAAATCCATTGATGTGTACGCGTTCGGTATGTTGCTCTGGCGAGTGTGCGAAGGCCAGGGCAACCTACCAAAGAATATACACCGCCACTTTAACCCTCTGGTTATGCTCGTGATGAATGCATGTGACAACAAGACACCAGAGAGATTGGACGTGTTTCCAGAACAATGCTGGCAACTCATGGAAAGGTGCTGGAATCAGGATCCCGAAGCAAGGCCATCATTCGACATCGTGGTTGGGGACTTGGAAGCGTTCCTAGCGGAGATGCGGGATCAGTAGTAGCCGTATGGGGCATAATTGATTCTGCATCTATTTAAAAAAAAACTTAATTCATCTTTTTTATTTGTACAAGAAACGAGACTAAGCACTGATAACGCGATCCGTGCCTGGGTATAAACGAAAGCAACTCTACCTTCCGCTCAGCTGACGCTGAGCCATATTGTACCGAAAAAACGGGAATTCCCCCCCCACACCCCTCACCCCTGGCATACTTAGAAAACATATGCATACGTCACCAATATGCGCACTACGAATAAGGAACTTAGTTGCGCAATTGCATTTGATTACACGACTTCTCCAGTAATGTTGTGCTAATCTTGTGACTAAATTTTGTATTGTTAGCCCTTAGTTAAGAGTTTGTAATAAATTACTTGTGTAGTGTATTGCGTTACCTAAGCGTTACTATAGTCACGCTATATCCTGTAAGATACGATCGGTACATGATTGTAAAAGTACATTCCTATGTAAAAGTAGTATTACTGATTCCTAGTATTTTATTGTGAATAAAGCTTGTTGATTCTTTAATAAAATTCAGTTGAGCAATAGCAATGAAAGGAGTAACTTGACTCAGTCTAGACGACACAACAACTTGTAAAGTTGGAACCTTCGAGCTGGAAGTGTGACGCCCTCTAACCGATTTAGTACCCTTCGGGCGACACATTACAGCTGACGATCGATCACACGCCTGCTTCAAAAACACGGCACTTGTACTGTAGTTTCTCTGAGTAGAGGCACAGACGGGAAAGTTGGGGCTTCTGCTGATAGTCTACCACAACTGAACCAGTTACCAATTTCCTCGAATGAGCGCTCGCCCGGCTAAATAGAGGGGGGGCTTATTGAAAGGGGGTCCCTTACTGAGTGAGCGCAGAAACAGGAAAAAAATTAAAATCACTGAGAAAGCATATAAAGAACATTGCATGCATAAGGAGATAGAAATAACTGGAGGTGACTTTAACAGAAAAGAAACCACTCTCTGGTGCTGATTCTGCTGTTGTTAAAGCTTAAAAAGTCATAAATAAAGTGGCATTAGAAGCAGGTTTTCCTTGTAACCCCACAGTAGAAAGTGAGCAATGAGCAACGCTAACTCGACGAGCGCACTTATATAACATTGTGCCTTGGGTAAGAGCGCCTATTCAAGGTATACGGTATATCCAGCACACATTTTTTTGAGGTTCCACTTCTGTTTTGTTCTATGAATTAACTCCCATTGTCCTTTCAAAGGCGATTTGTTGTTCCAGTTGAAAAGTCGGGAAACAGAGTATAGTATACAGCTTCCCTAAAGCCTACCAGGGGTAGTAGATCCAAAAGAGTTTTTCCTCTAACATAACCAAGCGTGCGGTGGTGGGGAAGGGAAGTTTGAGTGGGTTTGTTGAAATATTCATTCAATTTTCAGTTAGCGAGCACTTAACCCTTTAACTCTCATGATTGACCAAGAGAGAACTTCTCCTTACAATATCAGTACATTATCATGAAGAAAAGTGATGAGAATAAAGCAGAATATAACTTGGTGGACTTTACACTGATCCAATACTAAATTCTCCTAGGTAATACCAAAAGATTCTATGGCAGACAGTGAGAAGAAATACTAATCAGATCTTGGGAGTGAAAAGGTTAAATAGTCATGATACCAGAGCTTCACACAATGAAAAGCTCAAAGAATTTGATGTATTAGATTTGAATGGCAAGTTCCTGAGACAGAATACTCAGGGAGTGCATCCTTTTGCAAATTATAATAGGTACACTTTTTAAGCCAACTACATTCATCAACCACACTAGATCATTTGCTAGTTTATTCAAAACAATAATTACAATGGCATATTTTGTCAGCTTGTAACCTGATGAGAGGGTAGCCTTTAAATTGCAATCATCATCATCATCAGAACACTTCATAACATTTCAGAGGCTACCAGTTGATTTCATAAACTTGCTTGTCTACAGCAAGGCCTCAATGAAAACATAAAAAAAAAAGAAATTAGGTGATGTGGTTGAGAAACAAAGAACAGATTTCTATCACAAACTACAAAGTGGTAACAGCATTTAACTTTGCATTACATGCCCATGGTAAGTACTAAAACATGGAACAACCTAAAACCACCTAAAACCACCTACAACCACCTACAACTTAAAGAACTTTACAAAATGAACTATTAAGTTACAAAAAATAATGAAGTAAAATAACAAACTTGTAGTCAATCTATCCAGAACTGTTTGCAAGGCAATCTCGTATAATTACGAGGTGCGAAATTATTCTTAAGGCTAATCACACATGAACCAGCAGTTCATGGCTAGGTAATTTAGAGAGGTCCAAGTCTTCTTATTGCTATTGTTCCAAGCTCATGAAATTACTTCGGCCACCAAAATTTTTCTTTTCTTTTTTTCACACAAGCATCAATGCCGACCATGAATATTTGTACATGTACTCATCTTTATACAGTACAACTGATTTGAACCCAGGAGTGACATTTGATATTCTGATTGTCCAAATAATAGTAGTCCTGAACAAGGAAGGACTTTGTCAGTAATAGTACGTGACTTTGGTGATGAATTCTGTTAAGGATGACTAAAATTCACTACTAGTGATGACGAAAATTCACTACTAGTGACAATGGTCCTTCTCAGGGCTTCTCTGAATGATCAGAAGACACGATCAAATCAACTTAGAAAATGTGAACTGATGGGCAGTACAGATTGGATGTGGGGGGGAGGGGGAATGGGTTAGGTGTGAGTTGAAGGATGGAGATGTTAGAACCGACTTAAAGCAATTCAAATCCTTTATCAAAATTAAACCCTGCCTAAAATATGATAGGAATCACTTTGATAACAATTATTATTTCATATCTTCTGTATTTTCCACCAAGAATTTAATTATCAAGAGGACAGGTTCCAACATGTGATTAACAACATGAAGAAATGCTGCTGAAAAATTTCAGCCATAAACACTGAACTGTGCTTAGGCTACAAACAGGAACTTGAGCAGCAAAAGGTAATGAACAAAGAGAGGTAGCAAAGGACTTCACCTAAAGAGCAAGAGTGAACAAGTGAGACTCCTACATTGGCTGAAATAAGTTGATCTCTGCACTGTCAGCCAGCAAGAAAATCAGCAGATAAGAGTTGACTTACAGAAGTTTTTGAAGTCTGTTTATGCACATTGCAGCTGACTTGAAGACAGTAACTTTATTGAATAATTTAAGCAGTTTGTGATATCATAATAAAATAAAATTTCTACAGACACAGGTCATATTTTATGCTGTGTACTTAAAAATCCTTTACTGTTCCTTAACCCATTTCACTAAATGTCAGTTCTCAAGGTCTCCACACTGTTCTCTATATGTTTTCCATTGTCCTGACAAGGAGAATTTGCTTAATAATCAATAGCTTCTTGACCTTGTGATCATTTCCTTTATTCTCATGACCTTAATGTTTGATTTAGGGGTGATACTGGTAAAAGAAATTAGATGCTTATCACTCTCAGGGGTGAAAGGGTTAACAGTTTTTACCTGAAGTTGGACAAGACTTTTTGAGAATTTATGAAAAAGTCAATAGTAATATTTTAAAAAATTATTTTTAAATTACTTCAACCAAAATACTGTTTCAGTTAATTTATGCATTGTTCACACACAATGACTGAGGACATAAGTGATATACTAGTTTGATGTTCAAGCTGTAGTGATCTGTTCCATTGTTTGTTACGTTAGTGTCTCGCGCAGAGTTTTTCCTGTGTTCTGTTTGATTGTTTGTTACGCTAGTGTGCCACGCACTGTTTTCTCTGTGTTCTGTTTGACTGTTTGTTACGTTAGTGTCTCGCGCAGAGTTTTTCCTGTGCTCTGTTGGATTGTTTGTTACGTTGTGTCTCGCACACTGTTTTCTCTGGGTTGTGTTGGCTTGTTTGTTAGGCTGGAGTCTCGTGCATTGTTTTCTCTGTTCTGCTTGACTGTTTCTTATGTTAGTGTATCGAGCACTGTTTTCTTTGAGTTCTGTTAGACTGTTTGGTACTTTGGTGCCTCGCTCATCGTTTTCTCTGTACTATGTTTGTTGTTTGCGTCGTTAATTCCTCGCGCACTGTTTTCTTTGAGTTCTGTTTAATCGTTTGTTACGTTAGTGCCTCGTGCACAGTTTTTTCCTGTATTCTGTTGACTGTTTATTACGTTGGTGCCTCGCGCATTGACTTTTCTGTGTTCTGTTTGACTGTTTGCTACGTTGGTGCCTCGCACACTATTTTCTTTGTGTTCTGTTTGATTTTTTGTTACTATTCCAAAGAATATAATGCCTTAACTGTGGGAACGATTTTCGTAATGGAAACATAACTTCTAATAATACATAAACGAAATAAAGAGAGGCTGGTGACTTTTGGTTTTCGTCTGCATGATCAGTGACAGTTTAGAGTAAGTACCGAAGGTAGGTAAGGTTCTCTTACTAAAATGTCGGTTGTACTCTTAGCTCAATCTTAATGAAGTTTGGCTTCGTTTAACTCCCCTACAAAGCTTAAGTATTACTTAGTTTAGGCTCTCATTCCGCAACCAGTTGCAAATATATTTCCTCTTGCATGTTAATAGAGTGGCCAGACTGCAGACTTTCGTAATTCTGAAAACATGAACCACTTCAAATCAACATTTCCAATTTTCTCACCCTCACGGGAAGCCATTTCTTCACAGTGACGATCAGGCTGGATCTCATTCAGTATAAAGGTTTGCAAAGGGACTTGATACTGTACAGACGAGCACGACAAACCACGCTTATTTCTAGAATTCACTTTGATTCCTGGTTCATTCAGATTCTCGCAAAAACTAGACTATTATAACATGTCTCGTGACATCCAGACATGCAAGGGAAGATTGGAGTGGACTCGGAATTTCCTGGTACGGATTTCTTTTTTCATTGAGCTTCCCCTTCATTATAAATTTTTCTTTGTACACAACTTTGCTATCATCAGCAACTTGTCTTTTTGTTTTTGTTTTTGCTCTTTCTTTTTGTTTTTGTTTGTTTTTGTTTTTTTTTTCCTGTTTTTCTTTTATATCAATTTTACCAGTCAGAGCAGGGGATTCACTAGTAGAATTGAACTCAATTTTCATCTAATTCAACCAATACTGTCGGCCCTCGCAGCCGCCCAAGACGAGATGAAAAGAGCAAGAACTTTCAAGCTAACTGTAACTGTAATAGATCGTTGACGGGAAATACTGGATAGCCAAGAACTTCCCAGATTATTTTTGATAGGTCTGTCATTTTCGTTTTGAATCGCTTGCGCTGTTGTCAACCTGGGGACCTTTAGTAAGATCCAACAAGTAGCTTTCGAACTTAATAAGGAAATCTTCTTAAGGAAAATTGAGAGTTTTTCAATCATGTCATAACATTAGTTATAACATGATGTAACAATGAGGATTGGTAAAGCAAGACACTGCAGACGGTGTGCTCCAGTCTTCTATCATACACGAGTCCGTACCAGATTTTTAAAATTTCCACCCGATTCGCTCATAATTAACCGCTTACATGCGGATTTAATTAGTATCAAATTAACGCATACAAGCGGTCAAAGTAGGGCCTATTTACCTATCGAGACCTGAAAGGACTCAAGGCCTGGTGCCATAGCCTGCGAACCCTTGAAACGCGGCTTTGAAAAAGCTTTGGATACCATTATGCCTCCTAAACGCGATTTTAGGTCGAAAAAAAGTTTGAATGTAGTTACTTTTAAAGGAGGAAAAGCTATAAGAAAGTCGAAGTTTAGTGTTCCAGTTCGATATGCCGCCCAGCAATTAACTGATACAACGTCTGTAGTCGCCGGATATTCTCCAAACACGTGCGGCGGTTTTTCTCCAGACCAAGAAGACCTTCCCCATATTGACGAACATCATGGTTTGAGAACCAACCAAAGATCTAAAAGTAAAAAAGTGCGACTGAAGCGTAAGTTAAAAGCTTACCATGAGAGGAAAGCCACGCTGGCTTTGTCTTGGCTCAATGCGAGAGAGCAGCTCGTCTCAGCGCTGTTGACCAGACAGGCTTTGCCTTTGGGGCAGATGTGTGTCATTCCTTTTTGCGAAGAAGAGGCGTGCGGCAGATGCCTTCACTGCAGTCCAGGGCAATTCCTATGCGCTGATCACATCAATTTAGTTCACGTCACGGTAGATCACTTCACCACCCGGAAGTTTGGAAAGTGAGTTGAAGATTTATGGAGGACAATCTCCTCCAGTCACCTTTTCAATTATGTTGTGAAACCCGATTTCTTGTGTACTCTGGCCTTTAGGCAATTTCATTTGTAAGTACGTTGTCTTGTGGTTTAATTGCAGAGACATCCATCTTTTTTTTCTTACAACTCCATATATCACCTCTATTCAATTACTTCACTTGATGTAGTTTTTTCTCAACTTCAATATGCATTATGTCCACGAGACCTGACCCATTTTTATACAGAGGAAAAAGCTAAAGCTGTAAGGATAATTTTTTCTTGCAAGCATACATGTAATTTGCTCTATACTCAGAACAAAGTAAAGTTTATTTTTGGCAATTTTGAAAGAGTTGGCTGATTTAAATGGTGTGTGATTTGTATTCACCTGATTCATGTAGGATATTTTGTGTTCTTAGGATGGAAGATTTGTGCCATATCAGTTTGGTGAGTGTGTATGGACCACACCTCACAACATGGATCATGGATATGTGCGTGACATTATAGCTGTCGGTTTGCATGGTAAGTATCTAACAGCTGTGCAATATGTAACTTTATTGTGAGATAGGTTGCCAGTCTGCAATTACTAGTACTACTTTTTACTTATACTTATATTTAAATAGTTAGGTTACCTCTTCCAGGAAGGTCTTTGTTTGTGTTTTAATTGTTTTTTTCAACACAGACAGGAATTAATAAACAAATATTATTATAGAAGAATACGACTATGGACACTCTATGGTGTTTGTCTTTATACAGGGCAGCAGAATCCCATCAAAATCAAATGTTGCGAGCATGAACCAGAAGCCATAACGCTGGTCAGGAATGGTTTCTGGCCATCTACTCCAAAACAGCCCCAGGTAGCCTTTGACCTTGAATTTATGGCCTTGCTCCAATACATTTTCTTAGAATGTAGAGTGTCTTTAAGGTCAGTATGTCAGGCACTGCAGTGGCTGGTCCCACCTGCTTCAAAGGTTTATGTAAGTATTCATTCAGTAATTTTTTATCTTATGCTTATGAATTCCTTTTTATTTTCTTAATTTATACAATAAATAAATTATTTGTTTTTCTTTAGATTAAGGACATCTACCGGCTCCTTGTTGGAGATTGTTTTTGTGAGTTCCGGTATATGTCTAGCATGTTGAGTAACCTGAAGCATTTCAATCCTTCTTATGAGAATGATCATGAATGTCCTGCATGTCCTAAGGTTTGTGATAAGTCATCCTTCAGATGAAATGTCTAAGTGGGTAATATTTACCTTTAGAAATCTCAAATAACTATTACTATATGTGTTGGCATAATGAATGATATAATTTAGACAAGAAACATTGTTTTGAATCTTTCCTAGTGGTCCTCATAGTGTGGCAGCTGGTCTTAGCATGAGTTATTCCATTGTTTTTCATTCATTTAGGCGTAAGAAATATTTTTAGCATGACATTTCTAATAAGATTTTGGCATCTGATTGTAGGAGAAGGGAAGTTTATTTATCTCTGTTGATGCATTGTTTGGATGTGTCCGCAAATGCAGCGCTGGAACTAGTGGAAAGTCCTCAAATCATGGAGAGGAACTGTTCATTAGCCAAGGAAAAGTAGATGCATTTCTAGCTAATTACAGCAAAAGACCCAGCAGCAAGTCAATGGTGTGTGAACCAAAGGACTTTTTCTCTTACTTTGTATTTTGTTGCATTGCTCTAACCTTTTGTTACCCATCAGTACTCATACCACTACTCAACCATTGCAATGAGAGACCAAAAGTAACAATTATGTTCGTTACTTGTAATAATGATGTTAGTGTTGAATAATTTAAATATGGTACAGTTTGAAGGGTTAATTACTTTGGTAACATTCTGCCCAAAATACATGTAGCTCAAATATATTGTTAGTTTGTTCTGTAAACTTAATTTACAAGAACTGTGTGAATTGTCAGCTTCAAGAACAAGTACATAATCTTTATTGCAGCCCCCTCTTTTCCTTGATCTTTTTCTATTTTTTTTTTTTTCAATTACAGTTTTTTTCCCTCTTTTTTTGTAATTGATTTA